TACCCTCTTAGCATCCTGGCACGCTACGTTGCGCCCATGAGACACCGACCAGAGCACATGGAGGCCGCTAGGAGGGTGTTGCGCTACTTGTGAAGTACGTCGGGCATGGGGTTCGTGCTTGGAGGACGGGGTCGAGTTGTCCTCACTGGACACGCAGACGCGTCTTGGGTTGACGACTTGGCTACTCAGCGGTCATCACAGGGTTACACCTTCAGCCTTGGCGGTCTACCCACTCGTCTTCTGTTCTCAGTTCCAGTTGTGAGGCTGAGGTCTACGGAGGGGCCATGACTGCACAAGAGTTACGCTGGCTCACCTACCTGCTGACCGACTTGGGAGAGCGGTCTCGTTTGTTAAGATGAGAGGAGCCATGGATGATGTGGCTCATGCAGGAGGGCCTTGGTGAAAATGTCAGCAAGGTTGGCAGAAGCGTCCACCTTGCAAAGACGTAAGATGCCAGACTACACTAGCTCGCGCACAAAGAAATAGCGGACCTGAATATGCTTGCTGCGAGCGTGATAGACAGGATTTTCAGTGAGATGAATCATGCTCGCACTGTCACAGGAGAGCGACACAGAGGATCGAGAGTGACCAGGCTCAGCAAGGAGAAAGGAGAGCCTGCGAGCCTCCTGAGCTGCCAAGGTGCCTGCGTACAACTCAGCCTCGTAGGTGGAAGGCAGACTGAGGATGAGCGAGTGGAGCGCCAACTGATGAGACCACTACCAAGAGTAAAACCATAACACTGAGACGAGCGACGATCACGGCAAGAGTCAGCGTAGGAAGAGTCATTGTAGCCGGAGAGAACGGGAACAGAGCCACCAAGAGTAAGAGCAAGGTCAGAGGTGGCGCGCAGATAGCGCAGGACGCGCTTGGCAGCCGCCCAGTGCACATCAGTGTGGCAGCCTAAACTGACAAAGCGAGAGAGAACACTGAGGGGGTAAGCAAGGTCAGGGCGAGTGCACATCATAGCATACATAAGAGACCCAATGAGCCCAGGATAAGGCCGCAGCTTAGAGGAGGGAGCAGGGACGGCAGGGGCAGTGAGCTGATGGTTAGCGGGAAGCTCGCCAAGATCCTTGCACAGGAGACGCGCCTACAGGGCTTTCTTGACATCAGCAAGATCGGCGGAGTCCTCAGCAAGCAGCACCAAATCGTCCACGTAGACAAGAATGTAGAGCCTGTGGGTGGACGTGCGAATGAAAAGACTGGGGTCGGAGGTGGAGGTAGAGAAGCCAAGAGAGTCAAGGGTGGAGGCGAGCTTGGCGTGCCACTCACGCGCGGCCTGTTTAAGGCCATACACAGGTCGCTTTGATTCCCAAACAGTGCCTGGAGGGAAAGGGCGAGGAAAGCCAGCAGGACGCTCAAGGATTATGCGCTCATGCAGCTCGCCCTGAAGGAAAGCATTGGAAACGTCCATGGAATGGATCTCCCAATTCAAGCGAGCACCTAAGTCAAGAAGGAGGCGGAGAGTGGGGAGACGGCCTGTGGGGGAGTAAGTGGTAGTAGTCAATGCCTTCACGCTGAGTGAAGCCCTTGGCACAGTAGCGGGCTTTGAAGACAGGAAGTTCGCTGAGCAGCTGCTTGACATGGAAGACCCCTTTGCCCTTGACAATAGTGGCGCCAGGGGGGGGGGGGGACAGAGTCAATGTAGGAATTAGTTCTGGTAAATGCCTCACACTCAGCAATGATGGCAGCCATCCACTCAGTGGCATGAAAGCCCGACACGGCCTCGGAGTAGGACTGTGAGAGTACGCCGACGTTCGACACATTTCTCATTTCCATATTTTTACTCCATCTTATTCTCCTTATTTTCCTCTTTCATTTGCACTTTATTTCACCTCAATTGGACTACTATTCTATTTTCTAGAGCTTTCCGATTATTTCACTTATTTGGTATTTTCGGCACCGACATTTACATTATACGGCACCGACAGCACCGACAGTGGTGTACAAGGCGTAATCTCGCCATAATCCGAAGTGCCAATGGGCTTGCGTGCTTATGCGCACTTGTGATTATCTATTCTAGAAGAGCGCGTTTCCGAAGGTTCGGATTATCTGTTGTTTCTATGTATTTCTGAGTATAAATACGCCTTGTACTCACCTTTAGTGCAACATTCTCGAGTGGAAATTCGATCCTGTGACAAGGACTGAGGGGTGGGAATGGCAGCAGTGTCAACAGAGAGAAGAGTGGGAGAATCGCTGAAGTCACCGACAGTGACACATAGGAGAGGTGAAACATGATGAATGGTGAAGAGCTCCTCAAAGCGATCTTCAAGAAGATTCACATCCTGGGATGGAGATAGATGAGTGAAAAGAGCAGAGTGCTGAAAATTAGAAAGGGCGCGAGTCATGGAGCGAGTAAGGCGCGGGGAAGGGGGGGGGGGATGGGTACGGGCGAAGGGGATTGAGAGGAAGATGGAGGTGAGGAAGGGAGGGGAGCTGAAGAAGAAGAGGCGGGTGGGGAGGCGCCAGAGATGATGTCGGAAGGGGGGGCAGTAGAGGCTGGTGCGGGGGGAGGGGCGGGAAGAGGCGGGATGGGAGGGGGGGGAGGAGGGGAGGGGAGGACAGACGACGGCTGATCGAAATCAGACCAGTGAAGAGAAGGGACAGGAGGGGCGGGTAGGGGAGAATGGAATGGAGAGTGGGTCTCATCGAAAATTACGTCATGGCTGCGGATGAGTTGGTGAGAGGAGGGGGTGTAGAAAAGATAACCAGGACAATCAGAGTTGATGCCAAGGAATGCACAGAGTTGCGTCTTGGGAGCGAGCTTCCCACCCGGACGAGATCGGTCTGCTGGATTTACAAGAACATGGGCGACACACCCCCATACCCGAAGAGGGCGGACAGAGGGCTGGCGGCCACTCCAAAGCTGGAAGGGGGTGGTAGTGGGGCGAAGAGGATGGTGGCGGAGGTTAGAGAGTAAAGTGGCATGGTGAAGAGCATAGCTCCAAAGGGAGTGGGGAGCAGAGGCATGGGTGAGAAGGCAGTGAGTAATTTCCATGAGAGTGCGATTGCGACGCCCAGCAACCCCGTTCTGCTCGGGGGAGTGAGGAAGAGTGGAGGTCTGGTGAATGCCATGAGAGGCACAGTAAGAGGAGAGAGAGTGATTAAAGAATTCGCCACCACCATCGGAATGGAAGCACGCGACAGGACGCTTAAAGCGTAGACGAGCCTGCTCAGCCCAGCGAATGATGAGGGAGGGAGCGTCAGATTTGGCACGGAGGGGATAGACAGTTGCAAAGCGTGAGTGGTCATCAACCAAAAGCAGAAAATATCGATGACCCTGACGAGAAGCAGTAGGTGAGGGACCCCAGAGGTCCATATGAACAAGGTCAAGGGGTTGGGGAGAGGCAGAGGGAGAAGAGGGATGAGGTGACTAGGAGAGTTTGGCCTGGACACATGGGGTGCATGGAGGAGCAGGAGAGGGAGTAAGGGGGGGTGGAGAGGGAGGGAGGCCATGAAGAAGCTTAGAAGAGACCATACTGCAAAGAAGGGGAAAGTTAGGGTGGCCAAGTCGATGATGAAGGAGAAGGGTAGGTTGAGTAAGAGTGCGACAGTCGCAGGAGGGAATAGGAGGGGCGGAAGCGGAAGAGGCATGATGGGCAGAAGGGGGAAGAGAGACACGAAGAGTGTAGAGGCGAGTGATAGGAGAAAGAGTGAAGCGTGCAAGATGGCGGTTGCGATGATAGAGATCACACTAGGAGTCACATTCAGGAAAGATAGCTTGCACACAAAGACGTTGAAGAGCGGAGAGAGAAAGAAGGTTGTGGCGGCAGGAAGGAACATAGTGGCCAGTCACAGCACCAGAGGGGGAGGCACGACAGGGAAGAGAAGAGGTAGCGGTGCAAGTCATGGTCATGGTATCCCCAGCCCCTTCAATGGAGAGGGGACGGGGAAAAGAGCGAAGCACACCAGCGTCACGAAAGACAGAGTCAGTAGCACTACTGTCAAGAACAAACTCAAGAGTGCGAGGGTGGGAAAGAGCAGCAGCTGTGGGACCAAGATACTGAGAATCATTTCCATTAACAGAAGGAGTGAACATCATGGCAAAACGAGGGTCCATAAGGGGAGAAGCCCCCGGAATGCTATCCTGACTTGGCATAGTCACATTGAGAGCAGAGGTTTGAGCACCTGCACCAGAGTCGGCGGCCGCAAGGACCGCCTGGGCGGAGGACTGGCGATGCTGACGAGAGAGTTGGAGCCAGTTGGGAGGGCGAACAGTGTTGCTAGCTAGGAACCATTCATCGATGAGCTTCTGGAAGCAGGAGGAGGTGGGATGATTGGTGCGACTGCAGGGCTGACCCTTGCGGGGCCCTTGGCGAATGATGTAGGTGCAAGGAGGAAAAGTGTTGCGAGGGCGAGAGGAAGTAGCGGCGACAGTGGTGGTGGAGAGAGGAGGAGGGGCAGAAGAGGGTGTGACAGGAGCGACAGTAGGACAGCTGCGGAGGTTGAGTTCTCCCTGGAGGAGGAAGGCAGAGACACGGGAGAACGACCACTGGTCGGCGGGGCGCTCACCATACAAGGTGACATGAACACTGTATTCAGGAGTGAGGCATGTGAGGAGGAGGGCACCGCAGACATGATCGGAAAGTTCAAACTGTTGAGCGACAAGTTGGGAGGACAGCGTCTGCACACGAGCGATGTAGTCTGCCATGGTGGTGAAGTCAGCAAGACGAAGAGAGGTGAGCTCGCGTAAGAGGGCAATGACGCTGATGGGAGTCTGTGACTGATAGCACTCGGTGAGATTGCCGAGAAGGTCCTTGGCAGAGCGGATATGCGAGCACTGAGGGAGAAGAGTTGGAGGGAGGCAGGCAAGTATGACCTGACAGGCACGTGCGTTGGCAACATGCGAGTCAGCAAGAAGGTCAGAGTGAGATGGAGCAGAGGAAAGGGGCGTAGAGGCATAGCGAGGATTAGGGGCAGCGAGGTGCGCAGTGAGGCGCTTGCGGGTGCTCTCGAGGGACTCAGCAAGAATACGAGCTAAGTCACGGGCAGCAGCATTGTCAGGAGCACCCCGTGGCGGTGGCTTGCGCCGTGGCCACAAGCCGCTCAGTTTCAGCAATGGCAGCACGGAGGCCATCAGCATAGGGGTCAGAGGAGGAAGAGGTGGGTGCAGAGGGAGAGGTAGGAATGGTGCCAGAACCATTCTGCTGAGTGACAAACCAGAGGTTAAAGCCACTCACTAGGGTGCCAAACAGCGTGCGCTCAAGAGAGTTCAGCCAACTGGGGAAGTTGACTGCACTGCCATCGGGCGCAAGCTGAAGGACCAGCAGAGGGAGGGAGGGGAGGGTGAGAGAGGTCGCCATGAGGAGGAGGAAACAGCTGCAGAGCAGATGTGGGGAGAGGTATAAGAGGCGGAGGAATAAGGGCGGGGTAGTCTGCTGCTGAGCTGCTGAGGGGAGAAACAAGAGGAGGAGGGAAAGTGGCGGAGTAGTCTGCTGCTGAGTCGATGCGGGGAGAAAACTAGAGGAGGAGGGAAAATGGCGAAGTAGTCTGCTGTTGAGCCGATGAAGGGAGAAACCAGAGGAGGAGGGAAAGTGGCGGAGTAGTCTGCTGCTGCGCCCATGAGGGGAGAAACCAGAGGAGGGAAAGTGGCGGAGTAGTCTGTTGCTGCGCCGATGAGGGGAGAAACCGGAGGAGGAGGGATAGCGGCGGAGAAGTCCGCTGCTGTGCCGCTGAAGGGAGAAACAAAATGAGGTGGGAGAATTATGAAGAGTTTGCAGTTGAGCAGTTGAGAGGAGGATGTTGAGGAGGAGGGAAGGTGTGGAGGAACAATAGCTACACAACACAATCAGCTGCCAGCTGCAGCAGATGAAGAGAGAAAAAAGGTGGAGGAGGGGTGAGATAGTGGAGAGGGAACTAGTGGGAGAGAGGAGAGGAGGAGGAGGGTGAAGGGGCGGATTGTGGGAAGGGCAAGGCACGCCACAAGGAGCTGCGAGGCGCAGCAGATGGGGAGAGAAAATAGGAGGAGGAAGAGGTGAGGTAGTGGGGGGAAGCACAAAGGAGAGAGGGAAGGAGGAGGAGGGTGAGGGAAGGGGCGGATTGAGGAAGGGCAGGGCGCGCCGCAAGGAAGGGCAGGCGCGCGCGCTGCTGAACGGTGCTTAGTGCGCACGGCTGCGGGAGCGCAATGCGCGCGCGACGGGACGGGGGAAGGGGGGGGACGGCAGAGCGCGCTTTGGGCGAGAATGGGCGCGCGACCACCAGGAACGGGAGGAGAAGGAGGCACGACAAATGGGAAGGCGCGGGAGGGTGATAAGGGCGGTATGGCGACGCGCTACGGACTGGATTGAGGGATCCGCGAGAGTATAATGTGACAAAAAATGCGATTTTTTTTTAAGAGTGACGGGAAAGAAAGGAGATAATAAAAAACCGTCTAGCTAAGTAGCGCGGAAATGGCCTAAGGGCCGGAGATTCTTCAAGAAATACGGATAAATATGAAACGCCTAGGACTACGCTCTGAATACCATGTTAAAGCCCGCGGCCGAAATTGCGGGCCGTGCAGGTCAAGCTTTTAAATCTTGACGAACTAGTGTTTGCAAGGTTTGAAAAAAAGCCACCCTGCAATTTGGGACTTTTGGAAACTGAACCAATCCCCAGGGCGAAATACGAGGGCGGGCTGGGTTTGGCGAAAAAAACGAAAAACGCGAATTGGAATTTTTCGCCAAAACCCATACCACCAAAACCCCCTCGCGTAAACCTTTTAAAAGTTGTGCAATTTGGGCTGCCGGCTTTAAAATGAGAGGAGCCATGGATGGTCGAAAAAGTTGCACTATGAAGAAAATGTCGAGATACAAAAGAGAGTGGGTTGGAAACCCTAATTGAACCTAGGGTGTGTTTGGTTTGTACTAAGAACTACGAAATGAACCTAAAATGAACATGAATGCGTAACTCTCTCTAAGCATGGAGAAATAATATAAAAATACCAAAATAAAGACCAGAGCGAGCTCTAGCCTACTCCAACATCGTTCTCCTCCAAAGCCGTGCGTTGACAACAAGGCCATTATTGCCTTGTGTCAGGAGCACAGACTTGAGCACAGGACGAAGCACATCGCTCTGCATTACTTCCTTGCTCAAGATTTGCAGCAGCGTGGTCAGCTTCGTCTTGCTTACGTGGCCACTCGGGCCAACACTACTGATATATTTACAAAGGCACTTCAGCCTGGTGATCATTAGCGTTTTTGTACTGTTTTAGGCCTTGAACCTACTTTACCTGACTTGCTCACTTCGTGACTTTGTTTGTACTGTGATCTTTACAAAAAAATATATATATATATACCTGCATGCTTACCCCTGCTAGGTTGTGATCACTGTACTGTTTGTTCTTGATTTGTATATAACTCTGCGTGTGGACTAGCCTTGTGGCCATTTGCTTGTGCCCAGAGTGTGTGGTGACTTTGTGATCCACCCTGAGCTTGTTTTGCTTTCTCTTGACTGGTCTTGTGGCTTCCTGTTCTCCCCCACTTTGCCTATGGGGGTGTGTCAAACTGTTATAATGTTTGTGTTATGTAGGCTGTAGTGGAGTAGCCCATAAGAGGTACAACCCAATTAGGGTTAGTACTTGTACCAACTTTCTTCTCAATGCAATCATTCTCTCGTCTAGATTGACATTAACACCCCCCGGCACTGGGATGCTCGAGACCTTCGCTTTGATACCATGTCAGAATCCCAGCCACTAACCACTGTGATAAAATGACTTGTTTATGTAGCGGGTGAGTGCGCCCATGACCCTCCAGGCCAACGTGCCTGTAACCCTTCCATAGGATCAATCGGGGATCTCCAGTGGACCTCTAAGACTTATCCCTACAATCAATGTTTTTTTCACTGACTAAGCATACTGTAGGGGCCACTTTGCGTTCGGTTGTGTGAGTCTCATATAGCAAGGATATTACGGTGTGCTGCAATTGCCAGTGCACTGTGTCGGCTCGGGATGTTTGGAAGGCTCTTGGCAGGCGGCAGGCCAAACACGGGCACTGATTCGGGAAAGTAAAAATTTAGATAGTGATTCAAAGAGTTATCTACTAGGGTTATATTTGGACATAGAATGTTTTTGCGCGTTTTCAGTAAAGTTTTTGCGGCCTCTTGCGTTCCAGGAGCCTTCCTGAACCCGTGCCACGAACACTGTTTCAATTTTACTGGCCAATCAACCGCCTTCTGTCAAGATAGTAGGCTAAGGCTTAGTAATTTAGGAGACTAGGAGGCATAGGAACAAGGGTTTGCAGAGGGAGTTGGCCAACAAAAGAGAGGTTTCAATATGAGAGAGATTACAAGATATAGGAAAGGTAACAAAAGGGGGTATACCACCGAGGGACTACACTGCTAGCTATACATGCAATTATTTAAAAGCATTATATTCTAACATCCCCCCTTACTTGCATAAAGACTAGTTGGTGTAGGGGTGCTCAACCCTAAACGCATCAATCACCGTGCAGCAGTTGGGCCCTTCGGTAGGATACCTGCCTGCGGTTTAACACCCGCAGTGGATGCCCGGTGAGCGCGACGAGGGGAACGAGATACGACACGACACGAGAAAACGCCTAGATCTGTCTGACTCTCTCTCTCTCTCTCTCTCTCTCTCTCTCTCTCTCTCTCTCTCTCTCTCTCTCTCTCTCTCTCTCTCTCTCTCTCTCTCTCTCTCTCTCTCTCTCTTTCTCTCTCTCTCTCTCTCTCTCTCTCTCTCTCTCTCTCTCTCTCTCTCTCTCTCTCTCTCTCTTTCTCTCCACCCCCTTAACCTCTCTCCCTCCCCCTCCCACATCAAGAAGTGCTGCAGGGAGAGAGGAAGAGGGAGGGGAGGGACGGGCTGCAGGCTGCTCACACCCGCCACCCCCACATCACCTCCCCCCCCCCCCCCCCCTACGGCTGAAGTCGCGGAAGGGAGGCAGAGGGGGGGGGGGGGGGGGTCAATCGCTGCTGGCGCTCGCGTTGGCGCCGGCGGATCGTGGGGCGACGAGCGTAATGGGCGCGGCGACCGGGGGATGCGACGCGCAGAACGGGCAGAGCGCAGGGCGACGAGCGCGACGGGCGCAGGGCGCGACGCGCGACGGGCAACGATGAAAAAAAAAAAAAAAAAAAAAAAAAGTGCATTTCGCGTTGCAGCATGGGCGGGCCCATTTTCCTGAAAAGAAAGAAAGAAAAAAGGTCCTTCGACCGGGACCAGCTCAGAGAGCATGTCAAGATAGTAGGCTAAGGCTTGGTAACTTATGAGACTAGGAGGCATAGGAACAAGGGCTTGGAGAGGGAGTTGGCCAACGAAAAAGAGGTTTCAATATGAGAGAGATTACAAGATATAGGAAAGGTAGCAAAAGGGGGTATATTACCTAGGGATTACACTACTAGCTATGCATGCAATTATATAAGAACATTATATTCTAATACCTTCGTACAAATCGGAACCCCAATTCGCAAAAAAGAAAAAAGAAAAGAAAAGAAAAGAAAAGACATGCAAAACAACTGTCGATCAGGGCTGAAGTTTCAAAATAGGCCTCCCTGATTCCATGAAAAAAATTCCCCCTGTGTTATGGGTGCATATTTTACATGAAAACATCTCCCTGATTGCTCAGTGTTGGGAAGTTATATAGTCTGAAGAAGTCAGGATCAGTGTAGTAACGCACTGTGCATTATCGAAACTGAACCTCGATGGTGGGTGTATAGAAAAGAAAGTTCGAAGAAACTTCTTTCCCATAAAGCGGGGGGCTACGTACGTGAGGGTACTTCCTGGAAACTCCTGTATGACCTCGGTTGTGAGTGGCGTTGTTCTGCAGGCGTTTAGGGTTCCGCACCAATTTGACCGCGGTAGCCTTCCGTGCATTTTCTATGCGCATTCATGCTGGTTGCGTTGCACGGATGTTGCTGCCTCGCATAACATGTGCGGAGGCTGATGCTAGCACCCGAGGTAGAATTAGCACCGCACTAGTTGTGCGACCATTTGCCCGGCGAAGCAACAACTTCGAACCTGCAGACGGTTAAATTCGTGCGCCCCAAAAGTGGCGTTCTGCAGGCTGAAGCGCTAAATTTGGCGCAAACAGGTTCGGCAGAACCTTTCTGTCAGAATGTGATGTTTGTCTAGCCTGCAGTGGGGTACTCTATAGCGAGTATAGCCCGAATTAGGGTTTGCTATATGTACTCAACTGCCTGCTAGTGAAAAGCCTCTTTCCTGTTTCTGATTCTTGACTAGTCATTTGACATGCTATCAGAGCGGTTACGCTCCTGGCCTGTGGGCCCACTGCTAGCTTCCGCTGCTGTCCTGTCTGTCGCGCGCCCCGTGGCGCGTGACGTTCTTTCTTCCCGCCACGCGCTCGGGGCGCATGGCAGTTTTCTGCCCGTCGTGCGCCCCGAGGCGCGCGGCGGTTTTCTGCCCCGTCGACCCGCGCGTCGCCCCCCGTCGCCCGTTGCAGCGCCCCCGGGGACCCGCGCGTCGCCCCCCGTCGCCCGAAGCGGCCCGCGCGGCCTGCACACGGCCCGTATGGGCTGCGCCAGGCCCGCGCGCGGCCCGTACAGCCCGCTTGCGGCCCGTACGGGCTGCGCCAGGCCCGCGCGCGGCCCGTACGGCCTACGCCAAACCCGCGCGCGGCTCGTACGGGCTGCGCAAGGCCCGCGCGCTGCCCGTACAGCCCGCGCGCGATTCGTACGGCCCGCGCCAGGCCCGTGCGCGGCCCGTACAGCCCGCGCGCGGTTCGTACGGCCCGCGCCAGGCCCGTACAGCCTGCCCCAGCGCCCCGCACCGTTCTGCTTCACCACGAGCACCGCCCCCGCTGCTGCACGCTCTCCTGCCCCGTGCTGCCTGTGTTAGGGTTTGGGGGTGGCGAGTATGGGGGTGACGGGTGTGTACGCCGTCCCCTGCTCCTCCTCCTCCTTCGTCTCCCACTGCTGCAGCTACCGATGAGGGGGGTGGATGTGTTGGAGCCGTCGGAGTGGTACGAGGGGGGTGGCGTGTGAGCAATGCTAGGGGTACAGCAGGGAGTGTGTGAAAGGGGTGTGGGACAGTTGGGGGAGGTTGACCGGAGGTAGCCGGTGTGACGTCAGCAGCGCCAGTAGTCCGGGGGTTGAGTACTCCGGTAGCCCAGCGAGCCTGCTGCTGCCAGTCGCCCATGGGTCTGTTGCTCCTGTTGCAACTTAGCGCGGAGCCAGTTACTCCTGTAGTCCGGAGGTTGAGTGCTCCGGTAGCCTGTTGCCCGTGTGTCTGCGGCTTCACCAGACGCCTCCTATCTCCACTCCTCTCACAGTTCCTCCTCCTCCTCACTTGCCTTCTGTGACTGCCTTTAGCTTTGCTTGTATTTGTGAACCTACTGCTTTGCCTACTTGCTGTGCTGATTATACCCCACTTTGACTATGGGGGTGTGTCAGAATGTGATGTTTGTCTAGCCTGCAGTGGGGTACTCTATAGCGAGTACAGCGCGAATTAAGGTTTGCTATATGTACTCAACTGCCTGCTAGTGAAACGCCTCTTTCCTGTTTCTGATTCTTGCCTAGTCATTTGACACTTTCTTATCACCAAACCTTGATAGGCAGAAGACCACTTACATCAACGAAGATTCTGCGGACCCAGTTTTTTTAAAATTTAACGCCTACAGAACAACGCCAGTGTGTCGGATCGAAATTTTGAAGAAACTTCGTCTCGATAATGTCGTTTTCGGAGTTCGCCCCCACGCTGGCTGTACTAGGAACAATCCGAAGGCGGGGTTATTGGAAGGAACTTTCCAAGAAACCTTTTCGCGATACGATCAAATTCAGGGACCACAGAGTCGATACTCTCTTAAAGCTGTCGCCTACATACTTCCTGCGGGAGGACTCGGTTTATCACTTGAAAACCTGGTAGCACAGGGCTTCGCTCCAACCTTGAGTGGCGAGGTGCAGCTACTGCTTTGTGACAACCCAACCCTCCCCTCTGAGAATTGGCCTGCTCAGGATTGGCTTACAATTTTCGCGCCAATCTCCTCCCCAACCTCGATTGGTTGCAGGTTGTGGCGAAATCGCGAAAGGAAGCCCAACCTCACGAAATTAGTACCCCCCAACCGAGCCTTGCACGAAACTGGCGGGATTCGCCAGTTGTGTTTGAAACTTTCGCGCCCTGATTTCTGGAAAAGGATCAATTTCGTGAGCAAATCAGACTGTGTCCTGGGGTGTGCACCCGAAATACCCCCAGAAAATACCATTTAGAATGTAGACCGCAGCTTTAAGTCAGGGTCCACTAACAGGCTAGTCTGTTACACCTGTACTCAAAATCAGGGATACGAAATCTATTACTCTGATTGGATCAGGATTGAGAATTCATTAATTCTGAAATTTCAGTCTCCACAAAGTGGAAAGCCTGAAATCACCCTGAAGTCAGGGTAATTACCCTGATAAAAACAGCACTGCTGTCGATCAACCTTACTAAAGTTTCCTAGCGCGATCTGCAATTTGGGCCATTCGCTCATCCCTTCACTAATTTTGCTCCGTCAGTGCACCGTAGGAACAATGACTACCGTATTACCAAGGCCGCAAAGGAGGCTATTCGAATGCTTATAACTACCACGAGAAATCACAACTAGCACCTCCACCACAATGCCTATGCTAGGCACGCTTTTTTTGCAACCATTCATTCAGAGCCACCCGGGGAACAACCAGTCGCCCAGGATTCCTCTTGTGCACAAGCACACCGCCACCACTCCCTTCCGTCTCATCTTCAGAAGAACTGGATTGACTGGATTGACTCGACGAATAACTACCACCGTTGGCAGCACCGGTAGCTGCACTCTTGTACACAGGCGATGGAGAGGTGACGGGAAGCCCGAGCTCCTTTTGTAACATGTGCGTTACCGCCTCTCGCACCACTGAGTGGCCTGGCGTTGAGCTGCGCCGGCCTGTGCCTGTGATTATAACAAGGTCGTCTTGTATGGGGGCACCTGAAGGGTATGAACACGGGGTATTAAGAAGAGGTTACTAACAAGGCTTGCACGCAGTGACTTTTGAGTACAGAGAGCACTGTTGGTGCGTGCTGTGCTGTGCAGTGCAGTTCAGTGCTGTGCGGTGCATGGATGGATAGCACAGTGCACTGGGCTCACTCACCTCCTGAGCGCTGGAAGGTCTCCTTGAGCAGGCGTAGTACAGAGTGCACTGCTGGTGTGTGCTGTGCAGTGCTGTGCTGTGGGGTGCTGTGCTCACTCACCTCCTGAGCGCTGGAAGGTCTCCTTGAGCAGGCGCAGCACAGACAGCACTGCTGTGCGTGCCTCGGCCTGGTAGGGGTAAGCGATGGTTTAAGGGGATGGAGAGTGGCGAGGTGGGTTGTCAAGCGGTGAAGTGGGATGACAGGTGGTGAAGCGGGATGGAGGGGAGTGACGAGGGATGGAGGGTGGTGATTTGGGATGGAAGGAAGCGAGAAGGGACGGAGGGGAGCGAAACAAGCAAGAACAGAAACGGCAACAAAATCGTTAACAAAGGCGAGAGAGGCCGTGGAGATCAGGCTTGGTCTAGCCCTCAACAATCCTCCAGTACCTCTCTAGAAGAACAAGAACAAGTACAAGAACAAGAACTAGTACAAGAGCCAGAACTAGTACAAGAGCCAGAACTAGTACAAGAGCCAGAACTAGGCCAGCAGCAGGAACACCAAAGTAGGATCCAAAAAGCTCACCCGAGAGAGGCCGTGGAGGTCAAGCTTGGTCAAGCCCTCAGCCATCCTCCCGTCCTCCTCTCCTCCCTCCCCTCCTCCTCCTCCTCCTCCTCCTCCTCCTCCTCCTCCTCCTCCTCCTCCTCCTCCTCCTCCTCCTCCTCCTCCTCCTCCTCCTCCTCCTACTCTTCCATCTGACCCGCTCCCAACACCAAGAGCATCTTTATCGCACTCGTCTTCTCTCGTTGCTCCACCCCCTGCCATGCCTGCTGACCCACCCCCTGCCATGCCTGCTGCTGTGCCCCCAGCACCGCCCAGGCCATCTCGAGCCAAGCTCGTGAGGTGAGAGGAAGAGGGGGCAGTAGAGGCTGAGGAGGCTGAGGAGGCTGAGGAGGGGGAGGAGGGGAAGGTGGAGAGAGGAGGGTCCAGTGCTCCTTCTGCCATCTCTCCTAGTAGGCTCTTGAGCACATAGTCGTTGGGGGAGTAGCTGGGGGGATGGGGGCGGGGGAGAAGGGGGAATGGGGGCGGGAGATAAGGGGGAATGGGGGCGGGAGATAAGGGGGAATGGGGGAATAATTGAGACCTCAGCCATCTCCCCTAGTAGGCTCTTGAGCACATAGTCGTTGGGGGAGTAACTGGGGCAATGGATGGGAGAAAAGGGAACAGGGGCAACGTGGGTGAGGGGATGGGGCAGAAGGGGAAGGGGGAAAGGTGGAGAGAGGAGGGTCCAGTGCACCTTCAGCCATTTCACCCAGAAGGCTCTTGAGCACACAGTCGTTGGGGGAGTAACTGGGGCGTTGAACAGGGAGGGGAATGCGGAAGACAGGGTCAAAGGGAAGACTTGGAGTAGGTGAGGAGGAGTGGGCTTTTGGGTTGACTCGGTTTTTGAGTCGACTCACAAGCTGGGGCATTGGAGAGGAGGGGAGTGCGGAAGAAAGGGTAAAGCGGGAAGGTTGGAGTAGGTGAAAACGAGTGAGAGACAGTGAAGGTTGAAGTTTGTTGGATTCAAAACGCAGCAAGCCTGCTAAGAGAACGATCGGTAATACTAAGTCTACTAATCTGAAAGACCCTGCAGCATCAGGGAAGGTTAGAGTAGGTGAAAACGAGTGAGTCAGTGAAGGTCCCGTTTTTTTTCTTTTTCTTTTTCTTTCTTTTTTCTTTTTTCTTTTCTTTTGTGTGTGTGTGTGTGTGTGTGTGTGTGTGTGTGTGTGTGTGTGTGTGTGTGTGTGTGTGTGTGTGTGTGTGTGTGTGTGTGTGTGTGTGTATGTGTGTGTGTGTGTATGTGTGTGTGTGTGTGTGTGTGGCTTTCAGAAGCCAGTTGGGGTTTTCCTTGTACCAGTTTTTCGAGCTCTCAAGAGTGGGTATAAGAGCGGTGGGGCTTTGAGACAATGGGAGGAAAGGGGAAGGGGGAGGCAGAGGGGGAGCTGGGTTTCAGAACAGGCAGGCAGGAATGCAGAGTGATGTGGGGTATTGTTGTGGGAAAAGATTGATATGTGGGATTGACTTGCATTTGGTTTCACATGCACCATACCCCCATGCACCACCATGTTCCATGCCCCCTCATGTTCCATGCCCCATGCCCCATGCCCCATGCCCCATGCCCCATGCCCCATGCCCCATGCCCCATGCCCGATGCCCCAGTCCCCATCGACCTCGCCCCATGCCCCATGCCCCATGCCCGATGCCCCAGTCCCCATCGACCACGCCCCATGCCCCATGCCCCATGCCCCATGCACCATACCCCCATGCACCACCATGTTCCATGCCCCATGCCCCATGCCCCATGCCCCATGCCCCACGCCCCATGCCCCATGCCCCATGCCCCATGCCCCATGCCCCATGCCACATGCTCCATGCCCCATGCACCATTCCCCATCGACCACGCCCCATCCCTCGTCCCCAAGTCAAATGTCCCATGCCTCCCATGCTCTCGCCCCCCTCTGCCCCCCACTCACCCCGCCTGCCTCATCTCTTCATACACCAGCAGCAGCCGCTGAATGCGCCTCTGTTGCACTCATGCGCCTGGTAGCTTCAATTCAACTTACTCAACCCCCCCATCCCATACCTTCTCCCCACTCACCCCGCCTGCTTCATCTCCTCATACACCAGCAGTCACTGAATGCGCCTCTGATTGCAGAAGCAGCACAGCACCTGTACCACTTACCCACTCGAAGAAGCCACGGGGCACACAAGAAGCACGCCCACTCCAACCCGCCTGCCCTCACACTCCCCACCACCCAGCCATCCCCCTTCCCCACTCACCCCGCCTGCCTCATCTCCTCATACACCAGCAGCAGTCGCTGAATGCGCCTCTGATTGCAGAAGCAGCACAGCACCTGTACCACTTACCCACTCGAAGAAGCCACAGGGCACACAAGAAGCACGCCCACTCCAACCCGCCTGCCCTCACACTCCCCACCACCCAGCCATCCCCCTTCCCCACTCACCCCGCCTGCCTCATCTCCTCATACACCAACAGCAGCCGCTGAATGCGCCTCTGATTGGCTGCTGCTGATGCACCAATGGCAGTCAGGCGGGGGATTCGGGAGGAGGAAGGGGAAGGTGAGGGGGGGTATTGGGAGGAGGAAGAGGGGGAAGAGGGGGAAGGAGGGGGGGAGGAGGAGGAGGAGGAGGAGGAGGAGGAGGAGGAGGAGGAGGAGGAGGAGGAGGAGGAGGAGGAGGAGGAGGAGGAGGAGGAGGAGGAGGAGGAGGAGGGTGGGAGAGTGTCAGCTTGCAAGGGAAGGCGGAGGAGAGTGTTGAACGTGACCTGTCAGGGAAGAGGGGTTTGAGCAGAAAGGGTGAAGAGAAAGCGACAAGAAGAGGAAGACGTCAAGGGTTTGCAAGGGAAGGCGGGGGAGAGTTGAACGTGACCTGTAAGGAAAGAAGCGGTTGAGGAGAAAGGGTGTGAACAGAAAGGGGCAGAAGAAAAAAGAGGGCGAAGGGGTGAAGAAAAACGGTTGAGGTACTGTCACTGTGCTGGATGTGAGCTTGAGGGGAGAACAGGGGTAGAAAGCACAGCAAGTGGTCGAATGGACAAGAAGGGAAGCACTTAAAGGGTTCAATTCGCTCATGGAAGGAGCAGAGGTGATGCAAGGGGTGACATTCTTCTGAGTCGACTCAAAAGTCACCTCGCAGAGGTGATGCAAGGGGTGACATTCTTCCACGAATAGGTGTGCTTGCTTGTGGAGATGCTTGTGGTGATGCTTGTGGTGATGCTTGTGCTGATGCTTGTGGTGATGCTTGTGCTGATGCTTGTGGTGATGCTTGTGCTGATGCTTGTGGTGATGCTTGTGGTGATGCTTGTGCTGATGCTTGTGCTGATGCTTGTGCTGATGCTTGTGCTGATGCTTGTGCTGATGCTTGTGCTGATGCTTGTGCTGATGCTTGTGCTGATGCTTGTGGTGATGCTTGTGGTGATGCGTGTGGAGATGCTTGTGCCACGCTTAAGAAAACTCTAACTCGACGATACGGCAGTTGCTCTTGTCTGTCGCGATTTCTCCTCATCAGGTTCGGCCTGAATCCCTCGGCCTTCAAAGTATCGTACAAGCCAGAAGCAAGCATGGTCCCAGTCTCCCCTTCAAAAGCAGACGGTTTCTAAGGTGTGTCAAAAGTGGCCTTTATGATATCTATTAGGGCCGAGATCTGTTTACCAGGTTGGGCCTGACGCCCTCGGCCTTCATTTGGTCGTAGAATCCAAAAGCTCGGTCCCAGTCTCCTCCTCGAATGCACGCCTGCAATCAGTGAAGACACAGAGGCGAGATTACGTGTTCGGTGACTTGAACTCAGCCCTCCAGAAACTACTGAGACGATTTTTTGGGCGCCTTTTGAGGATTTTTTAGGCGCCTCAAAAACCGCACAGGCGAGATTAGGTGTTCGGTGGCTTGGAACTCTATCCTCGAAAAAAATACTGAGCGGCGATGGGGTTGTGCCAGCCAACCAACTCGGGGGAATACAGCTCTTTGAGAGTCCACTGCTTTTTGAGGCGCCTCAAAAATCGTCTCAGTTCACGCGGTTTTGAGGCGCCTCAAAAATACTGAGCGGCAATGGGGTTGTACCAACCAGCCAACTCTGGGGAATACAGCTCTTTGAGAGTCCACTGCGTGTAGTGAGTCGAGTTTTGAGTTGACTCAAAACTCGGCGATGGGGTTGTACCGACCAACCAACTTTGGGGAATACAGCTCTTTGAGAGTCCACTGCGTGTAGTGAGTCGAGTTTTGAGTCGACTCAAAACTCGGCGATGGGGTTGTACCAACCAACCAACTCTGGGGAATACAGCTCTTTGAGAGTCCACTGCGTGTAGTGAGTCGAGTTTTGAGTCGACTCAAAACTCGGCGATGGGGTTGTGCCAACCAACCAACTCTCGGGAATACAACTCTTTGAGAGTCCACTGCTTACGTTCACTTAAGCTCAGATGCACTGCCAAGCTCACTTGAAAGTTCACTGGACACTTGAGCTCTTCAAGAATCACACAAACTGATCGCACCTTGATAGCCGCAGTGTATGCCACCACGTCCGTTGTCAGTGGTAAACAGGTAGGCTGCGGAGGTCTTATGTCCATCAACTTTGAATGTTTCTAGGACGACGAAGCAAACTCCATGAAATGAAAAAAAAATGAAAAAGCCTGGAGAGCTTGTGAGCTAGAGCGTATTAGAGAGCCAGATTGAACAGAAAGTCAACTTGGAGTGTATGCCACCCACCACGTCCGTTTTGAAATGATCTCTAAGTTGATTCAACATACTTCATAACAGCAGCGGCCATATAACTGATGACACACACCTTGATTACAGCAGTGTATGCGACCACGTCAGCTTTGAACCCCGCTGCTTGCATGTCTTGAAACGCCTGACCGATGTGTGGGGACGAGCCAAGGGGGAGGAAAGGAGGGAAGGAAAAGAGGAGGGGAGGGGGGAACGGAGAGGGGGGAAAACTGACTAGCCAGACCTTGATAACAGCAGTGTATGCCACGACGTCCACCTTGAGCATGTCTTGAAACGCCTGACCGATGTGTGCGGGAGAGGAGGGGAAAGGAGGGGGAGGAGTGGAGGGAGGGAGGGTTGAACGGGACGAGGGTGGAGTTTTGGGGTAAATGAAGTGGCTGGCTGGCACCAGAAAAACACAACACCACACCACACCACACCACACCACATCCGCCTTGAATTGAATCCCCCAGCACATTTGGACTGGAGTCTGGTAGTGAGGCGCCTCAAAACTAAATTTGAGGTCAACCAAGTGGCACCAGTACAAACCACTTGGAACCATTTACACCACATCGGCCTTGTTGAACCTCCCCCCAGTACACGCACACACACCTGCACAGCAGCGGTGGTATCCGCATTCTTACCATGGCAGTCCAGCAGCGGTGGTATCCGCATTCTTACCATGGCAGTCCAGCAGCGCAGCGCCACCCACGTGCAGCTCGTTGGTTCTCTCCCCAGCACACGCACATCCAAACACCAGCACGCACGCACACACATGCAACCACAAAGACACAGACGCGCGCGCGCACACACACACACACGCACGCACGCACGCACGCACTCACGCACGCACGCACGCACGCACGCACGCACGCACGCACGCACGCACGCACGCACGCACTCACGCACGCACGCACGCACGCACGCACGCACGCACGCACGCACGCACGCACGCACGCACACACGCACGCACACACGCACGCACGCACGCACACACGCACACCTGCACAGCAGCGGTGGTGTCGGCGCTGGTCCCATGGCATTCCAGCAGAGCCACTCACGTGCGCTTTCCCCACCGCTCTCATCTCCCCCACAAACGCCCGCACGCGCTGGGGGCTGCCCGTGCATGTATTTGCGTCGACTCAAAAACAGGCTCCCCCACAAACGCCCACATGCACTAAGGACTGCCTGTGCACGCCTTGATGCGTGCGCTGGGGACTGCGTCCCCCCATCCCCACTCTATTATCTCCCCCATTTCTAACCCCGCTCTTCTCCCCACCAGAGTATAAACACATGAATACCCACCTGCACAGCAGCAGCTGTATCCGCGTTGGTCCCATGGCAATCCAAGAGTGCCACCCATGTGCGCTCGTTGGGTGCTATCCCTGCCGCTCGCATCTCCCCCACAAACGCCCGCGCGCGCTGGGGGCTGCCTGTGCACGCCTTGATGACTGTGTTGAATGTGATTATATCGGGGGCGCAGATGGAGGGGGAGGAGGGAGGAGAGGAGGAGGAGGCAGAGGTGGTGGAGGAGGAGGGAGACGATGCAGCAACAACTGAAACCTCTTGCTCCACTCCACTCTCCTCATCCCCCCTCTCTTCCCCCACCCTCATCTTCCCGCTCCTCCCCCCAGCCTGCATTTCCCGAAGCAACGCCACCGCCCGATCCTCCAGCCCAGCTTCGGCGCACATGTCGATCATCAGGTTATACACAGCAGTGGTCGCCTCACACCCAGACCCCACCATCTCGTCAAAAACCCTAAACGCATGGTCCACAAACCCCGCGTGCACGCACGCACCAATCAGAGACGTCCACGTCACCACGTTGGCGCGCACGCCTGATTGGTCCATGTCGGATTTGACGGCGAAGGCGGCTTGGAAGCGGCCGGATTGGGCGAGGATCTGGATGACTGTACTGTATGTGTACACGTCTAGGTACCTGGAGCGACTGATTCTGCTGCTGCCGCTGCTGCTGCTGCTGCTGGTGCGGCTGTTTTGGCTTCTAGGCTCGCTGCTGCTCTCACTACTTCTATTTTGGCTGCTGCTGGTGCTGCTGTTCCCACTTCTAGAGTTGCTGCTGTTCTTGTTGCTTCTATCCTCGCTGCTGCTCTCACTGCGTCTATTCTGGCTGCTGCTGTTCCCACTTCTATCCTCGCTGCTGCTCTCACTGCGTCTATTCTGGCTGCTGCTGTTCCCACTTCTATCCTCGCTGCTGCTCTCACTGCGTCTATCTTGCCTGCTGCTGTGGTTGCCTCCAGCCCGTTCTTCTCGCTCCTCCAGCGCCCTCAGCTGCTCGTACAGCAGCTGGGCGGCATCCGGGCGGCAGTGGGCGGCACAGGCCTTGAGCAGCGTGTTGAAGGTGGTGGCGTCGGGGCTTACACCGAGACGCTGGATGGGAGAGATGTGCACGGGGAAGGAACATGGAAAGTGAATATGGTACCAGACTGTGAGTGAGAGGCCAGACTGTGGTACCAGACTGTGGTGGCGCAGGCCTTGAGCAGCGTGTTGAAGGTGGTGGCGTCGGGAAGGACAAGGGAGAGAAGGGCAAGGGGGAAGGATGAGGGAAGAATGGAATCAAGGTAAGAATGTCGTTGCCAGCTCACTGCCAGCTCATTCCCAGCTCATTGCCAGCTCATTGCCAGCTCACTGCCAGCTCACTGCTATTCAAACTCATTGTTTTCTTCGTAGTGTATTGATGTAAGCATGATTTTGCTCTCTTAACTCATGGGAAATCCACCAGGACTGCAGGAGTACTACTGCCAGGCCAGGTCATCACCGCCAGCTCAGCACTGCCAGCTCACCTCCATGCGGAACCAGAGCGACCACGTGGCGTCCCAGTCGCTGATGCACGCGTTAAGAGCACTGTTGACCACATAGGTGTTGGGTACCACCCCGTCCTCCTCCACCATAGCCTGGTGGGCGGAAGGCACGGGGAAGGAGAGTGAAGAAGAGAGAACGTGTCAGTACAAGCGTTGAGTGCGCTGTTGACCACGTAGGTGTCACCCCGTCCTCCTCCACCATAGCCTGGTGGTACCACAGCAGGGGAGGAAGGGATGGGAGCAGGCGCCAATAAAAAGGGAAACGGAGAGCGGGTGTCAGTCAGCACAAGCGTTGAGTGCTGTGAGCTCTGCTCTGCTGACCGCGTAGGTGTTGTTGGGTACCTAACACCCACCCCGTCCTCCTCCACCATAGCCTGGTGGGGGGAAGGGCGCGAGTGGGGATAGAGGGTGGGGGGACGGGAGCAGCGAAGTGTAGGAACACTTTTGAGGCGCCTCAAAAGTCATGTCAGAGCAGCGAAGTGTCGGACTAGGAAGGAGCACGAGCGGGCAAGCAAGCAGCCAGCTCGTATGTATCACCTGAACGATTTCAGCAGCCGTACTGCCTGCATTTGAGTCGCCTCAAAAGCAGCAGGCAAGCAGCCAACTCATATGCTTCACCTGAATGATTTCAGCAGCCGTAGTGCCTGCGCCGCACGCTGCACACACGTCCATCATGGAACGGTAGGTGAACATGTCAGGTTCCACTCCAGGTGCTATTTCAGGTAACGCGCCCTCCTCAGGTAAAACCTCAGGTGAAACGCCAGGTGGCAACGAATCTTCTCCAGGTGACTCCCTGGTACCACCGCTGCTGCTTCTGTTACTGCTGCTATCACCACCCCCACTTCCTCCTGCTCTGCACCCCTTCCTGAGTGCGTGGAAGAGTGTCAATGCTAGTTGTAGCTTGCCCTGCCTGGCACACTCCTTGAGGGCCTTGTTGTAATCCACTGAACTTGCAGATGGCAGGTGCAGGATGAAGCTGCGAGCAGGGGAGGAAGGTGAAAGGAAGAGCGGGTGTGTGAAAGAGAGAGAGGGTCAAGTCAAGGCTGGTTGGTTGCATTGCAGATTGCCCTGCCTCGTGCACTCCTCGATGGCCTTGCTGTGATCCACTGCGGACGCACTCGGCAAGTGGCCTTGGTAGGTACACCTGGTCGCTCACTCACTGCTAGCTTTCTTCACTGGGGTGTGCTGCTAGGATCTAAGCCTGCAAACCCTATACCCAGAACCCTGGTCAGTGAACAATGCTAACTCACCACATGACAAGAGGTAAATTAGAGGCAGCAATGCATGCTTGGTACACCTGATCGCTCACTGCTAGCTTCCACGACTGAGGCGGCTGTAAGCCCGCAAACCCTAGACCCTGAACCCTGGCCGGTGAACAAACCCAACTAACCGCATCACGAGCGGCGACGCATGCTTGGTACACCTGGTCGCTCACTGCTAGCTTCCGTGACTGAGGCGGCTCTAAGCCTGCCAACCCTAGACCCTGAACCCTGGCCGGTGAACAAAGGTAACTCACCGCATCACGAGGGGCAGGTTGGAGGCGGCAACGCATGCTTGGTACACCTGGTCGCTCACTGCTAGCTTCCTTGGGGATAGCCCCAGACCTGGTAGGCACAGATGGGCGGGCATTGGGTTCACACACACACACACAAACAGGGGGGTTGGGGGGTGGGTTCCTACACACAGGGTGCAGGGTGCTTATAAGGCGTCTCAATAGGCAATGCGTGCTTGCTTGGTACACCTGATCGCTCACTGCTAGCTTGAAGCTTCCTTGGCGATAGCCCCAAGCCTGGAGGGGGTAAGTGGGGGGTTGACTTGACACGCACAGGGGGGAATGGGGGGAGGGGGGGGGCGGGGACTGGGGGTTTGGGGGAAGGGGCTTGGCGCAAAGACCCCAATGACTGGGCCCCAATGACTGGGTTTAAGAGAAACCAACGAGTGGATTGTGAGGAAGCAGAGAGATGAGAAACAAGAGAAGAGGGAAGCAGAACCTGCTAGTCATTCAGAAATTTCAGGGTTGAACAGAAAGTGGTGCTACCTGCGAGGGAGCAGAGCAAATCAACTGCTTCCTCCACCCGCTTTCGTCTCAGCGCGTGCAGCACTGCCAGACGCACGTCTCGCCGCGCTGCCACGCTCCCCACCACCTCCTCCCACTTCACCGCTCGGCCCATGAACCCCCCGCTTTCCCCATCTGCTGAGTTTTTTCTAAGCGGGTCTTCAGACTGGTGATGTGCTAGTGCGAGGAGCAGCGAATTCGCCGTTTTAAGCTGACTCGTTTGAAGCAGTTTCCTGAGGCATTGAGACAGGACGCTCAGCGCAGCCGCGCGGGGAGATGAGGCCGGCTGGCCGTGAGATGACGTGGCATGCTCGCTCAGTGATGACGTGGCAGAATCGCTGAGTGATGTCGTGGCACTATCAGCCGCCACGCGCTCGCATTCTCTCGCGACGAAGTCCACGCATTGGTTGACCGGCTTCGTCCGGAGCAACTTTAAGGTCTTCTCTGAAAGCTCGTCTTTCCATTGGCTGCTTGCATCCCTAGGCCCTCTTTGGGAGTTTCCAGGAATCACCTTTGAAGCTTCTGCGACACTTCTAGAAGCTCCAGTGGCTGGCTTAGTAGCTGCGGATGAGTTATTGTTTCCTGTGGCAGCGGCTGCTACTACAACAACCGCAGCAACAGCGGAGACTTTACTGATTGGTTGACATGAGCCGGCATTGAGAGTGGCCGCATTCGATAGTTTGACTGCGACTCGCCGCCTAGCCGCTTGTTGAGCAAAACGCGAGGGAAGAAACCCGTTGAATTCACCTGCTGTGGATGCTATTCTGAAAGTGCCAGCGGCGAGAGAGCCGCTAGGCACTCTAATCTTTGCGGTACGGCCATGAGGGTGAGGGTGATGATTGAATGGAGGGGACTGTTGGAGGGGTACCGTTGACGAAAACGTTGACGTACGCGTAGACGGAAACGTTGACGGCAAGGACGGGAAAGCGGGAGCCGAGGCCGGTCTTAGAGAACAAAGGCAATGCTCCATTTCCTGAACTGCTACTACTAGAAGCTGAGGACTACTACTAGCGACGGCGAATCACGCCTGAACCAGTAAGTGCAAAGCAGAGGGCTAGTTCGGTATTTTTTTATGCACACATCAGCTTCATACCCGTTCCTCATTAACAGCAGCCTCTCTAACACGCAAGTTAATGGATTCCCTCACTTTCCAGAAAACAACTAATGTAAAATATGCCGTGATCACATTTTACCATTGCATATAACAGAACTCCGCAGGGCGATGCGCACATGGGGCTAGCTGTGTCGCGGAGGGCTTGTCAGGAGGACGATTCTGTGTTTCCGGCTTATCTTTTGGGGTCACTGAAGGCGCTCATCGGGGTGGCGTTACAACGTGCGCAAGCCCGTGTCATCTTGCTTCGAGCGGCGTCTTCCATAGGGGGGGGTTAAAACCGAAATATAAAATAGTGAAGGCAGACCCAACTTGAAATCGCTGCGAATAGTTCGGGTGATGCAACACTGTTCCAAACAAACCGCGTTGGCAGGTTGAACTCATCTGATTGGCTCTAGCCAATCCGAAAATTTCCCCTCCCGCCAAAACGATTTTCGAGGCCCAAGTTAGCCGTCGCAATTTTACACGCTGCTCCCCGCACGACCGTTGTCATGCGATCGTTTCCATCGCCAGGCCCAACTTCCACTTCAAGTTGGAACTGGGTGAATGACTAGCCCTCTTCCAGTCCCGAAGACACTACTGTTTTGCGTAGCATACGGTAGTAGTAAAGTTGATAGAGCCTAGATGTTTCTGACCCAGGCACGAAGTATCAACTTAGCTCGCGTGCGTAATGTAGTAAACGACGATTTTTATAGTATACATTTTTCTCCTCTCTCGCATGTGTCTCCCACCCCTTCACCTTTTCCAGCCATCTCGCTCTCGGTATATCGCCCTCCAGTCGCTCTACATTTTTCCCGGTCACCTTCCTCTCTCGCGCTTCGCCTATCCCTCTCCTGCCGCCTTCCTTTCTCCCATCGCCCTCCTCTCTCCCGTCGCCCTCCTCTCTCCCGTCGCTTATCATCTCTCCCGCCGCCTTCGCCCTCCCGTCGCCTTCGCGCTCATTCTCCCGTCGCCTTCTGCGCTCTCTCTTTCGTCGCCTTCACGCTCTCACTCCCGTCGCTTTCACGCTCTCTCTCGTGTCGCCTTCGCGCTCTCTTACCCGTCTCCTCCGCGCTCTCTTTCTCGTCGCCTCCGCGCTCTCCCTCCCGTCGCCCTCGCGCTCTCTCTCCCGCAGCCTTCGCGCTCTCACTCCCGTCGCATTCGCGCTCTCTCTCCTGTCGCCTCCGCGCTCTCTTTCCCGTTGCCTCCGCATTCTCTCTTCCGTCGCCTCCGCGCTCTCTCCCTTCCCCGCCCGTCGTTCTTCCTCTGTCCGCTCCCCTCTTGTCGTTTTCCCTCTCGTCGCCTTCGCGGTCTCCGCTTCCCTTCCCTCTCGTCACCCTCGCTCTAAACCCTCCCTTCCTATTGACCTCCTTTTCTCCCCTCCCCTCCCGTCACCCTCGATGCAGTCGTCGCCTTCGCGCTCTCCCTATTGTCACATGTCTCTTCTCCCACCCGTCGCCTTCGCGCTCTCACGTCCCGTCGCCTGCGCGCTCTCCCTCCCGTCGGCATCGCGCTCACGTTCCTCCTCTCCCCTCCCATCTCGTCGTTCGCCTCCTCTCCCCCCAACCCGTTGTTCTTCTCTCTCTCCCCATCTCAATCGTACTATCCTTTCGTGATACCTTGTCCAACTTATTTTTTCCCCTCGTTCTTCGACTCACTATTTTATAACCTCTTTCAGCCTCTCAAATACAGGGAAACGCCTTTTCTCGCAGATCTGCCAAGTCATCGGCCCACCTCCACTCTCATCTCCTGCATGTGTGTGCGCGCTGGATTTTGCCTGGTGTTTGATTGATGTGATGTTTTGGTGAAGTTACGATCACTGCTCAGGGTGCATACAAGCATTGCAGCCTTGCGCCAAAATCGCATACAAGTATGTGTGAGTTGTGTGTGAGTTTCGCTTCCAATCAGAATTGTACACATGTTCCAAATGTTCTTGTTCACACCGAGACTCGTCTCTAGTGAAAAAATATAAAAGCACAGCACTTCCAACTTTACGAAGCGTTCCAAAAAAACTTCTGTTTTCACGTGGACCCAACTAGAAGGGGGGGGGGTCACTATTTTAGCTGCTGGCTTTAACGTAGATTTGGTGGACCGGGAGAGGGGCGATGTCGATGTGGAAGGCGGGGCTCTCTGGGTACGCTGTTGTGATTGGAGGGGGGGGGGGGGGATGGGGTGTGGGATGGGATGTCTTGATGGGGTGTCTCGACTGGGCGTTTTGATTGGGTATCTGGAGGGGGGGTTTTATGTGTGTTGCATTTATGTTCTTTTTGGCAGTTTCACTTTCCTTCTCCCTTTCTTTCTTCATTTCCTTTCTCAATCAACTTTCATGCAAAGCGTAGTCATTTAATAACAGAACTCCAAAAAGAATATGATATATAAAATTAAATAAAACCTGAAATTCCATAGTATGGTTATCTATGCAGCAGCAATTAAAATAGATACACAGTACAGCGTCATCGGAGCTGTACCCAGCTTGTATTGTAATGCTGCTCTTTGTAGAGCGTATTAGCTTGCAACACTTTCCCGATACAAAACGACAAGGGCATCCACTCACATGATCTTCCCTGGGTTCGTCCAAGCCACCAGAATTGCAACAGCACGCCCGCCACCACTACAGTAGAGCTGGATGCTTGGTTCGGTTGCAGAACTGATTTGCCAGTTTCCTCCGTCTGCCCCTTCGGATTCCCTCCAGTCTGTCACAGACTTGTTCTGCGGTAGGGTGGGATGTTCTGCCTTGTGTGTTCAAGGTTGGTGGCGAGGCAAAGCTTTCTGGGCAGGGATGGAAGGGAATCCGCGAAAATTGCCTTTCGGTTATGACGCGAAATGGGAGTGGGGGCCTGAAGGGTGTGGTAACCAGGCCTCAGGATTGCAGGGCATTTTACCCTGATTAGCCTGTTTTTCAGGGTTGTGTTTTAAAACCGCACTGTAAATACAGGTTTCAAAGGTTTTACCACCCTGTCACGATCAGGCCTCGTGAAATTTCGACCCTTGTTTTGCAGTTGCTGGTTCTTGTAGCACACTGCCTTGGCCGAGTTCGGTAGGGGCAGCACTCTGACTGAGTTTTTTTTCCCTCAGCCATTTGAGAACTGGCTAAGTCCTTGCCGGGAGACACTCACACTCACACCAGAACAAGCATCGGATGTGCTCGAAAACTGGCCAAGTCCTTTCCAGAGAGACACTCACACAGATTGGACTGCTGCAGCCTAGTTTAGATTTTCACCCTGCCATACCAGACCCAAAACTTTTCAGCACCCTGCCATTTCTAGGGTACGACGCGGCAGCAACACTGCAGTGGCAGTGTGACTTCGACCTGAAACTTTGATTTGACAGGGTGGCCCAAAACGAATCAAGACCCCTGGTGGTAACGGTGCCAGTGGGCCATTTGCCCAATCGCACATCTCCAAACCAGACATAATGATAATGCAATAAACCGCTCACCTTTGTTATGTTTTCCCCACTTACAAAACGAATCCGTATGTACACAGAATACTGTACCACAAAAGATGCAGATACGTGTACATGTACAACTCGTGCCGTCTCCACTATTCGCACAACGGGCAGGTTTTTCATCACCCAGAAAGTTCCATCACGCCACACCACCTGATCAGCTGCCTGTCTTGATTCTTGAAACTTCGTGTCCAACCAATGAGAGTGCGTCGCAAATTTTCGTGCTCGCGATTCGATTTGACACTGCAGCTACAGTGTTTGACACGCAAAACAGAGGGCGATTCGAGTTGACACGCATAAACGTGACATGTCAAAACTACGGACACGATCTTAGGGTGGAGGAAGGAATACATTACATCTAGGGGACCTTGAGAATATTTCAAATGACAAGCCTTGTTGAAAGAGTCGTGGACTTCATAGAAGGGACGGTTGTGTGTGTGTAATCCACGCATATTCAGGTCTGGCCTCTAAGCATTTGTGCATATTTCTCCCCGTTGCTGCTGTTAGTCGAACTAATTTCCGACGAGGTTTCTGCAGCCAGTGTTCGCCTAGATTCTGAGCTCATTCGGCCATATCAACTCGATTTTAGTCTGTGCTGGCGAATAATATCCGACTTTCGACTGCGAGATTCCCCTTTTCCCGCCCATCCGTCGCGTGAAGCACGAAGTGATCCTGCCTTGTTATTTCCTGCTCCCGACTCCATTCCTCTTCCACCCCGCGCGATCACGTTGCACTGACTCATTTCAGTTATATACTCTACGAGGCGCGTCAGTAACAATCCCCTCTTCCTTCTATCCTTCGCATAGCTCCAGTCGCATCCAACATTGATTTCCACCCCACATAACACCACTCCGCCGTACACCGCTCCCCCGAACACCGCTCCATCGTACAACGCTCCACAGACCACGCTTTACTGAACACACTCCAGTAGCGCCGGTATTTATCTTCTTTCCGTAAATCCATTTTTTTTACCATCATGGCCACACGAGGAGGAAGGGGCCGAGGACTCGGTCTCCGAATCGGCGTGCCATCTCGGACCGCCAACGCGGCTCGACCCCAGCCTCTGCCTCTCCCCGTTCCGCAAGCCCTCCCCATGCCTCCAGCCGGCGCAGCCGCCGCAGCAGCAGCCGCCGCGAAAGGCGCACCCACCAGCGTCCAACCCCTCCCCGTCGCCGCAATTAACGGCGGAGCAGGCAGCGGAGCAGGCGGCGCATCGGGAACTGGTTCTGGTGCTGCTGGTGGAACCGCGTTGGGCGTCGCGGGAGCGGGAAACGCTGTGAAAGCGCCGATGATGGTGTTCACGCCGCGGGAAGATGTGGCTCTGGAAGATCTGGAGAGGATTTTGCCGCCGTTAGGGTTTGGAAGCGGGGGTCGCGTGTACCGCGTTCGGCATAAGAAAACCGGCAAGGTGATTAATATTTGTTTTCAAGATAAGGCCTTTCCGTTTTTTTCTGATTCATTCCCCGTTTCACTCACGCCTGAGACGCTGATCCTACGGCGAATCATGGGAGTCGAGCGAACAGACAAACTATTAAACAGGTCATTAATTGTGTTTGTATTTTTGGCTTTGTTGGCTGTATTGGATGACAGGAATACGCGCTGAAGGTGATTCAGGAGAAGTACGACGAGGAGGTGCGGAAGCAGATCATCCAGGAGATGCAGATCCTACGGCGCGCACGATCCGACCATGTGAGCAGATCATTCATTGGGGCATGGGGAGGGGAGGGTGGCGTGGGAGGAGGAGGGGAGGTGATGGCTATTTCTTGAATCATGGCGTGCTTGATTGCTGAATGTCTCTCACATTGAAATTCTAATTTGCGAGTTCACTGCACAATCCTATGCCTGACAACGCTAGGATGTGTGATTGAGTAGTACGTTGTCTCCTGTAGCCATTTCAGCATGTAAGTGCTGGTAGTAGCACCGATGCTCCACCACCTAGCTTTTCTAACAGTTGGGCATGATTTTGCTGTCATGTGATCACATTCATAACCCACACATCGCATTCAGACATCTTGGTATTGTATGCAACGTCATTGGCATCACCCTCAATCCCATACTCCCATACTCCCATCCATACTCCCATGCCTTGTCACTGCGCTGATGAAGGCTTTGTTGCCGAAACGCGTACGCACGCACATCCCAGGCGATGTTTTGTCTTACCGATTGACTTACTAAGTCTTTCTTCTACTCGCTTTCTTCTCTCCTAGTTGAATCTGGTTAGATCCATTTAGATCTAGACACGAGAGACCTCAGTTGGCTTGCTGCGATCGAATCCGCCCTTAAACAACATCTTGGTATTGTATGCACCGTCATTGGCATCACCCTCAATCCCATACTCCCATGCCATGTCTTGTCATCCGCGTCTCTATGGGGGCCCCACGTTGTCATAACGTGCTTCTCGATTCTGTCATTTTTTTTAGTCGACAAAAAAATCATTCGCACGAGCCCACGTCGTCATGGCATGCGTCTCCATGACGTCAGGTCGTTTAAAAAAAAAAAACGCCTCTCAGGTCCTGGAAAGCTGCGACATTTTTCATCCACCTTTGCATGCCCTGTCCATAACCTCATTGCGCTGCTGTGTACCTTTCCCCCTTCTTTCCATCTCGCCAGGTGGTGGAGTGTTACGGCATCTTTGACCACCTGGGGGAGATCTCATTCGTCCTGGAGCTCATGGATGGTGGCACTCTGGCGGATGTGACTAAGAAGAGGGTGAGTCAAACGAAGGGAAGTTTGAAAGGAAATAGATGAGATGAGAATTTCCCCGATGAGATTAAGGCCAAGATTTTCCATTCCCTTGATCGCTGGGTTAGCCATAGCTCGTATAGAAAACAGAGTGTCTTTGTCACTGGAATAGCGTGCGCCGTGCAAATAAATGTGCCTGTGATGCGCATAAACACTACAAGTACCCGAAATAAAGTGCATGTTCGCCCTGCTGAAATTTCTCGAGTACTCAAGAGTGTGTTATAAAGCCTGTGCCATAACTATGCACGCCTTTCCGTTCACCTCGTGTTCTTCTTCTTCTTCTTCTTCTTCTTCTTCTTCTTCTTCTTCTTCTTCTTCTTCTTCTTCTTCTTCTTCTTCTTCTTCTTCTTCTTCTTCTTCTTCTTCTTCTTCTCTTCTTCTTCTTCTTCTTCTTCTTCTTCTTCTTCTTCTTCTTCTTCTTCTTCTTCTTCTTCTTCTTCTTCTTCCTCCTCCTCCTCCTCCTCCTCCTCCTCCTCCTCCTCCTCCTCCTCCTCCTCCTCCTCCTCCTCCTCCTCCTCCTCCTCCTCCTCCTCCTCCTCCTCCTCCTCCTCCTCCTCCTCCTCTTCTTCTTCTTCTTCTTTTCCATGTTTCTGCCCGAAAGCAGGGCAAGATTCCGGAGTCGTTTATGCCGGAGGTGACACGGCAGTGCCTGCAGGGGCTGCTGTACCTGCACCGGCAGCACGTGGTTCACCGCGACATCAAGCCCTCCAACCTGCTCTTCAACCGCCAGGGCCAGGTCAGTCAGTCTTGCTGGTCAACGCCAGTCAACGCAGGTCAACGCCAGTCAACGCAGGTCAACGCCAGTCAAGAAGTGAGTGAGTGAGGGGCGGAGGTGATGCGGCAGTGCCTGCAGGGGCTGCTGTACCTGCACCGGCAGCACGTGGTGCATCGAGACATCAAGCCCTCCAACCTGCTCTTCAACCGCCAGGGCCAGGTCAGTCAGTCAACGCCAGTCAACCCAGGTCAACGCCAGTCAACGCCAGTAATGCAGTGTCTGCAGGGGCTGCTGTACCTGCACCAGCAGCACGTGGTGCATCGTGACATCAAGCCCTCCAACCTGCTCTTCAACCGGCAAGGCCAGGTCAGTCAGCCCCGCCAGTCAACGCCAGTCAACGCAGGTCAACGCCAGTCAACGCTTTTTTCCCCTCTCTCCCTCATTTCCGAACCCTCCTCTTTTCATGTGTCCTAAAGTAAGGATTGCTGGTTTCTTTTTTTCTTTCCCTCCTCTCTCCCTCCCTCCCCTCCCACCACCGCTACCTTCTCAATCCCCTCTCCATCCTCGTGGTTATATTCTTCTCCTCCACTTCCCGTACGTGCAGGGCGGGCAACCATTGAGCGAAACAACCCTCTGCCAGGCGAGGGCTAAGACGGTTACCTCTCAGACGTCTGGTTCATGGGCCTCTCTCTCCTGGAGCTCTAATCATCCTCCTCTCCGTCCTCAATCTTCCCGAGCTTGTGATTGACTCCTCCTCCTCCCTTTTCCCCCTCCTCCCTCCCCAAACCCTGCGTCCCCCCTGGATTTCCGGCCTCTCGCAGGTGAAAATCGCTGATTTCGGGGTGAGCAAGGAGTTAGCATCTACCCTCGCCCAGTGCAACTCGTATGTGGGCACCTCCGCCTACCTCTCCCCCGAGCGCATCAACCCGCCGCCAGGCGAGGGCTACGACGGCTACCTCTCAGACGTCTGGTCCATGGGCCTCTCGCTCCTCGAGCTCTCCTCTCTCCTCTCACTCCTCCTGTTCGTGATTGACCCTTTCTCCTCTGCTTCCCGTTATTCCTCCCCCTCTATCGCAGGTGAAGATTGCTGATTTCGGGGTGAGCAAGGAGCTAGCGTCCACGCTAGCCCAGTGCAACTCGTATGTGGGCACCTCCGCCTACCTCTCCCCGGAGCGCATCAACCCGCCGCCAGGCGAGGGCTACGACGGCTACCTCTCAGACGTCTGGTCCATGGGCCTCTCGCTCCTCGAGCTCGTGATTGGCCGGTTCCCGTACGTGCAGGCCGGGCAGTCGGCCGATTGGATGACGCTTTTCGGCGCGATTGTTTTCAACGAGCCGCCCGAGGCTCCGGGCAGCTGCTCGCCTGAGTTTCAGGATTTTATTAGATGCTGTCTGCAGAAGGAGCCGAAAAAGAGGAAGAGTGCGGCTGAGTTGCTGGAGCATCCGTTTTGTCAGCTTCTGGTGGGGGATCCTAAGTGGACGGACCTGAAGCAGCTGCTGCCGCCCCAGCCTGCCCAGCCTCCGCAGCAGCCTCGGTTGCCGCCGCAGCTGCACCCGAACCAGGGGGGTGCGCAGGGAGGGCAAGGGGTGAGGCCAGGGCCGGGAGCTGGGCAGGGGACAGGGCAAGGGGGGCAGAAGCAGCAGCAGCAGCAGCAGCAGGGGAGGGTAGCTGGGTCTCAGAATGCACAAGTGCAGCAGAGACAGCAATCTCAGCAGGTGCAGGGCCAGGGGCAGGGGCAGGGGCAGCAAGGCCAAGCAGCAGTAGCGGGGGCGGCAGGGCAAGGTGAGCCGCAGAGGGCAGCACCGCAAGTGCCGGTGGCTGGGATGGTGCTGCAGATGCCGACTGCTGGTCTGTCGAGAGGCAGGAATGTGGTGCTGGCTCAACCGCCCATGCGCCGAGGGGCGAAAGCAGGGCAGGGCCAGCAGGGGACGCCACAGCAGCAACCACAGCAGCAGGGGCGGCAGCAGGGACAGGGTCAGCAAGGGCAGCAGCAGCAGGGGCAGGTGCCGTTGCCACAGCAGCAGCAAGTGTACCAGCAAATTCAAAGGCAGCAGCAGGTGCAGCAGGTGCAGCAGCAGATGCAAGGGCTGAAGGTGCAGGGGCAGGTGCAGCAGCAAGGCAGTGGGGTGGCGCAACCAGCACCCCAACGCCAAGCCCCTCAAGCCCCCCTACCTTCTCAAAGACTGCCTCAGCCCGTGCAGATGCAGGGTGCTGTGGGGCCAATGGGCCAATTAGGAGGCCAGCAAATGAGCCAGCAGACGAGCCAACAAATGAGCTTTCAGATGGGCCAGCAGCAGGGTATGGGAGTGATGCAGGGTTTTGCACAAGGGCAAATGCAGGCTTCGATACAGTCACAACCGCAACCACAAGTGCAGATGCAAGGCATGGGTCAGTATCAGCAGCAGCAGCAACCAACCGTTGGTGGACAGGTGGCGGGACAGCAGCAGCAGTACAGTGTGCAACCTGGTGTGAAGCACTACCAGCCGAATCCACAGATGCTTCAGCAGCTCACAGCAGCACAGCAGGCATTGCCAACACAGAAGTGAGAGTGCTGATGTAAAAATCACAATGGGGATGTTTGAATAAGCCGTTGATTTCTTATCGTTTTAATAAGGTACCCATTCATTGGACTTCATCATTGAAACTGTACATGTATTAAAGGTCATTCTTGAGCAAGTAAATATGTCAAGCCAGCAGAACTTTCAGTGAGTTAGATCGTAACACACAAGAATTGCGTTCTGGTACAATCGAGGTTGTGTTTACCGAACAACCAAACCAATCCACTCCCGTACTTTCTCGTCCACACAAGACACCACCCAAGAAAACCCTCGGAGCGCTTCTCATTCCCATACCATCCCCAAGCCTCTCCCCAGGAATGCTGGGAAATGCTGTGATCTGCGGTTCTCATCGGTTCTATGCGTTTCGGTGTAAACCTAAAGGGATTTCACGAGGTAGAGTCACTTTATTTCTGGCTGGCTTGAATCTTTGATTCTCATCTTTGGTCCCTACTTGGGATGCTGGAGGGATGTTACTAGGTTGGTGGTTCTTCTAACTTGGATCTCGTTTATTCGACTTGTGAAACCCTTTCAGTCTCAGAAGGTTTCCGTCTTTGACTAGAACTCTTGACGGATGTAGTAGTTTTCCCTAATCGTCGAAGGTTCGCGGTAATTTGGACCCTTAGTGCGTAACCAGCTTCATGCGATTTTCTGCGGGTTGTGCCTGTTAGTCCTCGCGTGTTTGTCGTCGCCGTGAATCGAGTACAATGGTGCAGCACGTGCATCCCGATTGCATAAACGCGAGCAACCCCTACCACGAGTGCACGGACTACTGCTTTCGAAAAATCGCCGAGCGGAAAGGCAGGCCTGTAGCGACAGCACCTGCGAAAGGCGAGGGTACGACTCGTTGATTACTGTGCCTCTGTTCTGCTATTACTAAAGCGAGGGTACGACTTGTTGATGCTGCGTGCTTTTCTAATTCTAGTTATATATTTTCTCGCGTCGATTCACAAGGTTGTTCTTTCGTCGAAACCTTGTGCTGATTGGTTCTGTTGATGCGTACTTAATTTGTGACTGTTTCTCTGTGATTCTGCGATTCTGTTTGTCGTCACTCAGCACCGTCGCAGCTCCCTACCTCCTTCGGCAGACAAGAGAAAGTCAAACGGAAGTACGACGAGGTTGTCATTGACGCACGGAAAGCGGCAGTCGGGCCGGGAGAGGAGGACCTATCCGTGGTCGCAGCGCAGAGCACTCGGCAATCCCGAGGCCGACAAGCTCAGCGTCGAGATTCGCCAGATCGGACGGCTGAGAATGACGGACAGGCGGACGTGGTGGATGTGCCGAGCTATGAAGGGATGGACGCCCGGCAAAAGAAGCTCTTCGAAATTCGCCTCAAGCTGGTACGTTTGCTGAAGCTGCTACGTTCGCCCCGGCTGGTATGATTTCCAGGCTAGTAAGCTCGACTGGAGCAGAGGTGACTTTTGAGTCGACTCAAAAGCTGCTACGTTAGCCCCGGCTGGTATGGTTTTCAAGCTAGTAAGCTCGACTGGAGCAGTATTGGAGTGTTTGGTTGATTACTTCCAAATCTTGAGACGATACGACTGTACGACTCAAGCGAGGCCTTCATTATCTTTCTGAACCATTTGTCTCTTCCCGCTCCCCTCCCCCCTCCCTCCTTCCCCTTCGCCCTCCCCTCCCTCTTTCCCCCCCTCTCCTACCCCCTTAATCCCGCCCTTATTTCCCCACCCCCCCATTTTTTCCCGGCCCTGCCACCCTCGCCCCCCCTCCTGCCGTAACCCATTTCTCCTTCCCCCCTCCACTGCAGAACCAAGCGCGGCTGGCGAATCAGACGGCGGTGGTGGCGGAGAAGCGGCGAGAAGAGAAGCCGGAGGAGGAGTCGCGCGGAGTGAGCAAGGCGGCGTGGTTCGAGGAGAAGAAGCGCAAGATGAGCAAACAGCTCGACGCGGCCGGGCTGCATATCACCAAGGCGTTTCCCCGTCATGTCTTAACCTCCTTTCCCTTGCCTCCCCCACCCCTCTCCTTCCCTTTTTCCCTGCATCCCCGCACCCCCGCGGGCCTCCGGTCCCCCTTCCCCCTTTTCCCCCTTCTCCCCCCGCAGAACCAGGCGCGGAAGGCGAATCAGACGGCGGTGGTGGCGGAGAAGCGGCGAGAAGAGAAGCCGGAGGAGGAGGAGTCGCGCGGAGTGAGCAAGGCGGCGTGGTTCGAGGAGAAGAAGCGCAAGATGAGCAAACAGCTGGACGCGGCCGGGCTGGATATCACCAAGGCGTACATGCTGGAGACGCAGGAGGCCGCGGAGAGCAAATACAAGAAGTGGGAGAAGAAAGAAGCGCCGTTTGGCTGGGATGGTGAGTGTTAGGGACGGGGGTGTGGGTGGGGGGAGGGGGGGCGAGGGGCGGCGTTCACGTGGGTGGGGGAAAGGGGGGGAAGGGGGGGGTCTTGAGAAAAAGGTATGGGAGAAGGGAGGGCTGGATATCACCAAGGCGTACATGCTGGAGACGCAGGAGGCCGCGGAGAGCAAATACAAGAAGTGGGAGAAGAAAGAAGCGCCGTTTGGCTGGGATGGTGCGTGATAGGAACGGGAAAGGGGGGAGGGGAGGGGGGGAGTTTGGGGGAGGGGGTGGGGGAAAAGGAGGGCTAGGCGTACATGCTGGAGAGGCAGGAGGCGGCGGGGAGCAAGTATAAGAAGTGGGAGAAGCAAGAAGCGCCGTTTGGCTGGGTTGGTGCGTGCAGGGGATGTGTGGGGGGTTAGGTTGGGGGAAGACAGGAAGGTGGTAATTGGGAAAGGATGAGAAGTGTTTTGGGGGAAAGGTGGAATGAAGGAAAGATTGAGATTTGTTGGAATGCTTATGATGGGTACGTGTTGCCTGCCACGACTTTCTGTAGCTTCTGAGTCAGCATGGCCTATCATACTCTTTGAATTTTTTTGTTCTGATTATGATTTTTTTTCCATCCCCCCCTTCCCCCCCTGTCCTCATCTCCTTTTTTTTCCTGGATTCTCCGCCGCTCCTGCCTTCCAGCGTTCAACCAGCAGGCATTGTACAACGCATACAAGAAGCGCACGGGCAACATCCCCTACACAGAGGAAGACTACCTTAAGGCCAAGGAGAAAGACCCTGACTTTTACCGCGACGATGCGAGCCTGCAGTACGGGCAAGCTCCGGAGATTCCCGAGGAGAACGTTGACAGAATGGTGGCGGAGCTGACAGACAGAGCCAAGAGCCGCAAGGAGTTCAGCCGAAGAAGACGGCACCATGATGAGAAGGACATTGATAGTATTAACGACCGGAATGAGCACTTCAACCGGAAGATTGAGCGCGCGTTTGGGAAATACACGGTGGAGATTAAGAATAATTTGGAGCGGGGTACTGCGCTGCCCGATTAACCTGGTTGAGGTGAGGAATATGGGATGGGGTTGGCGGGGTTTGTGGGATCAGAGAAAGGGTTTGTGAGGATGAGGGAGGGATGTGGTGCAGTGCAGAATGGGGCAGGAGGGTTGGAAAGGGATGGGATGGATGGGAGCAGGGGAGGGAGGACTTGATGTTGACACTGGTGCTATTTCATGGATTCAATTCTTTCGTGGATTCAATTCTCTCAAGTCTTTGTCTTTCAATCCAGTCAGTCAATACTGGGTTGGCATGGCAAGCATGTGTCTCAAAGCGCCATAGGCCGAGCGCCAGCCCATCCAGGCACCTGGGCAGCGTGGTATTCCACGAGACAAGGTATGGCATGCCACTGGCGTGTCAAATACGTGGCGCATCCTCGCGATGCGATTGGCGCACAGCAATTCTCTGTTGTTTGTCTTTCCTGACTTTTGACTGGAAGGGGCGTCTTAGCCGCCGGGCTGCCAAAGTCGTGGCAGCCTGGCTAGGATTTTTCCCCACATTCTTTAACTGGTGCACTACTCTGCTGCACCTCCTTTTTTTTGCATTTGTTATATTTTTCTTGGAATCTGGCATGGCCATTATGTGTCGGCATGTGCAAGTCGTCCGTTTCAGTTGGCCATTCCTCTGCTCCCCTCCCTAAACCCCAAATCCCCACTTGCTTGTTCCACTGAGATGCTCAAACATAGTTCTTGAAGAGCTTGATTCCGCTGAAGACCTTTTCAGAATGGATGCTTCTGTGGCGATGGCTAATGGGCTTGTCAGGGCTGGTTACTGGTACCAGCTTACTCCAGGTCACTAACTGTTTGTGGAGGGTTCCAGTCACTAGTGCTTGTTCTGCTGCACTGCTGCCAACTTGCTGACCATGCAGCCATGGGTACACATTGTGCATCTTTCAATCTGCCATGTGTTGTGTTGTCAGTCTAGTACAGTCGAATGTGTTTGGGGGTGTGATTCGGCACTAGTGAACTGACTTCTAGGCAATACCACTAATTTGTGCTGAAGCACATTCGGTGCTCCAATCGAATACGTCAAGGGGAAAGAATCTGCTGTAGCAGCACAACTCATTGTACCACCATGAATCACGACAATTCTTGTAGTGGTAATCATATGGCAGTCCTGAGTCCACCATAGCGAATGCTCCATTCTGCAATGCTACCTTTTTTTCTGCAAGATTGGCAACACACACGAAGCACAGGATGAACATTAACTGATCATCGACACAAGGCTGGGGGATCGTACTAAGGAAGCGCATGCACAGGTGCGGGAGGAAGGAGAAAGAGGAACAACATGTGGTCGAAGTGAAAAGGAGGTACACGAATAGGATCTCACCACGAAGGCCTCAAGAGTGGACTGCTTTCTTTTCCTGCTTCCGCTGCCAACAGTTTCAGCTGCTGCTGCTGCCTGGCCTCCTCCTCTGCTTGTTCCAGATGCCTGTGGTTAAGTCAGGGAAGAAGTGGCAAAGAAAAACAAAAACAAAAGCAGCATGAGTGATGCACAGAAGCTGATGCTTTGAGCTTAGTGAGAGAAAGAGAACCGCAGCGTTACCTTGCCGCTGCTCTTTTCGTCCCCCTTCGAGACCTCTCAAAACAAAGCCACGTGAAAGGAAAATTCACACAGAACCGCCGCTTTACCTTGGCGCTGTTCTTCTTGTCCCGCTTCGCCTGCCGCTCCTTCTCCTCCAGTTCCTGATTCTCCTTCTCCACCAATCGGATGAGAGTGTCGCACCGCCGCGCCAGCTCAGGCGGCTGCCTTGATTTCAGGAACCAATCGAATTTGAACAGGTGGGACTGACGCACTGCTGCCCGGAGCTCGTCCCAGTTGCCATATCCCAGCCGTTGGATCATGCAGATCTGACGGACTCAATTTAAGAATGGGAGGGAATGAAAACAAGAGATGAAAAGAGAACGGAGATGGGGGATGGGTAATAGAAGGCGCAGGTTGGTGTCAGGAGACAGACAATGGAGCCAGAATCCCTATGACGGGGCGCAACAAGCAACAGTGCACCAGAGAGGTAAGCTGGTGCAAGAGTAACAGTGAGAGCAATGCAAAGCCACCAAGGTGCAATGGAAACAGTAGCAATGCAATGCACCAACCCACCCCCTCCCCCAAACGCACTAAGAATCCGCCGTACCCTCAACACTCACCAAAGCTCCCCATTATACAACAAAACTCCCATCCACCCTCAGTGCGCACCATGAAGCGGTCGCTCTCCTTGGTGTAGTATTTGCCCTTGTTGGTGCCGTACTGGATGCGCAGCTGAATGAATGATGCACCCCCCTCACTCACACCATGAACTTTACTAGACCACACACCAAGCATCCATACCACACTACACCCCTCAGCACCCACCATGAAGCGGTCGCTCTCCTCCGTGTAGTATTTGCCCTTGTTGGTGCCGTACTGGATGCGCAGCTCCACCCAGGGGTTGCTGTACCGCTCCATCTTGCGCCGCACCGACTGCATCATCTCCTCCCATCTTATCATCCCTCACACCACAAACTTGAGCCTGCCTACCCCATCTTTGACTCACAGACACCATGAGAAGGCAATCGGCTGTCACCCATCATGCATCAACACCCTCCGCACGCACCCCACCCACAGGAACACGCACCATAAACCGGTCGCTCTCCTCCGTGTAGTATTTGCCCTTGTTGGTGCCGTACTGGATCCGCAGCTCCACCCAGGGGTTGCTGTACCGCTCCATCTTGCGCCGCACCGACTGCATTATCTCCTCCCGACGCACGATGCGCGCCTCGCCCTTCTCTATGTTGCGCAGAATCTTGTCCCAATCTGTGCGCGAGAGAGAAAGAGGGGGCGGGAATGGGGAAAGGGTGGAAAATAAAGAAAGGGTGGAAAACGGCGAAATTTGCTGATTAGCCGCTTCTATTATTCAAGTGGCAGGCAGTTCTTGGGGGATCAAAGTCTAATTTGTACAGAATCGTGCCCCAGTAACCGATCCTTTCTACAGCAATTCTCACCATTCAGCTCAGTGCATCGCTCCCAGAACACTGCTGCATACTCCCGAACCTCCGCCTCTGTCTTCCCCTCCATGTATCCACAAGCATTTCTCACCATTTCATTCTCTGCACATCACTCGACTTTCCGCAAGCCTTTACTCACCATTTAACTCAGTGCATCGCTCCCAGAACACTGCCGCATACTCTCGAACCTCTGCCTCCGTTTTCCCCTCCATCTCGGCTGCAATGCTCGCCACGTCCGCTCGCCCGTACTTCTCACACAGCCGCAGGAACTGGTTGAAGTCCTTGCGCGTCCATGACTTAAAGCCCTGAAGGAGGAGAGAAAAAGGGAGAGAAGAGGAGAGTCAGTGCAAGGGGGAGACATAAATAGATCAAAAGATGCTAGAGCGATCACAACCTTGTTGCTTTTTCAATTTCAACCACAACTGGTTGGAGTTATTCTGATTTAATCAGGGTCAGATTCTCCTCTTGCTGACCTGATTAAGAAGAGTCAGTTTCTCCTCTTGCTCCTCGTCTGTTAGCGTCAGAATTGGTTGCTCGTCTGGTACAAGGGAAGGGGGGCATGGATGATGGACGTGGGCGCATTCACACCAGACCATCACAGACACACAGGCGCACAGAGAAGCACATGTATGAATTTCGTTGTAAGACACCTTGTTGTAAGGCTAAAGAACAATAAGAGATGTAGATTCGGTACTCATCACATCATCCCCCAATCTCCATCTCTGTCCTTCCATCCCTCTACATCCCTCTCCATCACTCCACACCCACTCACCCTCCTCCTCAAACGGTTCGCCCCCTTCCTTGGCTTCTTTCTTTGCTGCCTGCCGCTCCAAGGCTTGCTGCCAACCACACCAGGAGGGAGGAGGAGGAGGGATACGAGAAACAAACAAGTGCATGAGAGGCAATCTCAGCAGCGGCATCGGCAGTGGCGGTGGCGGCAGCAGCACTGACCAGCTTGGCCTTGGTCTCCTTGTCAAAGAGCTCCGAGAGACAAACAAGACACACACCCTTATGTGGGACACCTGCTATAATGACAGTCAAGTCAACCACTGTCTCACCAGCTTGGCCTTGGTCTCCTTGTCAAAGAGCTCCGAGAGGCACACCAATCACACTCCCTCTACATCACCCGCCTACAGTCAATATGCCAGTCAATATGCCAGTCAATATGCCAGTCAATATGCCAGTCAATATGCCAGTCAATATGCCAGTCAATATGCCAGTCAATATGCCAGTCAATATGCCAGTCAATATGCCAGTCATCGGGCAATAGTCAATATGCCAGTCATCGGGCAATAGTCAATATGCCAGTCATCGGGCAATAGTCAATATGCCAGTCATCGGGCAATAGTCAATATGCCAGTCATCGGGCAATAGTCAATATGCCAGTCATCGGGCAATAGTCAATATGCCAGTCATCGGGCAGTAGCCAATATGCCAGTCATCGGGCAGTAGCCAATATGCCAGTCATCGGCCAATAGCCAATATGCCAGTCATCGGCCAATAGCCAATATGCCAGTCATCGGGCAGTAGCCAATATGCCAGTCATCGGCCAATAGCCAATATGCCAGTCATCGGCCAATAGCCAATATGCCAGTCATCGGCCAATAGCCAATATGCCAGTCATCGGCCAATAGCCAATATGCCAGTCATCGGCCAATAGCCAATATGCCAGTCATCGGCCAATAGCCAATATGCCAGTCATCGGCCAATAGCCAATATGCCAGTCATCGGCCAATAGCCAATATGCCAGTCATCGGCCAATAGCCAATATGCCAGTCATCGGCCAATAGCCAATATGCCAGTCATCGGCCAATAGCCAATATGCCAGTCATCGGCCAATAGCCAATATGCCAGTCATCGGCCAATAGCCAATATGCCAGTCATCGGCCAATAGCCAATATGCCAGTCATCGGCCAATAGCCAATATGCCAGTCATCGGCCAATAGCCAATATGCCAGTCATCGGCCAATAGCCAATATGCCAGTCATCGGCCAATAGCCAATATGCCAGTCATCGGCCAATAGCCAATATGCCAGTCATCGGCCAATAGCCAATATGCCAGTCATCGGCCAATAGCCAATATGCCAGTCATCGGCCAATAGCCAATATGCCAGTCATCGGCCAATAGCCAATATGCCAGTCATCGGCCAATAGCCAATATGCCAGTCATCGGCCAATAGCCAATATGCCAGTCATCGGCCAATAGCCAATATGCCAGTCATCGGCCAATAGCCAATATGCCAGTCATCGGCCAATAGCCAATATGCCAGTCATCGGCCAATAGCCAATATGCCAGTCATCGGCCAATAGCCAATATGCCAGTCATCGGCCAATAGCCAATATGCCAGTCATCGGCCAATAGCCAATATGCCAGTCATCGGCCAATAGCCAATATGCCAGTCATCGGCCAATAGCCAATATGCCAGTCATCGGCCAATAGCCAATATGCCAGTCATCGGCCAATAGCCAATATGCCAGTCATCGGCCAATAGCCAATATGCCAGTCATCGGGCAATAGCCAATATGCCAGTCATCGGCCAATAGCCAATATGCCAGTCATCGGCCAATAGCCAATATGCCAGTCATCGGCCAATAGCCAATATGCCAGTCATCGGGCAATAACCAATATACATGCTCCTTCTTAACCTTGTAGTATGCTTTCCATTTCTGCCTTGACTTCTGCCAGCACACGCCCGAGAACCAGGACGACCCGCGACAGATCTTGCGCAGGAGCGAGTCAGTCAAGCATAGACAATATGCTTGCTCCTCTTCTAAACCTTGTAGCATGCTTTCCATTTCTGCCTTGACTTCTGCCAGCACACGCCCATGAACCGAGCCTCATGGACAAAGAGCTCTGAGAAGCACCTCAGCCTCGACAGCCACTACGTCACAAGAATGTGCTATAATAACAACATGCTACAATCACAGTCAAACACCCATTCACAGACCAGCTTAGCATTGGCCTGCTTGTCGAAGAGGTCTGAGAGACACACCAGTGACAACAAAACCCTATACTGACAACATCCTTTCATCACACAACTCACCAGCTTGGCCTTGGCCTCCTTGTCAAAGAGCTCTGAGAGACACACCAGTGACAAACCCCCCATGTAGCACACTCAAATACAGGCACTATAGTCACACCAACCAACTCGCTATAATCACCGTCGGTCACTCACCAGCTTGGCCTTGGCCTCCTTGTCGAAGAGCTCCGAGAGGCGCGCCGTGTTGAAGAACTGGAAGTCGTGCCTGGGAGGGGGTGTCAGGGTGGTGGAAGGAAGGGGTGCAAGGGCGGGGGCGGGAGTGGGTGGGAGGGTCGGTGGAAGGGGTTGGGAAGTGACTTGCGAGTCGACTCAAAAGAGCTCTGAAAGGCGAGCCGTGTTGAAGAACTGGAAGTCGTGCCTGGGAGGGGGTAGCAGGGGTGGGGGCGGGGGTGGTGGGAGGGAGGGGTGGGTGGTGTGAGGTGAGTTTCCAGTCGACTTAAGAGGACTCTGAGAGGCGAGCCGTGTTGAAGAACTGCAAGTCGTGCCTGGGAGTGGGTAGCGGGGGGGTAGGACGGGCGGTGGCAGGAAAGGGTAGAACCGGTGAAGGGCAGATTTCAAGATTCTCGAAAAGCTTGTGCCCAGGAGGGAGTGGCCATGGTGGTAGAGGGAGGTCGGAGGGGGTGGTGGAAGGGGATGGTGGAAGGGGATGGTGGAAGGGGATGGTGAAAGGGGTGAAAGAGGACAAACAGCGCGACTGCTGTTATGAAATGTTCGAGATTAAGCTTTTCAAGTGTTGAGTTTCAGGACATCTCTTCCCATCCCCCCCTCTCCTGCTTCAAGCATCCTGCCCCTGTTCTCTTTGCCCACTGACTCACAGCAGCATGGCCAGCTGGGCCTCTTTTTCCATTTCTCCCCCCTCATTTTCCCCTCTTCCCTCACTCCTCCCCCCTCTTTCTCTCGCCCAACCATTGACTCACAGCACGGGCATTTTTGGCAGTCGGGCCTCCTTCGACTTGGGCTGAGAGGGAGGGCCCATGCGCATGGCCTGGCGGTAATACTCTGCTTCAGAATAGCTGATGGCGGGAGGAGGGGATGGTGCGGGTGGGGGGGTGGGGAGTGGTTGAAAGAGGCGAAGGTGGAAGAAGGGTGTACCAATCAACTTGCATGCATGCACCGCACACACATCCGGACACACATTCACACATGCGCACTCACTTTTTCTTCCGTTCTCTCCTTGACGGCTCGACCCAGTTCGCAGTGACACCTTCTTGAGGTCGGATTTCTCCTCCTTGGTCCAACAAGCTGGATGAACCAACTGATCGGTTGCTACAACCAACTGGCTTGTTGACCAGCCGATCGGTTGGACCAACTAGCCGGTTGGACCACTAGCTTGATGGTCCATTTAGTCCAGTTGGACCAACTGAACGGTTGGTACAACAAGCCGATTCGCATGCTCTGAGAATACTAGCGCAGAAGAACAAAAAAGATCCTGAACTCACTTCTTCTTTCGCTCTCTCCTTGACGGCTCCACCCAGTTCTCAGTGACCAGCTTCTTGAGGTCCGGCCTCTCCTCCTCCTTACCCGCACACACCTGCTCTGATACTACCAGCATAGGAGTACAGAAAGGCTGAACTGATACTACCAGCATAGTTACACTCACTTCTTCTTCCTCTCTCTCCGTGACGGCTCGACCCAGTTCTCAGTGACCAGCTTCTTGAGGTCTGGCCTCTCCTCCTCCTTACCCGCACACACCTGCTCTGATACTACCAGCATAGGAGTACAGAAAGGCTGAACTGATACTACCAGCATAGTTACACTCACTTCTTCTTCCTCTCTCTCCGTGATGGCTCGACCCAGTTCTCAGTGACCAGCTTCTTGAGATCAGGCCTCTCCTCCTCCTTCTCGCCCTCGCCCAAACTGTACAGCGCCGTGTCGTCCATTTTGAACTTTATCGCATCTTCCGTGAACTTTCTCATCTTGGCGTCCAGCTCAGCGGTCGCCTCCTCCCCCTTGGCGATGATCCTGTCCACGTCAGCATCAGTGATGGTCGTGTTGGCGGAGGTAAATACTTTTTCTGCTCCGAACCGCACCATTTGAAGGAGCTCGTCCTTGTTCACAGCTGGGAGGGGGAGCACAAGTAGGGGCGACGTGGAGGAAAAGGGGGGAGAGTGGTGGTTGTTGTGTTGGCGGATGTGAAGACCTTCTCGGCTCCGAACCGCACGGTCTGCAGCAACTCGACCTTGTTCACAGCTGAGAGGGTTGATGAGGGAAATTGGGGAGAGGTGTGGAGGGGAGGAGAAGGGAGGGAAGTTCGCTAGTCAGCATCAGTGATGGTCGTGTCGTGTTGGCGGATGTGAAGACTTTCTCGGCTCCGAACCGTACCATTTGAAGCAGCTCGTCCTTGTTCACAGCTGGGAGGAATGCCGAAATGGAAAAAGAGGCTATGTGGGGAGGGGAAGGCGAAACAGCAGCAAATCAACATCGGTGATGCTTGTGTTGGCAGAGGTAAAGACCTTCTTGGCTCCAAACTGCACCAATTGAAGGAACTCGTTCTTGTTCACAGCTGGGAGGGTTGTGGAGGGAAAACAGGGAAAGGCGGTGATGCTTGTGTTGGCAGAGGTAAAGACCTTCTTGCCTCCAAACTGCACCAATTGAAGGAACTTTTCCTTTCCTTATTCACAGCTGGGAGGAAAGGAGAACAGTTGGTGGTTAACAGATCATTAGGACGTCAAGAAAAACGCTTCAGACACACCCATATGGCCGCATCTCACTCACCTAATAACCCACATGCTCATTCATATTTCACCCGAGGCCCTTATCCGCACACCTCTCTCTCTCCACACGTCCCGCACACCCCCTTCTGAGTCGACTCAAAAGTCACGTCGACTCAGAAGTCACCTTGAGTCGACTCAAAATTCATATTTCACCCGAGCCCCTTATCCGCACACCTCTCTCTCTCCACACGTCCTGCACACCCCCCTTCTCCACATACCTCGCTGCTCTGCCAGCCTGCCCTGCTGAATGATGAGCGCATCCAGAGCCAGCTTCTGGTACGCCCGCTCCCTCACACCTAGCAACCCCAAGTTCCCCAACGCCCACACGGGCTCAGCACACCTTGCAACCCGATCACCCAACAAACACCCCCCTTATCGGCGTACATCGCTGCTCTGCCAGCTCGCTCCTGCTGAATGATGAGCGCATCCAGAGCAGAGCCAGCTTCTTGTATGCTCGCTCAATCACACCTTGCGAACCCAATGCCCACAAGGGATCAGCTCAGCACATCCTGCAACCCGCTCACTCAACAAACATCCCCCTTATCGGCATACCTCGCTGCTCCGCCAGCCTGCCCTGCTGGATGATCAGAGCGTCCAGAGCCAACTTCTTGTACGCGCGCTCTATCACACCTGGCAGCCCACACGCTCATGCGGGCTCAGCACTCCTTGCAACCTACACGCCCACACAACACACATGGCCCTTATTGGCATACCTCGCTGCTCTGCAAGCCTGCCCTGCTGGATGATCAGAGCGTCCAGAGCCAGCTTCTTGTACGCGCGCTCTATCACCTTCTCCTCTATCGTGTGCTGCCGCGGAGTATTGGAGGGGGGGTGGGTGGAGGGGGATGCAGAAAGGAGGGAAAGGGGTATGAGAAGTGTTATGAACCCTTGCGAAACAACAGAGCCAGCTTCTTGTACGCGCGCTCTATCACCTTCTCTTCTATCGTGTGCTGGCAGGTGGAAAAGGGGGGAGGAGGGCGGAGGACAGCGGAAGAGAGTTGACTCAAAGTGGCAAAACTGTGGTGCAGAGTTGCAGATTTACTTTTGTCACGTCTATGGAACCAGAAAAGTTATGCAGGGGGGGGGGAAAGGAGAGGAGGGGAGAGGAAAGGAGAGGAGTGGAGGAGATTTTTTAGTCGACTCAAAAATCGACTCCAGAGTCGACTCAAAAATCAAATTCACTTTTGTCACGTCTATGGAACCAGAAAGTTATGCAGGGGGAGGGGAAAGGAGAGGAGCGGAGGAGGGGGGGGGGGGGGGGGGAGGCGGGGAGGGAAGGAGGACGGGAAGTTGGGGGGGCAAGAGGGATCACCACGGGGAGCTCATCTCAGAGCAGACTGGGGGAAAGAGGGAGTGGGTGAGAGAGGGATGGAGGGCAGGAGAGAAGTTGGGCCAGCAGGAGGGATGGGTAGGAAAGCCCACCTCAGTGCAGAATCGCAAGACCTGCACTTCCTTCTTCTGCCTGCCCGATGCGATGCACTGCGCTCTGTGAGTCGACTCAAAACCGCGTGTGATGAGACGAGCAAAGGAGTGAGAGACGGAAGGGAAGAGGGATGGGTAGGAAAGCCCACCTCAGTGCAGAATCGGAAGACCTGCACTTCCTTCTTCTGCCTGCCTGATGCGATGCGCTCTGTGAGTCGACTGAAAACTGCGTGTGATGGAAGGGAAGGGGGATGGGCACAGACAGCTCACCTCAGTGCAGAATCGGAAGACCTGCACTTCTTTCTTCTGCCCGATGCGATGCGCTCTGTCCATGGCCTGCAGATCCGCTTGGGGGTTCCTGCGACGCCGAGGGCAAGAAAGTATCGGATGTGGGGAGATGGCACGTGGGGAGATGGCACGTGGGGAGATGTCACGTGGGGAGATGGCACGTGGGGAGATGGCACGTGGGGAGATGGCACGTGGGGAGATGGCACGTAGGGTGACGGCACGTAGGGAGACGGCACGTGGGGAGATGGCACGTGGGGAGATGAGCTCGCTCTGTGCATGGCCTGAATCTTTGCTTGGGAATTCCTGAAGAAGGGAGTGACTGAAGAAAAGGGCGTTTTGAGAATTCTCTAAAAAACACCCAGCAGAGGAGCAGCTCTCGACTCACCAGTCAGAGTCGTAGATAATCACGATGTCAGCCGTCGCGAGGTTAATCCCCAGCCCGCCCGCCCGAGTAGACAGCAGAAAGATGAACGTCTCACTTCCTTCTTTATTAAACTCCTCGATCGCCGCCTCCCTCTCGTCACCCCCCGTGTTGCCGTCGATCCGGCAGTACTGGTGCCCGCGAAACATGCAGTAGTCTTCTAGAATGTCCAGCAGGCGCGTCATCTGGGAGAAGATGAGCACCCGTGAGTCCCGCGCCTTCAGCTTCGGCAGCAGCCGGTCCAGCAGCACCATCTTCCCGGAAGCTTCTATCAGGTGCTCGTCTGTGATGAAGGGTGGGCCGGGCTCGGCGCCCTGGAAGGATAGGGGCGGAGGAAGGGGGGAGGAGGGGGAAGTGGGGAGCAGGGGGGAGGGAGTGGGGAGAGGAAGGAGGGAATGTGCGGGGTTTTGGAGAGGGAGCGACGGAACATGCAGTAGTCTTCTAGAATGTCCAGCAGGCGCGTCATCTGGGAGAAGATGAGCACCCGTGAGTCCCGCGCCTTCAGCTTTGGGAGCAGCCGGTCCAGCAGCACCATCTTCCCGGAAGCTTCTATCAGATGCTCGTCTGTGATGAAGGGCGGGCCGGGCTCGGCTCCCTGGAAGGGTATTAGGACGTGGGGGGTGTGAGAAGCAATTATTTACACTTGACCCAGAATCCGAGCTCCGCGCAATAAAACGGTATTATTTGGAAGCGGAGGGAGTGGGAAGCACAGGGCACTTGAGCGCATAGAATACTGCAGAGTTTGCCAAAGTGGAGTTCAAGCGGTACAGGAGTGGAGACTTAAGGGCACCGACAAACCCAGATCTTCCTGGGTGCTTTGCATCTACTACTGGTACCAGCAAAGTGTGCAAAGTGGCACCTGGAAGAGGTAGGGGTGGTTGCAGCACTTGCGCAGCTGCATGGCGATGTTGAGCAGACGAGACCTCTCCCCTCCACTGTTGAGCACCTCTATGTCCTTCTGCAGCAGCGCCCTGTAGTAGTTGCGCTGCACCTCACTCATGCCCACCTGGGGTCATAGGTTAAGTGGGGAGGTGGGTGGCAGGAGGTAGGTGGCTGGCAGGGTCAGCTGAGAGAGTAAGCTGTTAGAAAGGCTGATTGGAGAGAGCTGGATCTCGATGTCCTTCACCAGCAGTGAAAGTCAGGTAGCAATTGCGCTGAGGGTGGGGGAGGAGTGGTGGGAGTATTGGTGGTTGGTGGTGCGTTGCAGAGAGTCTGGAGTAAAGGGTGTTAGAGAGGCTGATTGGCAAGAGCTAGACCTCCATGTCCTCCTGCAGCAGCGCTCGGTGGTAATAGGCAGTTCTTATATAAACTCACCTTTAAGATCGTCTCTTTCTTAGGAGGGAGACCTCTCTCGACGTCCGATTTAAGCCTCCGGAGCAGGAAGGGGCGGAGCACCTTGTGCAGCTGCTGCACCACCTCCTGCTGGTCTTCCCCGTCTGACAGCTGGAACCACTCGTCAAACGCCTCTGCTCTGCTACAGCTGATTCCTGAGGCGCCTCAAACGCCAATACCTTTTCCAATGCCCCCTAATGCACATCAATCCTGTCTAAACGCACATCAGCCCTTCTTCACATGTGTGGACTCACCTTCAGGATGGTTTCCTTCTTGGGAGGGAGCCCTCTCTCCACATCCGATTTGAGCCGACGGAGCAGGAACGGCCTCAGCACCTTGTGCAGCTGCTGCACCACCTCCTCTCTAAATGCATATCAGAAATCCTTCACATGTAAGCCCACCTTCAAAATCGTCTCCTTCTTGGGTGGGAGTCCTCTCTCCACGTCCGATTTCAGCCGCCGCAGCAGGAAGGGGCGGAGCACCTTGTGCAGCTGCTGCACCACCTCCTGCTGGTCCTCCCCGTCTGACAGCTGGAACCACTCGTCAAACGCCTCTGCTGAGCTGAAGATCTCGGGCAGAAGAAAGTTCAGGAGCGCCCAGAGCTCGTGAAGGTTGTTCTGCAGGGTAGGGAGGGAAGCGAGAGAAAACAAAATTGCATTAAGGGTCCGAGATGTGTATGAGAGGGTCTCTGGAGGAGGAGGGGCGAAGTAGAGAGGAGGAGAGGTGGGGAAGGGTGGGGTGGGAGAGTCACTTTACAGCCAGCCTACAGCATGCCTGTCCGATTACAGCAGGTTGGAAGGGTGGTGGCGGGAGGGAGCGGGTGGGGGGAGGAAGGAAGGCGTGGGGGGGAGCGGGGGGAGGGTGGGGGCGCGGAGGGGAAAGTGGGAGTGAGGGTCTACAGGGGTGTCCCGGTGATGAGGAGACGGTATTTGGATGAGAACAGGCGCATGGTCTTGGAGAGGATGGAATTCTCGTTCTTAATCCGATGTGCCTCATCAATGATAACATAAGGTGCATGGCCTCCTTTTGAGGAGAAGAGGCGCATGGTGGGTGGCGGGGGGCTGGGCCGGGGGGAGGGGGGGAGTGGGGAAGGGGTGAAGGGCAACGGGGAATCCGGGCAGCCTACTGCCTACCTGAAGCGGAGTCCCGGTGATGAGTAACCGGTAATTCGAGGAGAACAGCCGCATGGTCTTGGAGAGGATGGAATTCTCGTTCTTAATCCGATGCGCTTCATCGATGATAATATACCGCCACGACAGCCGCCGGAACGCTGACTTCTCCTTGATCACCATCTCATAGCTCGTCACCACCACGTCAAACTTCCCCGGCTGCAGCAGGTTGGTGCGCTGGTGGGTGCGCTCCTCCTGGTTGCCGTGGAACTTGAAGGCGCGCAGGGAGGGGCAGAAGCGGTGCAGCTCCTTGATCCAGTTGCCCAGCGTGGACTTGGGCGCCACCACCATGTGCGGCCCTGATATGCCCTTGAACTCGTGCAGGTACCCCAGCAGCGATATGCTCTGCAGGGTCTTTCCCAGGCCCTGGAACCGAGGGCACGGGGGTGTGGGAGGGGGAGGAAAAAGGGAAGAGGGACAGGGAAGTGAGTAAGTAATTGGGAGAGGGAAGTGGACTTGGGCGCCACCACCATGTGCGGCCCTGATATGCCCTTGAACTCGTGCAGGTACCCCAGCAGCGATATGCTCTGCAGGGTCTTTCCCAGGCCCTGGAACCGAGGGCACGGGGGTGTGGGAGGGGGAGGAAAAAGGGAAGAGGGACAGGGAAGTGAGTAAGTAATTGGGAGAGGGAAGTGGACTTGGGCGCCACCACCATGTGCGGCCCTGATATGCCCTTGAACTCGTGCAGGTACCCCAGCAGCGATATGCTCTGCAGGGTCTTTCCCAGGCCCTGGAACCGAGGGCACGGGGGTGTGGGAGGGGGAGGAAAAAGGGAAGAGGGACAGGGAAGTGAGTAAGTAATTGGGAGAGGGAAGTGGACTTGGGCGCCACCACCATGTGCGGCCCTGATATGCCCTTGAACTCGTGCAGGTACCCCAGCAGCGATATGCTCTGCAGGGACTTTCCCAGGCCCTGGAACCGAGGGCACGGGGGTGTGGGAGGGGGAGGAAAAAGGGAAGAGGGACAGGGAAGTGAGTAAGTAATTGGGAGAGGGAAGTGGACTTGGGCGCCACCACCATGTGCGGCCCTGATATGCCCTTGAACTCGTGCAGGTACCCCAGCAGCGATATGCTCTGCAGGGTCTTTCCCAGGCCCTGGAACCGAGGGCACGGGGGTGTGGGAGGGGGAGGAAAAAGGGAAGAGGGACAGGGAAGTGAGTAAGTAATTGGGAGAGGGAAGTGGACTTGGGCGCCACCACCATGTGCGGCCCTGATATGCCCTTGAACTCGTGCAGGTACCCCAGCAGCGATATGCTCTGCAGGGTCTTTCCCAGGCCCTGGAACCGAGGGCACGGGGGTGTGGGAGGGGGAGGAAAAAGGGAAGAGGGACAGGGAAGTGAGTAAGTAATTGGGAGAGGGAAGTGGACTTGGGCGCCACCACCATGTGCGGCCCTGATATGCCCTTGAACTCGTGCAGGTACCCCAGCAGCGATATGCTCTGCAGGGTCTTTCCCAGGCCCTGGAACCGAGGGCACGGGGGTGTGGGAGGGGGAGGAAAAAGGGAAGAGGGACAGGGAAGTGAGTAAGTAATTGGGAGAGGGAAGTGGACTTGGGCGCCACCACCATGTGCGGCCCTGATATGCCCTTGAACTCGTGCAGGTACCCCAGCAGCGAGATGGACTGCAGGGTCTTGCCCAGACCCTGGGAGGAGGCCGTGGGGGAGGGGGCGAAGGAGGAAGGGAGGGGAAAAGGGAGCAAGGAAGTGGTTGGGAGCAGGTCAGTGGACTTGGGCGCCACCACCATGTGCGGCCCTGATATGCCCTTGAACTCGTGCAGATACCCCAGCAGCGATATGCTCTGCAGGATCTTGCCTAGACCCTGGGAGATATGAGTGGGGGTAGATAGGAGTGGGATGAGGAAGGTAGGGATCAAATCAGCAGCCAACGAGCAGGTGGGGAGGTTAGGAAACAACAGAGTTGAGGAGGGTTCGACATTGGATGGGGAGGGGAGCAAAGGCTGCATGCTCTCCTCCAATTACATGCGTTCTGAGCCATGTGAAAGCTTTTGTTCCTGTTGTACATCGCCATTCACTTCCTGCTGACAGGCAATATACTTCACAGGACTCCAGATTCTTGACTCTCGGAACCATTTCGATTACATATCGACTCACCATTTCGTCGGCCAGAATCCCGTTGATGCCATTCTCATAGAGCCGAATCATCCAATTGAGACCCGCCAGCTGGTAGTCCCTCATCTTGCCCTGGATGCCTGGGGAGGGCGGGAAGGGGCGGAAGGAGGGTGGGGCGAGAGGGGGCAAAATATTTGTGATGCAAGCAATGTAATATGTGAGAGAGGTACGGTCAGAGCAAGAAATAAGCACAGTGAAGCTCGCAGTTAACCAGCAGCAACGGGCACTTAAAAAAAAAATAGAGCCATTACAACCAATAACAGTGGTCAAAATCCAACATGGTCAGGGCCTCACATGAAAGTTGCACTGGGAGACAGATCAGATGAAGCGGCTCAAACAAACAAAACAGAGACAGGCACACGAAGCTTAGTAACAAGCCAGAGCTTACAAGAGGGTTGCACGAGCAGTCTGGTGGTGCTGCCTCCGTCCCCCAGCGCCTCTTCCTCCTCCTTGAGGTACTCCTCGTCTCCTCCTCTGTCAGCTTCGAGCTCCCTCGACCTCGACCCACTCAACGTGCTGGGATATCTTCGCGGCACCTAAAGAGACTTACAAGAGGGTTGCACGAGCAGCCTGGTGGTGCTGCCTCCGTCCCCCAGCGCCTCTTCCTCCTCCTTGAGGTACTCCTCGTCTCCTCCTCTGTCAGCTTCGAGCTCCCTCGACCTCGACCCACGCAATGTGCTGGGATATCTTCGCGGCACCTAAAGAGACTTACAAGAGGGTTGCACGAGCAGCCTGGTGGTGCTGCCTCCGTCCCCCAGCGCCTCTTCCTCCTCCTTCAGATACTCCTCGTCCTCCTCCTCCTCTGTCAGCTTCGAGCTCCTTCGACCTCGACCCACGCAACGTGCTGGGATATCTTCGCGGCACCTAAAGAGACTTACAAGAGGGTTGCACAAGCAGCCTGGTGGTGCTGCCTCCATCCCCCAGCGCCTCTTCCTCCTCCTTCAAATACTCCTCGTCCTCCTCCTCCTCTGTCAGCTTCGAGCTCCCTCGACCCCGCCCCTTGCCTCTGCCCTTGCCCTTGGGCTTCACAGGCGAGTCGTGCTGCTGTGCAAAGTGCTGGAATATCTCCGTCTGCTGCAGCAGGAACTTGAGCCTCCCCTTGGCGTTGTCAGCCTGCCCAGGGACAGAAAAATCAGGAACCAGGAAAAAAACAGAGATGATGAGTCTCCTTGCCTCTGCCCTTGCCCTTGGGCTTCACAGGCGAGTCGTGCTGCTGCGCAAAGTGTTGGACTATCTGCGTTTGCTGCAGCAGGAACTTGAGCCTCCCCTTGGCGCTGTCAGCCTGCCCAGGAACGGAGGAAATAGGGGATCGAGTGAGGAGCTTCTTGTTCCTCTTCAGCTACCTCAGCACAGCTTATCCTTTTCGCTCTATAACTAACCGTGCAGAGCAGAGTGCCTCCAAAGTTGATTGCTAACGGTTTAGGCATGCACTGCGTTGTTCGGCCTACATGGGCTCCTCTCTTCTTGCTCCACTTCACCTCCCTCAGGCTACTCTTCTTTCTCAGAAAACAGTACGAAGCCCCTCAGCAGCCCCTTGCTTACCGTTTCTGCTTGCACGGCTTCGTTCTGCCTCTTGACGAGCTCCTCCAGCTCCTTCTTCTTGTTCCACTTCATCTCCCCCAGGCTGCCCTCCATACTCAAACAAAATAAGAGCACGAAGCCCCTCGGCAGTCCCTTGCTTACCGTTTCGGCCTGCACGGCTTCGTTCTGTCGCTTGACGAGCTCCTCCAGCTCCCTCTTCTTGTTCTGCCTCATCTCCCTCTGGTTGCCCTTCTTTCTCAAGATAACCGCAGGAAGCCCCTCCAAGATCTCTTTCTTACCGTTTCAGCCTGCACGGCTTCGTTCTGCCTCTTGACGAGCTCCTCCAGCTCCTTCTTCTTGTTCCGCTTCATCTCCCTCAGCCGCTCCCTCTCCTTCCTCGCTATCTCCTTGCGCTGCAAATCGACCAGACCGCAGGAAACACAGAGAGGAGTGGAGCCATTGAGCCATTGAATCAAGCAGCGACGGAAGGACAGCAGTTGCACGGGGCATGGGCAAAGGGCAAACGGCGACTCTACTCTCTTGACGAGACCCAGCGGGACAAACTATTGTAAATAAACGCGCAATTGCTACCTCGTTGAAATGCGGCTCGTCTTTATGAGGGTCGTCCTCGTCCGCTTGCTCAACCTCCTCCTCCTCGTCGTCGTTCATTTCGTCGTCGTCGCCAGCTTGCTCGCCGTCGTCGCCCTCCTCCACTTCCTCCGCCTCGATCACCGCGAGCTCCTCGGGATCATCGCCGTCCCCAATCGTCTCAACCTGATCCTCATCCTCCTCATCCCGCTTGTCCTTACCCTCCTCCGCTTTCACTTCCTTCACATCAGCAGCTGTTTCCTCAACATCTTCCATTTCTTCGTCCTTCGTCGCTACGTCGCACGTCTTCTCCTGTTGAGCGACCTCATCCTTCATTTCCGCGTCGGGTTTCCGCACTGAAATAGCTTCTATCTTGGTTCCGCGAATTTCTAGACTTCACGCCACGGTCACCGCTAGCTCCTCCTTCAGTATGCGAGTATCCTGCTGCCTCTATCGCCAATCTGTGTAAAATCACCTGCTGCCGTGATGCTCGATGCTCGTTGACAAGATCCTCGTCAGGTAATAATGGGTACGCTCCGAAGTCTGCGCGAGACTGGAGAAACGTTGCTAACGCTTTCACTCATTCAAACTTCAAGGTGAAAGCCAAACCAAAACGCTATAACGAGTACAGCTATCCAATAGCACAGGCGCTCTGTACAGAAAAACGGTGTTCTAATTTTGTTCTTCTGCTAAGTGCAGGACAAGGCCACGGAATGCAGGGCTCCTCCATTTGTTGCTGTACCACAACTGTGAGTCCTGCGAAACATGCGTGAAATGTCAAAAATTACATGTTCAGAGTGAGATTGCCTTATCTGTAGTAACCACTACTCCCTTCAATGTATTTCAGATCCACACAGCTCCTCCCTTGAAATTGAACACCAGTCCTTGTTTGTTTTGGAAGAGAGCCATTGATGCAAAATATTAGAAAAACGCGGCTTGAAGAACCCTCCAGCAACAAATAATTGTTGCCTTGAGATTGCACAGTTAATGTCTCCAAATGAAATGGATCTTTGGCGATCCAAATCTGCCATGGAATGTTGTGAGCCAAATCATTATGGTTACCTGTATCCTGTACCCTCCGTCCCACCCGCGCCTCACGGAAATTAGATTGTGCGAAAGATAGACAGCACCAGCATGCAGCAGTACACACATCAGAGCTCGCTGGCGTCTTCGAAGTTGGTAAGAGTCTTAAGACCTGTCACAAAACAGAACCTTACAATATCGTCAAATTTCAAGAAAACAAATTCCAGTCCTACAACCTGACAGAAGAACAAGAGGCAGAAAAGTGTTAATGCAGGACGAGAAGCCAACATGCACCATCGACTTACTTGGAGGTGGCTTCCAGTCTGGAAACAGAAGGTTTATTTCATGGAGAGCATCAGCAACAGATGCAGAGCCATGCACTGCGTTTTGTAGCACATCCGTGCCATACTTGGCACGTAAGCTGGCACAGGAGCAAGCACCAAAGGGGGATATTGGATGGTAAGGCGGATTCAACAAAACTGAAGAGAGAAAAAAGTTATAGACCAGACTTTTGTGGCTGGTGTAACTTGACATTCAGCTTGCAAGTTTTGGAAGTCTGAAATTTACCTGTTAGGGTGAGCCGCACGGGCTGTCTTGGGATCAGTGGGGCCAATGAGCTCTCGAAAGGCTGACGGTGCATTCTCATGCTGGAGCACCAATGCTGTCACTGGCGCACTGCAGACAACACTCACGAAAACGATTGGGATAACGGGCGGTTGAAAGAATACTGATGGAGCAAGAATGCAAGTGGCTACAATAGGGATGGTAAGGGAAGACAAGAAGAGAGACGGAGGGAATGGCTGACCTTAGCATGAAGTTGATCAGACCCTGATAGAACTTCTTTCCCTTGTGCTCTGCATAAAATGTCTCTGCTAAAGGCTCGTCAAAGAAGAAGTGCTTCTCATGCACGACCTGGAATCCGGCTGCTCGGATGTCATTGGACAAGCCCGTCCAGAAGTTACTCCCCATAATGTCGGGCTTCAGAATGGCGAGAGTTAGGTCATCTCTCCCTTCTGCACACGTAGAATTTGACAAATTAGAATATGAGGATTTCGTGCTTGAATATGGTCCAAGATTGCTACCTCACACGAGCCGCGGTTGCGAAAGTCAGCGAATGGCATTAAGAAGTGGGAAAAAAAAGTGCGAATGGCAGTAAGAAGTGGGAGAATATTATCGCGAAAAAAATGGAGACGATACGGTAAAGGGATGGTAGTCGAGCTCAGCTTTCTGGAGCTCGGTTGCCTCATGCCGGTCATGCTGTCAGTGGAGACTTTTCTGCTCATGAGCATACCTAACAATGTCGAAGCTGCACAGCTCAGAAAAGCGAAAGCCCAGAGCACATGAAGAAGTGTCGTGCTCCTCATGATCGCGAAGCACCAGAATGTGTTTCGGGATGTTGAATGAGAAGCAAACATCAGCGCTGAAGGAAACGCATGAATTGGGCTTGGAATGGTGGGTGCTAACTGTGCTTCCCTTGCTCAGTGCCTGACCCAGGCACTCAAGTGCGAACTGTTGCGACATTCGAGTACCAACATTCACGAATCTTCGCCGCTGGTTGGGCCAATTTTCGCCACTGGTTGGGCCAGATGTTCAACGATTTTTGCGGGAGGTGTTTTTGCAGGAATCTCGGACTAAAAACACTAGAACAACTCGGCTTTGGGTAGTGCTTCATATTTGATTGAATCTTACCGTCCCAAAGCTGCTTTTATTCTCGGTCTTTTCCGCGTTCGCGTTGTTATGAATGTTCAGGAGGCATGGATTGAGCTCACGTGCACGTCGTTAGTCCCAAATCACACTTCAGTTTCCTGAAAGCGACGAGTGAAAAACTTCGTTTGACTTGATTCGAGGTACCGCGACATGGCGAATCTAGTGCTGTTTCCCGGGCTCCTTGTCGACATCGTCGATGAGGAATGGATGAGCGAGACGCTTCCCGACGATGGTGAGAGTTAAAGTAGATGACTTCAAATTGATTTGAATTGTGTGTCACTTCCCACCGAAGCCGTACCGTAGGGAGGTACCTATTGTGCATTTTGCTCGTTGGCAATTTCTAGATTTCGCTAACACTTCGTCTGCTTGCTTCTCGTCTACACGTCCTGTGATTTGGGTATCTTTATGATCAGATGTGATGCTCCCTATCGGCCCTGCTCCTACATCAGAAGAGGCCGACGACCTTGGTAAGCACTCTTCTCACCAGCATACATCATGATTCATGGCGCCTTTGCCTTGGCCATCCTGTGTCATTCCTTTACTTAGGTGCTCGTTTCATTGTGAGATATGAAGGAGAGGCCGTGAATTTATGAATCATGATGAGTGTACCTAACGGAGGCTTCAGGGAGCATTCATCATGATTCATGGCCTCTGCAGACAAGCAACAAGTCATCCTGCTCTTGCCCCCTCATCTTCTTTTGCTATTGTTATGCCTGTTGCTGTTTGTTATTCATGCAGGCAATGAGGTGCCTCAGGAGGATCCAAACAAATGGACGGACCTTGCTTTAGATACGATTCAGTAGATGTTACTGAACTACAACTGGCATGGCTGTACGAAATCGTTTTAGATGTACTCAATGAGCACATGTGTTGGTCTCAGCTCATGAATCATGATGCATACTCGTGAAGGAAGCTTCGCGAAAATCGTGATCCTCCTGCCAGCTTGTGATGCACCAGCTGACAAGAGGGGCTGCATAATTGCTGACTACCAGATGGGTATTCCATGCCAAGCATGAGGATGCTGGAACATTGTCAGCAGTGGCTGCGCGTGCAAGCAGCAACTAGATAGGGATGCCGAGACGAGCCACATGCACAGTTGTCTTGTTAATGGCATGCAATTGACGTTGAGCCTCTCGGGTTGCCATGGCCAGCTGAAGCAGACAACGTGGGGAGGGGATGTTGGAACTACGAGTGCTTCAAAAATGGCTGAAAAGAATGTTCAAATTTGGAGCAAATGTGCTGCAAAGAATGCGGAGAAGAATGAATGAAGCAGGGTGCTGAACAGGATGCTCAGAGTCTGCGGCATGCTGATGGCACAGACAGACCACATCGAGGGATGGTAACCACATGGCAAGCACTGTCGGAGCCAGTTACCACACGGCGTACCTCTGTTCGCAGCCGAACGCTGTCTCTTGCAGGCAGGTCTTTTAGTAGCTCACGAAGCCCTGGGGAAGGGTAGAGGAGAAAGAGAAAACAGCAAACAAGGATGGAAGCCAGACCACTTGGAAGCTTGGTTTGAAGCACACCGTTACTGGTAAGCAAACTGGTGAAGTATTATTATTGACATGCAAGCGAGTTTCATTGCAGATGCCACAGAAACTGTGTGTGGGGCAGATGCCTACAGCAGCAACTCACCCAGTGACTTCTTCTCTGCTGCTCGTACCGTCCCTGCCAGCCTTTGCATCTCAGCCCCTGCAGCCCTGTTGTCGGAAGGTAAAATCATGAGATGAATGAAAAGGACGGGGTGAAACAAGGTGACTCTGAATTGACTTAGAAATCGCATTGCATCTCAGGCCTTGCGGCCCTAGTGAAAGTAAATGGAGACGTGGTGTGGTGACAAGAAGAGGTTTGGTGCAAAGCGTGTGAAACATGGAGCATGGTGGTGAAGCAGGTCAAAAACCAATCGTAGCATGCAATATCATCACAATGAGCAGGAGGTGCAGCAACTGTCATCAGCAAATGTGAAGGGTTTGGCGAGCTCACTTCAGCTTGTCTCGGCCTGACAGGAACTCTGACTCGGCCATTTGAGCCCGTTCCTGCACGTCCACATTCAGTGAATATGACATTATCAAGGTCAAGCTTTATCTTTGAACGGAGCTTCTGCAGATGGTAGAAGAGAGGGAAAGGAAGCGAGGCACGAAAAGAAGTTGCGAAACCTTTGCCTGCTCTTATCTCACCTGCAGCTTCTTGGTGTCGTTCTTAAAGACTTCCACCGACTGCTTCAAGCCCTCTAGCTTGCGCTCTGCTGACTCCACCAGCACCTGCGTCAAAGGCCGGAAAGGGGAATCGGAAAAGGAAATGATAAACAGGATGGACTTCCATTGACTTCCATTGACTTTTTCTGACTTGCGTTAACCTCCATTCACCTCCACTAACTGCTTCAAACCTTTCCAGCTTGAGCTCGGCTGACTCCACCAGCACCTGCATCAGAGGCCGGGAAGGGGAACGGGAAAAGGGAAGGGACATCTGAAAGCTTTCAATATCATCCAGCCAAGCTAACAACAAGTACACAAAAGTCTTGCATCATACAGTCTTGCATCTGTGCACACTCGCTTACCTCTGGAGTTTGGAACCGGCCAAATGTTGCCCTATACAGCATCTTGCGTGGCCCTGCACAGGACGAGACAGGGAGATTCCGCACAAGAATCAAATGAAGAGGCAGGGAGAGTCCGAAAGAAAGGCGGGAAGCAACAGAAAAGAGTAGAACAAGAAATGGGTTTTTTTTCGGCCAAGGTGGAGCTCTCCCAGACTGGTTGGTTTGTACTATTATTTCGTGAAACTAGCGTTTTGGGTCATCAACTAACAAGCCCGAGCGAAACGACTAACCTGGAAGGATAAAAGCGAGGGCAGAGAGCAGCGCTGCAGACGAGGCAACGCGATGCTCTGAGGCCAGATAAACCCCCACTGGAGAGAAGAAAGAAAGGAGGGAGGGCGGAGAAATGAAGAAAACAGAGAACAAGCTGAGAAGAGCTGGACGGGCAAACCAGGGGCAGAGAAGAAGCAACCCATACTCATACTGTGTGTACACCTCACTTCTGAGAAATCTTGCACAACTCTGGTATGGTGCGTGTACACGCCTCGCACACTTGTGACTCCCAGTGTAACGCGCACACGCCTCACTCACTCTATCACTCACTCTTGAGGTGGTGGAAGAAAACGTCCTCGTATTGCGTGTACACCTCACTCATTCACTCACTCACTCACCCCCTCCCTCACTCCTTCACTCACTCTTGAGGTGGTGGAAGAAAACGTCCTCGTATTGTGTGTACACCTCACGAGCCACCTCAAGGGACGCCTGCAAGAACAGAGCAAGGATGGGAAACAGAAAGAGAGATGGAAAAGGAAAGGGAAAAGGGGGAAGAATGGAAGTTGGGAAAAGGAAGTTGATGGGAAACGAGCAAAGATGAGAAAAGGGCAAAATTAAAGGATCTCGTTTTGCAGGAATCTCTGAATTGCTTACACCTGCGCCTGCACCTGCGCCTGCACCTCCCCCTTTGCCTCCATCTGCTGTGGCTGAAACGCTCGAGCCCCACCAGCCTCCTCCCCGCGTATCAATACGCGCTATAAGCTGCCTACCTTCGCTTCCAGCAGCTGCTCCGACGCTGCAGCTTCCATGACCGCCATTTGCTGCCGCGCGGCCGCGGTGGTCTCGCGAATGGCGGCGGAGGCCTGCTCCTGCGCCTGCTGCAGCTGCTCGTTGCCCTCCGTCACCATCGCCATCACCTTCCGCACCTCATCCATCACCGACGGCGATCCCATGACCGCTCCGATCCGATCTGATATCTTAGCGCGTATTAAATCCTCGTTATAAGGTGCTCCGACGAGGTTATTTCAAGGCTGTAATGCTCCCGCTTTTTGAGACGCAGCGACGGTTGGTTTTAAAAGTTTTACTGAAGCGTAGCCCGTTTAGGAGCAAACGGCAGACTGGGAAATATGTAGGAGCTGATCCGTGTTGTAGTTCCGCTGGGATGTCTCGTGCGAGTGTTAGTACATGGAGATGGAAGAGTGCGGATCGCGACACGGTGCGGAGAGGAAGATAAGGGGTAGCGAAGGCGATGGCGAGGGGTAATGGAGTGTGCGATTAGGGAGGTAATGGAGCGATGGAGAGCAGTAGGTGTGACACACCAGAAAATAGGTGTCCGTTGTAGTTCCTTTACAGCCCGGTGAAAAACTGTGTAGTACGGTTGTACGGTGCAGACCATGTCTCGCGGCACGCAACTTTAGCGTTCCCTCTAGTAGGTCAGAGCACCCTTTGTGAACGAAAGAGATTGTCGGTACATGTAAGGAAGTAAATAGCTAACTTGCATTGCAAAAACAAAATGCAATTTCTTGTTATGATGTCCGTAACAAGTCGTGGAACGCCTCTTGGGGAAGAGAGACGGAACCAACTCGTTTCATTCGCTTCTTCCCTTCCTTCTGCTTCTCCAACAGCTTCCGCTTGCGCGAAACATCCCCGCCGTAACACTTAGCAAGCACGTTTTTACGCATAGCTGAAAGCCTGTTCGGGGAGAGAAACAAATGTTGCAAGTTGTTGAATAATCGATGGATAAGAAGGTACCATGTTGCACAATATGCTGGTAGGATGAACAAAGAATTGTACAGTACGTAGAAAAGGATATGGACACAAGTGCACACTTGAGCAAAGGTGTGCCGATGAAACTTGCAAGAAAGCATACAGTCAGTACAGTAAAACCTGCACTCCCACTCACTTTTCACTTGCGATCACTTTAGCGCCAATAGCAGCCTGGATAACCACCTCAAACATTTGCCTGCATGCACCCATATTTTAATGGCACGCATTTATGGGTGCATGTACACACAGTTGAAATATGTGTCCAGTTGAGGCGAATCGTTGAGGCAAACCCAACAGATGCAACAGAAAACAAACCCGCAATCCTACATCCACAAGCATAAAGCGAGAAATCAATCCAGATGAAACAGAAGCAGCCAAATGCTTCAATGTGTCGCGCCTTTGTTACCCCTCAACCACACTTGTCAAGGATTCCTTTGAGTCGCTCCTCTAATTTCCTCCTCACGCGTTCTGCCACATCCACTACCCTCTCACAACCCTCTCAACCGTTTCAGACCCACCTGTCAAGAATCCCCTTCAAATGCTGCACCAGTTTCCTCCCCATGCCCTGCGCTGCGTCTCTGTGGGCGATGGCTGCCAATGCATCCACTGCCACTACAAAACCCTTTTAAAAATGATGAGTTTTTCAACCTTCGAAAACCCTCTCAATCGCTTCAAACCCACCTGTCAAGGATTCCTTTGAGTCTCTCCACCAGTTTCCTCCCCATGCGTTGCGCCGCGTCTCTGTGGGTGATGGCTGCCACTCGCCACTACAACAAAACCCTCTCAGCACCTTCTGGAACCCTCTAAACCGTTTCAAACCCACCTGTCGAGCACCCCTTTGAGGCGCTCCACCAGCTTCCTGCCCATGCGCTGCGCCGCGTCTCTGTGGGCGATGGCTGCCAGCGCATCCACTGGCTTGCCATTCAGCAGCACATCCACCTTCACCAGATCCGCCTCCCTCATGCTGGGACAAACAGAACAAGGGTAGCAAAGGGAGGGAACAGTTGATTTGAAATTCGGTCAACAGCACATCCACCTTCACCAGATCCGCCTCCCTCATACTGGCGTGCATGGAAAAAGGGCAGCAAAAGTGCAAGAAAAAGGGTGGGGGGGAGGAAGCGGGTTGCATTTCGGGATACGGGAAACCTTTTCAGAAGCGTGAAGGTCAGTTACGACTGCGAATGTAATTGCATTATATAGTGCATGCCCATTCACCAAAAAAAAAAAAAAAAAAAAAGCGTGAAGGTGCAGGCAGCTTTTCAAATTACTTCGAATTTCGAAATCGTTCAGCAGCAGATCCCAGTTTCCCTAGATTACAAGTTCGCCAGATCGGATCCCACCATCACCAGATCCATTGTCTCACCCTGCAGATCCAGTCAAACGCCGTGAACCCTGACGAGATGCACTTGAGGTGGCTGTAGAAATCCATCACCTCCTCACCCCCAAGCCCCCTTCTTTCTTGACTATACCAATCTTGAGTCGACTAGAAAGAAGAAGCCTGCTCTTTTCTTGGCTGTCCCGCCATGTGCCTGCCTGCACCTCACGCTGCACCTCACTCACTCACACACACACACTCACCCGGCATCTTCGTAGTCAAACGTCGCGAACCCTGACGAGATGCTCTTGAGGTGGCTGTAGAAATCCATCACCACCTCCCTCACCGGCATGTCATAGCGCAGCATGGCCCGGTCGCTGCAACAGCATACAAAATACAGGGGAAGAGGACAAAATGCAGTAATCTAGGTGAAAGGCTGTAAACTCAGTAAACAAGCAAACAAGCGCTCCCTTACCACCTCTTGCATTGCCATCTCAGTGTGATGTGACCTGGCTTGACCTTTGAGTCGACTCAAAAGGTCTGTCAGGTACCATACAATGTTGCCGCGCACTAGCATCTCAATGCTCATCGGCCTAGACCAGACCAGAACCCACCCATGACTTTTGAGACGTCTCAAAAGTCCTTTAATTCAACTCAAAAGGTCCGTCAGGAACCATCCCACGTCGCCCGCACTGCGGCACGCACACTAGCATCTCAGTGCTCATCAGCCTAGTCTAAACCAGAACTCACCCATCAATAAACGAGTACTCTTTCTGCTCGCCCCTCCTGCTCGCACAGAGGTCCATGATAGGTCCCACGTACCTGGGGTGGAGAGGGAGCGTGACAGGGAAAGTGGGGGAGGGAGGGACGGGGTAAGAAGGGACGGGGGATGGGGAAGGCGGGAAGGGAGTCATTATGTTGACCCTGTAGGCGAGGGCTTGGCACCACACAGAAGGTACTATTGCAGTGCTAAACGATCATATTGCAGGTTTCTTTGTTGGGATCCCAAAATGGGCCCCGGTGCTAAGACCTCACCAATCTGACTGTATTTCAAACAGGATGTTTGAGCGTTTGAGTAATTTCTATTTGTTACTCACTTGGAGGGAGTCATGATGGTAGCGAGCACGAAGGGCTCGGTGCAGCGGGAAGGGAGCTCATGTTCCAAGCCTTGTGGGCTCACTTGGATGGAGGGAGGGGATGATTGACCACTCACTTGGAGGGGCACTCACTTGGAGGGAGTCACGATGGTAGCGAGCACGAAGGGCTCGGTGCAGCGAAGCACTCGCTGCTTCGGGACAGATGGGATGTCGGATGGACCCTGGGCTTCTATGCGACTGGATGGGAGGGAGGAGGGAGAGGGCGAGGTCGGAGGGTGGGGAGAGGAGGTGGGAAGAACAAAGATATGAGAAGCTCTTGCTGCTTCGGGACAGATGGGATGTCGGATGGACCCTGGGCTTCTATGCGACTGGATAGAGGGAGGAAGGAGAGGGCGAGGTCGGAGGGTGGGGAGAGGAGGTGGGAGGAACAAAGATATGAGAAGCTCTTGCTGCTTCGGGACAGATGGGATGTCGGATGTACCCTGGGCTTCTATGCGACTGGATAGAGGGGAGTCAGGGCGAGGGAAAGAGGGGAGTAGGTGTGAGGTGGGAAGCGAGGAAAGAGGAAGTGATTGTTGCTTCCCTCGCTCGCTTGGGAGGATGTGAGGTGGGAGAAATCATGTGTTTCAAAACTTGGGAGAACGTGTGATTGTTGGACTTGTTCGAATGTGTAGATACAACCGAGAAACAAGTGTAGATGATGGTCCGAGAAGGCGTCTCAGAAGCCACTACATGGCACAGAAATTGACATGGAATGGCATGGGATGGGATGATGTGGCACTGTAAAGTGACTCACGTGCTGTCAGCGTATTCAAAGATGGCAGGCACGGAGGGAGCGGTGGAAAACTCAAACACTGCACACCGACCGACTCACGTGTCATGTGCATGTATTGGCACTGCATGACATGGCATGGCACATCAACTCACGTGCCGTCAGCGTATTCAAAGATAGCTGGCACAGAGGGGGCGGTTGAGATGACTTCACCACCAAACTCCTGCTGCAGGCGCTGGCGAGTCGACATGGAGAATTGACTGACGTACTATCGGCAGCATGGTACACGCACTCACGTGCCGTCAGCGTATTCAAAGATGGCAGGCACGGAGGGAGCGGTTGAGATGACCTCGGCTCCAAACTCCTGCTGCAGGCGCTGGTGAAACACGTCCATGTGGAGCAAACCCAGGAAGCCGCACCTGCCAGGACAATGACAAAGAAGAGGAGCAATTAGTCACTCACTACCTCACTACCTCACTCACTCACTCAATCACTAACTCACTCCCCCACTCACTCCCTCACTCATTCACTCGCTCAATAACTCATTCACTCACTCTACTCCCATATCCAACACTACCACACACCTGAATCCGGCCTCCAGGGCAGCGCTGCTGTATCTGGTAACAGCCACGCTTGCATCGTTGCACACGAGCTTGATCACCGCCTTAGTCAATGCCTTGAGGGGAGAAAAGACACTCACATGCCAATGCTCGCTTACTCGTGCCTGCTTGCATTTGCCCCTCTCACCTCCTCACCTGAATCCCGCGCCCAGGGCAGCGCTGCTGTATCTTGTCACTGCCACGCTGGCATCGTTGCACACGAGCTTGTTCACCGCCTTAGCCAGCGCCTTTTTGCTGCATGCATGCACCACACCACACCACATGCTGCAATCCCAACACACACCTGAATCCGGCTCCTAAGGCAGCGCTGCTGTAGCGGGTGACGGTCACGCTGGCATCGTTGCACACCAGCTTGTCCACCGCTTTGGCCAAGTCCTCAAAGTCAGACCCATCGACCGGGAACACCCCCGCAAACACCATGTGCTGCGCTCCCTCCCAGCCACCCTCGCCCTTCCCTCTCCCCCTTACCTGAATCCAGCCCCCAGTGCAGCACTGCTGTATCTTGTCACTGCCACGCTGGCATCGTTGCACACCAGCTTGTCCACCGCCTTGGCCAGCGCCTCAAAGTCAGACCCATCGGCCGGGAACACCCCCGCAAACACCATGTGCTGCGCCGCCCTGAAGCCCGGTAGGGGCGACACTTGGGATTTATGGTGGTGAATGGTGTCGCCTACCCTTGCTTCTCGAGTCGTGCGCATACCCAGCATCACATACCCCACCTGCCACAGGCACAGGGGGAAAGGGGAGACACTTGAGCTATGTCAGTTGGCCGGGAACACCCCTGCAAACACCATGTGCTGCGCCGCCCTGAAGCCCGGGAGGGGCGACACCTGCGCCTTGTGGTGGTGGATCGTGTCACCCACCCTTGCTTCTCGGGTTGTCCGCATGCCCAGCATCACATACCCCACCTGCCAAATGTGGGAGGGGGACATGGGTGGTGATGGGTGGGAGGAGACACCATGTGCTGTGCCGCCCTGAAGCCCGGCAGGGGCGAGACCTGCGCCTTGTGGTGGTGAATGGTGTCGCCTACCCTTGCTTCCCTTGTTGTTCGCATGCCCAGCATCACGTATCCCACCTGTCACAAGCACAGGGGGAAGGAGGAGAGGCTATGTGACTTGGCAGGGAACACCCCCGCAAACACCATGTGCTGCGCCGCCCTGAAGCCCGAGAGGGGCGACACCTGGGCTTTATGGTGGTGAATGGTGTCGCCTACCCTTGCTTCTCGAGTCGTGCGCATGCCCAGCATCACATACCCCACCTGCCACAGGCAAAGGGGGAAGGGGGAGACACTCTTGCAAACACCATGTGCTGCGCCGCCCTGAAGCCCGGGAGCGGCGAGACCTGGGCTTTATGGTGGTGAATGGTATCACCTACCCTTGCTTCTTGCGTTGTCCGCATGCCCAGCATCACATACCCCACCTGCTTGGGAGATGGGGTGCGGAGAGGTCTCAGCTTGGGACAGGCAAGACAAGTTCCATTGAGCAAACAACCCATGGGCATTGCTTTGGGTTACATCATCCCCACCTCACCTCCCCCAAATCATAGCGCATCCCCATTTCTGCCACCGCCACCCTCCCGCTCTCCCATGCATGCACCTGAACTCTTACAAGCCTACTTAAACTCACTTGCCCAGTATGCAGACAGCCTGTAGGCGTAGCCTCCGGATACATGACTCCAACCTCCCCCACGCCATAGCTCATCCCCATGCCTGCCACTGCCACTCACTCTCCCACCCACCCTTGCACATTCGCCCACCTGACCAGTAAGAAGACACCGTGTAGGCGTAGACTCCGGATACATGACTCCAATCTCCCCTACGTCATAGCTCATCCCCATGCCTGCCACTGCCACTCACTCCCACTCCCATGCCAGCACCGGAACTCAAACAAGCATTCTCATACTCACTTGACCAGTAAGCAAACAGCCAGTGGGCGTTGCTTCAGGGTACATCACCCCCACCTCCCCAACATCATAGCTCATCCCCATGCCTGCCACTGCCACCCTCTCTCCCACACACACATTCACCCGCGCACACACCTGCCCAGTAAGCAAACAGCCAGTGGGCGTTGCTTCAGGGTACATCACCCCCACCTCCCCAACATCATAGCTCATCCCCATGCCTGCCACCGCCACCCTCTCTCCCACACACACATTCACCCGCGCACACACCTGCCCAGTAAGCAAACAGCCTGTGGGCGTTGCCTCAGGGTACATCACCCCCACCTCCCCAACATCATAGCTCATCCCCATGCCTGCCACCGCCACCCTCTCTCCCACACACACATTCACCCGCGCACACACCTGCCCAGTAAGCAAACAGCCAGTGGGCGTTGCTTCAGGGTACATCACCCCCACCTCCCCAACATCATAGCTCATCCCCATGCCTGCCACCGCCACCCTCTCTCCCACACACACATTCACCCGCGCACACACCTGCCCAGTAAGCAAACAGCCTGTGGGCGTTGCCTCAGGGTACATCACCCCCACCTCCCCCACGTCGTAGCTCATCCCCATGCCTGCCACCGCCACCTTCTCCCCCTCCCTGATTGCCCCATCAACCACTGCCACGTGGCACACCACGCCCCTGTACTCGTCAAAGTGCGCGTCCAATAGCAGCGCGCGCAGCGGCGCGGCAGGGTCGCCTGGGGGAGGTGGTATCTGGCGCACGATGGCGGAGAGGAGAGAGGGCAGGCCGGCTCCCGTGCGGGCCGAGGTGAAGAGGCAGGAGGTGAGGGGCAGGTCGAAGGTGGAGGCGATTTGGGCAGCAACAGCTGAGAGGGGGGATGGGGGGAGTGGAGGGACAAGGGAAGGGAGAGTGCGGGCTGAGGTGAAGAGGCAGGAGGCGCGAGGCAGGTCGAAGGTACTGGCGATCTGAGCCGCGACGCGACAGCTGATGGGGGGAAGAGTATTTTTGAGACGTCTCACAAATACACTTTTTACACGTATCAGGTGAAGAGGCAGGAGGCGCGAGGCAGGTCGAAGGTGGAGGCGATCTGAGCCGCGACAGCTGATGGGGCAAGGAGCGGGTGAAATGGGGACAGAAACAGTGCGTGCGTGAGAGGAGGGAGGGCAGGCCGGCTCCCGTGCGGGCCGAGGTGAAGAGGCAGGAGGCTCGAGGTAGGTCGAAGGTGGAGGCGATTTGGGCAGCAACGGCTGAGAGGGGCCGAATGGAAGGTGGGAGAGGGGTCGGAAGCGGGGATTGGAGGATTAGAAAAGGGAGAGTTGAGGTGGAGAAACAGGAGGGGAGAGGCAGGTGGAAGTTGGAGACGATTTGAGCGAATGGCTGAGAGGGGGGGAACGAGAGAGAACGACCAGCAGTACCAGAACCCCCAGCACCACCACCACCAACACCAGCACCATAACCCCCATCGAAGCCAGCAAACACATAAGAACTCAATGCACCTTGGGGATCGGCATCGGGCCTGTCAATCTTGTTCACAACGGGTACGATGGCCAAGTCTCCTTCCAAAGCGAGAAATAAATTCGCGACGGTCTGTGCCTGAATGCCCTGCTGCGCGTCCACCAGCAGCAGCACGCCCTGCGTGGCGGCCAGCGAGCGAGACACCTCGTAGCTGAAGTCCACGTGGCCGGGCGTGTCTATCAGATTCAGCAGGTAGCGCCCGGGAGGAGGACCAGGGCCAGACTGGTCACCTCCAGTAGGTGCCGATGGGTGCAAGTCAAAGAGCATGGTGGCGGTCTGTGCCTTCACTGTGATGCCTCGCTCCCTCTCCACCTGAAGGCATGGGGGAGTGAAGGTGATGCAAGTGTTTAGACGCCCATCACCACCAGCACCACCACCACCAGCAGCACGCCCTGAGTGGCGGCCTGCGAACGAGACACCTCGTAGCTGTGCCTTCACTGTGATGCCTCGCTCCCTCTCCACCTGGCATGGGAGGGAGCGGAGGGAGTGACGATGGGCACGTTCGGCTACAAGACACCTAATAGGTCAAAACTGAGGTATTAGACATCTAATAGACACCTAATACTCCACCCACCTGCAGCTTGTTCAGGTGCTCAAAGCCCTTTAAAGCCCACCTGCAGCTTGTCCTGGTACTGCGGGCGCGCCTGCCCCTTGGTGTCGCTGGGCGTGAGCGTGCCTGTCAGCTGTACCAGCCGGTTTTGAACATTAAAGTGACCACATCTGGTATCAAAACCCCACCTGCAGCTTGTCAACCCCCACCTGCAGCTTGTCAACCCCACCTGCAGCTTGTCCAGATATTGTGGGCGCGCCTGCCCCTTGGTGTCGCTGGGCGTGAGCGTGCCTGTCAGCTCCAGCAGGCGGTCTGCCAGCGTGGATTTCCCGTGGTCCACGTGGGCGACAATGGAGAAGTTCCGGATCCGATCTGGCGGGAAGGCGGACAGGTCTATGGGGGGCTTTTCGTGCCTCCCACTGCTACCGCTCGCGCTGCTGCTGCTGCTAGTGTTGCTGCTACTAGTGCCGGCGCTGCTAGTGCTGGTAGTGCCGCTGTTGCTGGGGACATTTGCATTGCTGCTAGCGTCGCCACTGAACCTGCGTATGTTGTTACCGACACTGCTTCTACTCCTACTGCTGCTGCTAGTTCTGCTGCTAAGGCTGCTGCTGTTGTCGACCGTTATTCTGTCTAGGCTCTCTGAACCTAATAGATTGTTCCTACTACTATTTCTACCACCAATGGAGTCAATGCTCCTCTCTGTTCTACTTCTTTCACTAGTGCTAAACTGGCTACAGTAATCCTTGTCGACGCAAGAGCCTAATCTGTGGGATTCGTTTGTAGCAGCTGCGATACTGTGGTTGATCAGAAGGGCTACGTGCTGAATTTGATGAGCGCCTGAAGGCTGGAAAGGCGCGTTCCGCCTGATGGTCGCGTGCTGCCACGTGTCCAGACATGCGATCCAAGAACGGCTTTTACCAGAGATCGGAGCCGCCGACGACAACGGTGGGGATTGAATGCGACCCGCCGTGCGTTGCGAAAATTTGGCGGTTGACGGGATCGCGGATGATGGACAATGTGGTGACACGTCAGCAACGCATGGTGGGTTGAAGGTGCGTGAGAGGCGGATGAAGGAGGAGCGAAGGTGCGCGCCGATGGTCGAATTCGCGGCTCTACGCGCAGCCATGGCGACATGCGGCCGCCGCGAAGTGTGCTTTTCGTCAGCTGGTCATGAAATCAGTGCAGAAATCAAGGTCAGAATCGTACCTGCCTGGGGAAGTGAATTTACTACAGATAAATCCACAAGTACTCGCTAAAGAGAAGTCCATGGAGGCCACCTCGATTTGGTGTACACATTATTTATGGCATTGGTTATTGGGAAGGTTGCTTTGAACTGTTGACGCTTGTCTCGCTGTTTCAAGCAGCGAAACCGACGGTGAAAAAAGGCCGTGGCTGTCCTTTCGCCTCGGGTTGCTTTGGTTCCACGAAACCTGAACGCAAAGAGTCCGATTGGCTGTAACGACATTTTCCTGTCGCCAAACGCACCGCGTTTCGTTCAGGTGCCACCAATCTCGAGGCGCGGTTGGGGATCCCATCAGTTACGTTTCACGTGTCCGAGTTCCTGGGGCAGCCCCAACGGCCAACACAGCCCTCGAAGCTTTTATGGCCGTCGGATCATGGCGGGAGCAAAGATGAGGCTGCGATGCGCCAACAATGCACGCCTGCGACTGGAGTGCTGAGTTGGTGGAGTTCAGGAGATCCCAATGGGCAGGTTCGGGTGTCCCAAAAAACGCCTGCAGAAGGCTGACCGACGTCCATTGGGCTAGGTTGCTGATGTTTTCGAGGACGTCCGAACCTGCCCATACTGGCCCCAAACCTCTCTCCCCTCCACCTTCCTTCCTCCGTCCCTCCCTCCCTCCCTCCAACCAATTTCACCCAGAAATCTCCGAATTGAAGGCATCTTCAAATGTCAGCTGAAACTTTATATTGATTCTCAAGTCTAGATTTCGTCGCCTAGCTTTCCACACCGGCAAGGCTCTTCATTTTCGCTTGAGACCTGATTGTCACACTAGCTTGGCATTGTGAGTCGAGTTAGCCTCCTCGTCTTCCGCTCATTGTTTCATTCTCATTGACTCACACGCCAAGATGGTGAAGATCTGCTGTATTGGTGCCGGTTATGTCGGCGGTCCCACCATGGCCATGATCGCCTTGAAGTGTCCCCACATCGAGGTACGTGCGACGATCGTTCGCAGTACTCGTTGTTACGCAGGATCTATTGCCGATCACCCTTTAGCTGTTGCTTCTGCAGCTGTTTCTGTGTCGATCGCCCGTTAGCAGCAGTGTGATTAAGTTTGTCTGAGAGATCCTGCTGGCTGTCATAAATTTCTCAGGTGTACGTCGTCGACATTAGCAAGCCTCGCATTGCCGCTTGGAACAGCGATCGCCTCCCTATCTACGAACCAGGCCTTGACGAAGTTGTAAGTCCTTACTCAGTGCCGTTCAACCCGCTGAACTTCACGTTTGGCGTCGTGCCTAGCGTGATCGGGCCTTGGTCCAATCGGCAGTTGATTTACCGATTCTCGATGCCGAATCGCAGGTCAAGGAGTGCCGCGGGAGGAATTTGTTTTTCAGCACGGAAGTTCAGAAGTATGTGGCTCTGTGCGATATCATTTTTGTCAGCGTCAACACTCCCACAAAGACCAGGGTACGTGCACCAGGTCTCACCGTGCATCGTTCTGGTTCTTGATCCCCGCTTTCCTCATTATTTCAGTGAGGTTAATGCAAATTTGTCGTTTTCTCTCTGACATATTTGATTGTTACAGGGTCTAGGAGCCGGAAAGGCCGCCGATTTGACATACTGGGAGAGCGCCGCCCGCATGATTGCAGATGTTTCGAATTCTCCCAAGATTGTACGTCTCCTATCCTGGAAAAAAAACAAAAACAAAAACATGAATGGTTTTTCTAAGCTTCGTCTGGTCAAGACCGGTTTCCTTCAATCAAATGATGTCTTTCTTGATGTGAATCTCAGGTTGTGGAGAAGTCAACAGTCCCTGTGAAGACAGCAGAAGCCATTGAGAAGATTCTGACACACACCAAGAGTGGTGTCCAATTTGATGTAAGCTAACAATATATTTTCAGTTTCTGTTTAATTGTACTTTGGGAGCCAGCGGGAATCGTTTCTGATGTGAGAATCCCGTGTGACCATGGGTGTTGTATTGGGCAGATCCTGTCAAACCCAGAGTTCCTTGCTGAAGGAACCGCCATGGATGATCTGCGGAAGCCTGACCGCGTCCTCATCGGTAAGCCGTACCATCCCGCTCGTTTTAGTTTCAAGGCATAATTTCCTCAGGTATTCATATCTCAAACGCCAGGAAACAAATCGTGAATCACAAACAAAAGCTACAAACAAGAAAATTGTAATTGAGCCCTCAAACAGAGGAGAAAGATTGCGCTGATTACTTTCCAGCTCGTTTCCTTTTCTACTGCAGGTGGTCAGGAGACGGAGTCTGGTCGCAAGGCCATGGCTACACTGGCGTCGGTATACGCCAACTGGGTGCCTCAGGAGAACATTCTCACCACCAACCTCTGGTCCGCGGAGCTGTCGAAACTCGCAGCTAACGCGTTCCTGGCGCAAAGAATCTCCTCCATCAACGCCATCTCTGCCCTTTGCGAGGTACGCGTCGCTACAACCTGGCGCGGCTCATTATTTCTTCCTGCTCCAGCCAATCATACCATGGCTTTGTTTCTACCACGGCTGGCTAGTGTTCAGTTGCTTTTCCAGGGGTTCACTCGTATCGCATTCCCTCCAATTCTGTTTGCTTATCTGCAGTCAACGGGTGCCAACGTGTCCGAAGTGGCCTTCGCCATCGGCAAGGACACTCGCATTGGCAAGCGTTTCCTCCAATCCAGCGTTGGCTTTGGTGGCTCCTGCTTTCAGAAGGTGAGGGCTCTAGTTATAACTTACCGATGATCCTTACAGCAAGACTTGCGCCTCCCATTCAGTGGTGTTATCGCCCCCCAAGTGTCTAACGTGTGTGTTTGTTTGTTTGTTTTATTTTTTTGCCTTGTTTCAGGATATTCTGAACCTGGTGTACATCTGCGAGTGCAATGGGCTCACAGAGTGCGCCAAGTACTGGCAGCAGGTGATTGACATCAACGACTACCAGAAGAACCGCTTCGTCAAGGTGCGTTGCAACACGCAAAGAAAGAAATTGATCTCTCCGAACAGGAGGTTGGCCTCGTTTGCGCTCTTTTTCTGCTACACCTTGCGTGCTCCCCTGATAGATGTGTTCAACAGATTGCCCTAGAATTTTAGATGGTGTGATCTCGTGTCAGTCCTCAGTCCTTTCCTCCATCCCAATCAGAGGATCGTGTCGTCCATGTTCAACACGGTGTCGGGCAAGAAGATCGCCATCTTCGGGTTCGCCTTCAAGAAGGACACTGGCGACACCCGCGAGACGCCCGCCATCGACGTGTGCCACGGGCTGCTCAACGACCGCGCGTACCTCCACATCTACGACCCCGAAGTCACGTACGTAGCGAGTTGATAGGAGGGCTGGTGTCACGGATGCTTGAAGTCACTTCTGTACCGAGTTTAGAGGGCCAGTGTCACGTACGCCAGACGGTCATGTTCATACCGAGCTGTAGAGGCATTTGTTAGGTGGGCCGGAGTCGCATAAGCCTCTGAATGAACCAACCCCATCCATCGGGCAGCATCACCCCACCCCCAGTCAATGTCACCCCCACCCCGAGTCAACATCACCCCCACTCCCAGATCAGCCCCACCCCCAATCAGCCCCTCCCCCAATCAGCCCCTCTCCCAGACAGCGCCTCTCACTCATCTCAGTCAGCGTCCCCCACTCATCTCAGTCAGCGCCCCCCTCTCATCTCAGTCAGCGCCCCCCTCTCATCTCAGTCAGTGCCCCCCACTCATCTCAGTCAGCGCCCCCCTCTCATCTCAGTCAATGCCCCCCACTCATCTCAGTCAACGCCCCCCGCTCATCTCAGTCAGCGCCCCCCACTCATTTCAGTCAACGCCCCCCTCTCATTTCAGTCAACGCCCCCCTCTCATCTCAGTCAACGCCCCCCTCTCATCTCAGTCAACGCCCCCCTCTCATCTCAGTCAACGCCAACCTCACCTCGTTCAACGTCCCCTCCACCCCTCAGCCAGCGTCTCCTTCACCCCTTAGTCAAGAGCCACCGCTCTCAGTGAAGAGCCACCGCTCTCAGTGAAGAGCCACCGCTCTCAGTGAAGAGCCACCGCTCTCAGTGAAGAGCCACCGCTCTCAGTCAACAGGCACCGCTCTCAGTCAACAGGCACCGCTCTCAGTCAACAGGCACCGCTCTCAGTCAACAGGCACCGCTCTCAGTCAACAGGCACCGCTCTCAGTCAACAGGCACCGCTCTCAGTCAACAGGCACCGCTCTCAGTCAACAGGCACCGGCCTCAGTCAACAGGCACCAGCCTCGGGTAACAGGCACCGGCCTCGGGTAACAGGCACCGGCCTCGGGTAACAGCGACCGCCCTCAGTCAACAACCACCGCCCTCAGTCAACAGCCACCGGCCTCAGTGTTCTGGGTTTAGCAGGGTTCCGGGACAGGGTTTATCAGTAAGTTTTGGTGCATTGACGGAGGTTACCTCTCCCTACACGCAATTACCTCCCCGATACAGTGAGGAGCAGATTCAGCGGGATCTGGGGATGGGCATTTGAGCGGGACCATCCCCTCCGGATGCATTCCCAACATTAATGGAGGCCTTCTCACCGTCCTTTGCTAACTTCTCGCATCCCCTTCCAACCCTCTCCCACACACAAACCCCACTGCAGTGAGGAGCAGATTCGGAGGGATCTGGGCACAGGCAAGTTCGAGTGGGACCATCCCCTCCCGATGCAGTCGCCCACTTCCATGGATGCCTCCTCACGCGTCACTGTGGACGCATCTCCTTATGAAGCAGCCAAGGACGCATCGTGCATCGCAGTGATCACCGAGTGGGACGAGTTCAAGGCGCTCGACTACCAGAAGCTGTATGACGGCATGCAAAAGCCCGCGTTTATCTTCGACGGGAGGAATGTTCTGGACGTGGAGGCGCTCAGGAAGATTGGGTTCATCGTGTACTCGATTGGCAAGCCCCTTGATCCCTGGGTGAAGGACCTGGCTATCTCGATCTAGATACAGGGGGTTGTTACATAGACCAATATCGTGCTGTTCCTCATCGTAGAGGAGGTAGAGAGACTGGGACTGCTTGGGTTTATGGAGGGAATGGTAAGGGTGGGTGCGCTTGATCATAACACTTCCGGAATTGTACGACTGCTGGCTTCTTACCGGTATCCTAAATCTGGATAACTACACCACAGTTGCTTTCTGTTGTATTGACATGGTAGGCTTCAAATTCACTTGTCAATCATCAGAATGTATCGGTGAACACGCAGAATTCCCGGGCTGCAGTCAACCTCCTTCCACCTTGCTTGAGGTTGACTGGTGCAGCCAGGAAAGTCCAATCAGTCAATTAGCACATTCAGTTTAGTAAAGTCCAGATTCAGTCATGTCAGCTTTACTGTATATCACTTGGTTTTAATCCGAATCCTTTCTAATCGTTACAAGTGCCAGCCGTGATCTAGCTGCCACTACCGTAGCAGCCTGCTTCAGGTTGACTCTGGTGCAGCCAGAAACGTTCAGCAGCTGAAGCTTCTATTGAGGCGCCTTAAACATCGTAATTCAATCCGCATCTTTTCTCACTGTTACAAGCACCAGCCGCGGTCTAGCTGCCACCACCTCCGCAGCCTGCTTCAGGTTGACTCTGGTGCACCCAGAAACGTCCAGCAATTGAAGCCTTTTGCACGCCTTGACTGCACTGCTTACACTAGCCTCAGTAACCTGCCAATTGCAGAGATGCAGTAACATTTAGGGCAGAATCAGGGAGCAAAGGCGGAGAGAGTGGACAGATTGAGAAAGAGAGGGCAGAGAGAGAGCTGAGTCAGGGAGAAGGGGAAAGTCAGAGAGTTGCTGATTCACCTGTATGCAATCGCGCAGCAGCTCGGGTCAGACAGACAACAGCTTGTGATAGAGAGCGCCTTAAGGGAGAGGAAGCGGTGAGGTTACACCTGTGGAGAAATTATTCAAAGATTGGTAGTGGCACTTACCTGTGTGGCCAGTGGAAGTGCAGCGTACCTGTATGCAATCGCGCAGCAGCAGTCGGAGGAGGTTGGGGCAGGTGGTGACTATGCAGGCAACGCCCGGGTCAGCGAGAGAGCAGCTGGTGATAGAGAGTGCCTTGAGTGAGAGGAAGCGGTAGGGAGGCTTGGAGGGAAGAGGCGAGGAGGAAGGGGAGGAGGATGACAGGGAGGAGGATGGGGAGGAATTGTTATTGCGAAGAGGGGATAGGGAGGAGGAGGTGGGTGGACTACGATTGGGAAGAGGAGACGAGGATGTCGAATTGGGGATCGGAGGAGGAGGGGGCGAGGGGGAAGTGGAGGAAGGTGTAGCGGGGGAGTGGGAGGCGAGACCGGTGCCCAGAAGGTAGTCTGAAAAGAGGTGGAGCTCTGAGAGTGACAGACAGCTGGCGGCCAGTGATTGGAGCGAAGCGTCTGTCACGGTGCAGTCGATCTAAGGTGCGGGGGAAAACGGGGGTGGAGGAGGGAGGGCAAAGGGAACAAAATATTAGTGCAGATGTGGGGAAGTTAGGTGAGGGGGAGGGGAGGGAGGTTTTGCAGAGGAAGTGGTTGTTGAATGACAGTAAATGGCAACTTGTTGAAGGATTGGGAGAAGCGCGAACAAGGTGTATTTTGAGGCGCCTCAAAATACACCTCACTGCACGCGGTTTTGCACAGGAAATGGTTGTTGAATGACAGTAAATGGCAACTTGTTGAAGGATTAAGAGAAGCGGGAAGAAAGACTGGAGAATAACATGAGAAAAAACTGTCAGACTGCAGGTGAGTCGATTTTTGAGTCGACTCAAAAATCGACTCACTACACGCGAAAAGCGAAGACAGACTGGAGAATAACATGAGAAAAACTGTCAGACTGCAGGTGAGTCGATTTTTGAGTCGACTCAAAAATCGACTCACTACACGCGAAAAGCGAAGACAGACTGGAGAATAACATGAGAAAAACTGTCAGACTGCAGGTGAGTCGATTTTTTAGTCGACTCAAAAATCGACTCACTACACGCGAAAAGCGAAGACAGACTGGAGAATAACATGAGAAAAACTGTCAGACTGCAGGTGAGTCGATTTTTTAGTCGACTCAAAAATCGACTCACTACACGCGAAAAGCGAAGACAGACTGGAGAATAACATGAGAAAAACTGTCAGACTGCAGGTGAGTCGATTTTTGAGTCGACTCAAAAATCGACTCACTACACGCGAAAAGCGAAGACAGACTGGAGAATAACATGAGAAAAATCTGTCAGACTGCAGGTGTATGGGGGGGGGGGGGGGGGGGCACACAAACTCCCACGAGCTTGGAACCTTCCGAGAAACCTGCAAGCAGAGCCACTCACATCCAGCACTCCGGCGACTTGGAACATTCCGAGAATCTTCGCGTAGCGTTTCTTAGAACCGGGGTCGAAGCGGAGAGACGTGAGGCTGGGGCAGGCGTAAGCAATGGCGGAGATTACTGTGTCTGACATTCCGAAGCAGGGCAGCACGAGGGACTCGAGCTGTGGTGCGTGGTTGGGGGTTCTGGGAGGACTGTGAGCAGAGGCGGTGGCGGCGGTGGCAGAAGGAGAGCAGTGGGGGCAGTGGGAGGAGGAGGAGAAGCAGTGGCAGTTTCTCTGGGAGCAGGAGCTGATGTTGCCTGGGCTGGTGTTGGAGCTGCTGACAAGACCAACGCAGAAGCAGCAGCAGCATCACTAGCACCACCATTAGCAGCACCGTTTCTAGCAGCAACAATACCACCGGCACTGCCAACCCCAGCACCAGTGGGACCTCCTCCAGTGCTGGTTTTGGCAGTGCCAACCCCAACACTGCCACCGGCATTGCCAATGCCAGCACCAGTGGGACCTCCTCCTCCAGCCACTGCCGACCCTTCAAGCGGCTTGGTGCGAGGAGAAGCAAGGGCAGCGAGACGAGAGAAGATCCTCTGATGCTCCTGCTTATGCCCGTGCTTATGCTCATGCTCATGTGCATGTTCATGATCATGCTGCTGTGAATCATGCGCCGCAAAAGAATTGCCACCACCATCACCATCACCAAAACCGCCACCGCTGCCGCCGCCACCAGCAGCAGCAGCAGCAGCAGCAGCAGCAGCAGCAGCAGCAGCAGCAGCAGCAGCAGCAGCAGTATCTGTCACAGGGGCAGCATCAGAGCGCAAGTCTAGAACCAGCATGTCAGGTGGCGAGGAGGAACCTTCTCCTTCCCTCGCTACAGCACCTTCAGCTGCTGCCCCTTCTGCTCCTCCTCCTGCTGCTGTCCATTCTGCTCCCTCTGCTGCTGCAGGAACGCCAGGACTAGTATCCGCGTTGAAGGGCCAGCCGTAGCTTTCAGAAGCAGCAGCAGCGGCACCAGGAGCAGCAGCACGAGTAGAATCGGTACCAGTAGCAGCAGAACTGTCGTGGCTGTTGCTCCTGTGGTGTGCTTCCGCTCCAGAGGGGGGCTTGGCTGTGTGCTGCCGCCGGCCCTGCCTGCCGCTTGATGGCGCAGTGGCTGGGAGGAGGGTGGGGAGACGGGGGTAGAAGGGGTAGAACAGGGGAAATGGTTCAGAAAAAACAACTCATCAGAACAAACAGACGAGGTCGGTGTTGTGTGCCGCCGCCAGCCCTGACTCTCTGTCGCTCGACGGTGCAGTGGCTGACGAGGGGAAGAAACGGGGGTGGGGGGGGGAGACTGGGGGAAAGCGGGTGGTTCGAAGGCGCACATCAAGGGGGAGAAGAGGGGGGGATGGTTCATAGGCTCACTCATCCATCACAACAGAGGAGCTCTATTTCCTTTTTTCTTTTTTCTTTTTTAATTCTTTTTGTAGCATTTATGTAGAGGAAATGCACCGGAAGGGAGCAGCGCTGAAAGCCAGCATTCAGGCAGCTCTCTGCTGACGTCACAACCCGGTACGGGAACTTTGCTTCTGCTGACGTGTTTTTCAAATTCCAGTTTTCAGACTGACCCAAAGGTCTTCTTAGTAATGCTCTCCTGTACATTCAATTTTCTTCGTACATCCCGCGATGCAATGGAATCTGAAAGCACGTCAGCATACACCAAGTTCCCTCCATACCAGGTCGTGACGTCAGTGCGTTGTTCGAATGCTGGCTTCCAGCGCTGCTTCCAGGTGCATGATTTCCTCTACAATGTACAGCATCCCGTGCAGCAAGATGATTCATCGCATTTTCGTTATCTCCGTTGTTCACCGGGGATGCGGACGCGGATACTGTTGTCTTGCTCGCCTCATGCTGACGCGAGCCCGCGTGACGCAGCTTCGAGGGAAGAAAAGCCCTCATTATTACGTTTCGACGCGAACAGGAGCAAGGAAACCAGGCAAGAGGACTCCTCGGAGCAAGGAAACAGGCGGCCGGTAGTAAGGGAACCAGCAACAGGTTCGGCTAGTAGATAAACAAGAGGCAGACTAATTTACGTCCGACTACGTTGGCTGAGTAGCTCCTATCGTGCAATGCTGTCAGATATGTCAGAATCACTACGTTACCGTGTCCGAATGTGCATTTGTGGGGGTCAAATTAGGGAATTCTGGAACTACCAATCTTGTCGCTCACATTTTGCCTTTCCCGCAACACGCCCTGGAACGTGTGTTGCCTCACAAGTAGGAAATCCCAATCTTGTCGCTCTGACACGGTTTAAAAGATTCGGTGAGGAGAGATGGGTGGTGGCGGTGAGCGGTGGTGACCCATTTGCAGCACACAACTTCGTTAGACTGACATGTGAGTTTAGAATGCATTTTGATACCGTACGGCTTACGACTGATAAGCAGTGGTGTAGCGGGTTGTAAGCCCCAGGTCCCTGCCGTCCCAATGTACCTCAGACAAGGCTCTCCGCCACGTCTGCATTGTAGATCCAACAAGGTTTGGTCATGCATAGCGCTTTCTGTGGTTTGGTCATGCATACATCTTAAACAATTTATATATTCGTGACGGAGCAACGAGTACCGCGCTTTCACATTGCCCAATCAGATATTAATTATTTGTTTTTTCTTGAATGAACTTCAACCTCTCTTTTTCTCCATGGGTGACTTTTTTATTCATACTTTCTCACTTCAGGTATATGCACATGCAAAGCTGATCTCGTGCTGTTACAGACTACACCACTTCTCTCTCCTGGCAACGTCAAGGTACACCTAGTCCGCGGTATTTTAACCACGTGAACTGTTTTGCTTCAAACACCCTTTGTTCATTTTCGGGTAATGAGATGGGCACCCAGAGACTTCAAGGCTATTGTTTCGCAGCCAAAAGCATTTCCTTTTAAAGAAACTCACACTTAGTGCTCCGAAATAGAGGGCGGATCGGCATTGACCAGGTTTTGACTGCCGTCGCCTCACAAAGGGTATGCTAGATTCTACCCTCAATAAATTTTAAAACTACTCGTATAAAAAAGTTTGACCAAGGAGAAGTACCCTCGCGCGGTTAAGATAGCGGCGGTTAAAATACCGCGGACTAGGTGTATAGCGCCTTCCACATCTCTGACGCGCGCAAATCAACTCCTGAAAGGCCAAAACCCTGGACTCATATCAGGGTTATTCCCTTCATGTCTGGGCACTCGCACCCACCACACCTGCACACCCACTACCAAGTCTCCCTGTTGGCTATTTCTCTACCCAGTTTCCTTTCATCGCCCTCCGACCTTCCGCTATCCGCCCTTTTCCGTCGTCCTCGCTTGCATTCGTTCTTGCTGTACTTGCTTTTGAAACCCCTGCTCGCCCCGCTCTCTCGTTCTAACCACAATCAGTTGTGACAGTATCGGAGGCACGAGATCCCTCGTGATCCTTGTTTATAATCGGCCGATCGGTCATTCGTCTTGCAGGTAATGAACTTATTCCTTTTTGTTGTTATTCCTCACAACTGCCTGCTAAGGGGATTCCTCTCCTTTCCAGCCACCGCTTAATCCGCAGCTCGCTTCGTTAAGCCAATCCTGCCAGCTGCTTCGGCTGGTCGTGGGACGTCGTTTCGCGGTTTGCTTCGGCGGATCGCGGGACTTGGTTTCACGATCTGCTTCGGCGGCTGGTGTGGTTGGCTGAGGTGGCAGAGCTGCTGATTACACCAATGCGGAGGCTGGTTTCGCGGAGTTCCCAAGAGGGACACGTGGCTCATAGTACCGATGGAATGCTAATTTCTCATTCCATTGGCCTCCATGTCCACTCACATTCAACGCTTTGTTCACAACATTTTGCAGGCCAAACACCGGCTTTGCGTTGTCCACGCGCTGCTCTGCCTGCTGTGCGACTCATGCCTTCTATTTGATTGCAGTGTTTGCAGGTGGTGAAGATTGGCACTGGCTGCAGGTGCCTTCTAAGGCTGCTACCGCTGAAGATTGCCTTCTTCATGTTCATGCTGTTTGCTGCTGCCTGCCTAGGCTCGTTATGGTATGGCAGTGACAAAAATATATAATGTCATGTACAGTAAATATGTTTCTTGTATTTCTCCGAAAACCTTGTGATCGTGTTACAATGTTCTGGGCTGGTATGGATGGGTTTCGAAAACAATTATAAAGACAATACCATCAGTCACTGTGAACCCTTTGCCCTTGAACCTTTCTCTACCAACACCGTACTAGCATAGTGTCCAGCATCCTGATTAGGGGTTCCTTGTACCTACATTCTGTACGAATTTTTTGTATCTACGCTGCTGAATAACTGCTACAGGATCAGCACAACATGATATCGTTTAAATCTGGGAGGAAGCTTCCTGCTGGCATCATCGGAAGCTTCTGTAGTGAGGGTTGTACATTTTGCTGAAGGCGTAGGACAGGAGGTCAGGTGGCCTGGGCAAGTTCGTTGCCACGCCTGAGGGAGGGGAGCAGACGGAGGGAGTGACGCGCTCGCTCAAGAGGCTGAGGGTAAAGAGAAGGCGATGGCATGGCAGCAGATTTGCCATGCGACCATGGTCATTTGCTGTCTCACAGGGCATCAAGGAGCTTCTTCACTCACCTGGTTCAATCGTATTTGCACCGAATCAAGCCACAAATACGGGATACCCCTCCGCCTGAGGTGATGTCCTACCTACAACTTAGCAATGTCATACGCCTTAACGGCAATGGCCCTCACAACGTGTGCTAAGATCATTCAGTCTGCCTGCCCTGCCCTCCCCACACCCCTACAGCTCTCCTTCCAACTCACCGAGGTCATACACCTTAGCAGCAACGGCCCTGGCGATGTGGGCTGAGATCGTTCAGTGTGGCTAAGAATGAAGCCACATGAATGCTTCCTGCCTTCCCCGCCCTCCCTTCCAGCCCTAAAGCTCTCCTCCCAACTCACCGAGGTCATACGCCTTGGCAGCAACGGCCCTGGCGATGTGGGCTGAGATCTGCCGAATCTTCCAGATGGGTGGGTACACGCGCCCCTGCTCCCTGTCATCGTCGCTCACCTGAGATACACACATGCAGGTAGGTTGCAGGTTCGGGGTGAGGCGAAAGAGGTGATGGGGGTGTAAGTACACAACAAGGGACAAATAAGTGACTCGGGACACACTCAGAAGGTCTTCCAGATGGGTGAGTACACATGCCGCTGCTCCCTGTCATCGTCGCTCACCTGAGATACACACAGGGGAGGGAGATGGAGCGAAGACAAGGGGAGGAACACAGGACAAAAAGGTGACAAAAGGTGGCGCTTAAAAGCCACACTTTGAATCGATCGACTCAACAGCTAACTCACCTGGTGGTGGCCTTTGATTCGGCTGAAACCACAGGGCCCTCACCTGTGCTGCGGGCACCTCCGCAACAGCAAGAAACATCTCGTCTCTCATGCGCGTGGCACCACACATGTCGGTATCGCAATGCCGCAATGATTGATTCCCACTTGTGACACCAGTGCCTCAATCGCCCTCACCTGTGCTGCCTCAGCAGCAGCGAGGAACATCTTGCCTCTCATGCGCGTGGTGCCACACATGTCGATATCGCTGTGCCGCAATGATTGATTTTCACCTGTGCAGCCAGTGCCTCGGCAGCAGCAAGGAACATCTTGCCTCTCATGCGCGTGGTGCCACACATGTCGATATCGCTGTGCCGCAATGATTGATTCTCACCTGTGCAGCCAGTGCCTCGGCAGCAGCAAGGAACATCTCGCCTCTCATGCGCGTGGTGCCACACATGTCGATATCGCTGTGCCGCAATGATTGATTCTCACCTGTGCAGCCAGTGCCTCGGCAGCAGCAAGGAACATCTCGCCTCTCATGCGCGTGGTGCCACACATGTCGATATCGCTGTGCCGCAATGATTGATTCTCACCTGTGCAGCCAGTGCCTCGGCAGCAGCGAGGAACATCTCGTCTCTCATCCTGGTGGCGCCACACATGAGGCAGCCCAGGCCGATCCCCGGAAACACATACGCGTTGTTTCCCTGCCCTGGCACGAACCGCCTCCCATCCATTTCTACTGGGGCGAACGGGCTGCCACTGGCGAATATGGCCCGACCCTGGAGCGGTGGAATGGGGTGTGGAGGGGTGGAGAGGGTGGGTGTGCAGGAAGATCTAGTGGTTGCCATCTATCTCCACCGGGGCGAACGGGCTGCCACTGGCGAATATGGCCCGACGCTGGTGGGGTGGAAGAATGGGATGCGAAGAAGTTGGCTTGAGGAAACACACATGCATTGTTGCCCTGCCCGAGGACAAGCAACCTCCCATCCATCTCCACCGGGGCGAACGGGCTGCAACTGGCGAATATGGCCCGACGCTGGTGGGGTGGAAGAATGGGATGCGAAGAAGTTGGCTTGAGGAAACACACATGCATTGTTGCCCTGCCCGAGGACAAGCCACCTCCCATCCATCTCCACCGGGGCGAACGGGCTGCCACTGGCGAATATGGCTCGACCCTGGTGGGGTGGAGAGTGAGAGGAGAAGATAAGATAAGTAGGCTTGATGGAACTCATACGCGTTGTTGTCCTGCCCGGGGACAAACCGCCTGCCATCCATCTCCACCGGGGCGAACAGGCCATCCATCCGCCTGCCGCTGGCAAAGATGGCCCGACCCTGGTGGGATGGAGGGACGGATGCAGAACAGAGATGGTTGAGTGAACGGCAGAAACGCTTACCCATCTGATCAAATTCAGCTTAGAACATTCTCACGAGGACAATCGCAAGAGAAAAGGTGGAAGCGAACATTCACAAAAGCACAACCATTCACGTTCAGCCACCAAACCCAGGTATCCACCCATCTCAACCCATTCACACACCTGAGTCCACTTGTACGCGTCCTCTGCTGTGCACTCAGAGAGCGACGTGGGGTTGGAGAGAGCGAAGACGATGGGTCGCTGGTGGGGGATAGGACGAGTGGAGGCAAGGGGGTTGAAGGAAGAGAAAGGAGAGCAGATTAGATGGATCTTAGAGCGAAGTGGATGGGAAGCTGTCGCAGCAGGAGCAGCCGGAGGAGCATTTTTTAGGCGCCTCAAAAATCGTCTCAGTTCACGCGGTTTTTATATGGGGAATGGATCTTAGAGCGAAGTGGATGGGAAGCTGTTGCAGCAGGAGCAGCCGGAGGAGTAGGAGGAGCAGGAGGAGCAGGAGAGCAGGAGGAGCAGGAGAAGCAGGAGAAGCAGGAGGAACAGGAGGAGCAGAAACAGCAGGAACGGCAGGAATAGCAGGAGCAGCACGCAGCAAGAACAGCAGCAGAAAGGCCAAGACTTTCCAGCCAAAGCACTTCTCCAGCCCTCACCTCGTTGAGTTGGGCCATGGCTTCACACACTGGCTGGGTGAATGTCCCTGCCTGCCCTGATACCCCTTGAGCACGAGCAGCAACCACACCACAGCAGCAGCAGCAGCAGCCCACACCCTTTCCACCTAAAAGCAACCCCACCGCTCACCTCGTTGAGTTGGGCCATGGCTTCGCACACTGGCTGGGTGAACAACGTCCCTGCCTGCCCTGGCACTGCTACCAGCACCACTTCACTGAGGGCGCCTCATCTCATATATTGAAACAGGCACCTCAGAAACATCCCCAGCGCTCACCTCGTTGAGTTGGGCCATGGCTTCACACACTGGCTGGGTGAACGTCCCTGCCTGCCCTGACACCCCTATCAGCGCTGTTGGCCGTATGGCCTAGGGAAGGGAGAAAGAGAGAGCGGGGCGAGGGACACATAACAGTTATCAAAGAATATCAAGACTTGTACGCGGTCTCTGTGTTGAGAAAATCGAGTGAAACAAATTGACATGGATAGAAAACAAAACTCAACCCCAACAGGCGAGTTGAGTGAGTGGTCAGCCGATGCACTCAGGCTAATGTAAGCCCAATGCTAGCTGTCTGCATCGTCAACCCCAGATCGTCCCACTCACATGGATGGTCTCCACGAGATCAGCTGATTCGGGGTGGTCATGCGCGAAGGGAACCTTGTGAGGCTGCAACGAGTCCACTCTGCTGCGCACCACTAGACCCTGGAGTGTTGGGGGGGGGGAGAGAGGACGGAGGGAGGGAGGGAGGGAAGGAGGGAATTGCTTAGGAAATGACCAACCCGAATCAGCTGATCAAAGGACGGTGAGGAGTGAAGGACGGTGGGGAACTTGTGCCGATAAAGGGGCTGCAATTCGAAGGTCTCGCACCTTGGAGCCCACGAGCCAGATGCACCCTGGAACCTCTGCCAGGGATATGTTCGCCTATCTGCTGATTGCGGTCGCCAGCACCTCCGCAATGCCGGTGCTGGCTTCACCTTGTAAGTCTCACCTTGGAGTCCACTGATCATAAATCACCTGATCAAAGGGCTTCAACTTTGAGTGGCTCACCTTGGAGTCCACGAGCCAAATGCGGCCTCTAGCCTCCGCCAGGGATATGTTCGCCTCTCTGCTGATTGCGGTCGCCAGCAGCTCGGCAATGCCGGTGCCGGCCTCGCCAGCCCCGAAGAAGAGGATGGTCTGGTTGGACAGGGATGAGCCCAGCAGGGGTAGAGACGCCAGCAGCCCTGCCAGGGCCACTGATGCTGTTCCCTGGTGGGAGCGAGGCCATGGGGTGAGGGAGGGGAATGGAGGAAGGAGGAGCAAAGGATGGTCTGGTTGGACAGGGATGAGCCCAGCAGGGGTAGAGCTGCTGTGCCCTGGTGGGAGGGAGATTGTGGGTGGAGGGAAGGAAGAGGGGAAGGGGGAAAGAGTGGAATAGTGGGTCGATGGTGCGGGCGGGGCACGAGAGAGATGTTGCCCTGGGTTTCAAAACTAGATGCAAACCCACGAGAGAGATGTTGCCCTGGGTTTCAAAACTAGATGCAAACCCACGAGAGAGATGTTGCCCTGGGTTTCAAAACTAGATGCAAACCCACAAGAGAGATGTTGCCCTGGGTTTCAAAACTAGATGCAAACCCACGAGAGAGATGTTGCCCTGGGTTTCAAAACTAGATGCAAACCCACGAGAGAGATGTTGCCCTGGGCACCCTCTCGCACAACAAGTGCACCTGAACGTCATGGCGGAAGGAAGGCCACGTGGGAGCCGAGCCGCGGTACTGGAAGAGCAGGTTTATGAGGTGCCGCGGAAAGTGAGTGCTACAACAACAGATGCAGCCAAGCACACACACACACACACACACTCCTGGATATCGTCGTTGAACACAAGGTGGGAGCCGCGGTACTGGAAGAGCAGGTCTGTGAGGTGCCTCACGAGTGAGTGTTAACACACAGCACACACGCGACACATCCAGGGACAACAAGCCCACCTGGATATCGTCGTTGAACACGAGGTGAGAGCCGCGGTACTGGAAGAGCAGGCGGAAGGCGTTGTGGTTGGCAAAGTCCTCAAACTGAATCAGCACGTCCGACCCAAACCGCTGCTTGCAAGCCTCCATGAACTCGTCTATCAGCTCGTCGTACTCCTGATGGTGAGGGGCAGGAGAGGGGAGAGGACGAGGAGCGGAGAGGGAGAGTAAGAGGGAAGGGTTGTCAATTGAGTGAAAGCACGTCCGACCCGAAGCGCTGCTTGCACGCACGCCTCCATGAACTCGTCTATCAGCTCGTCGTACTCCTGTGGGCGAGACAGAGGGGAAGTGTATATAGAGGTGACAGTTAGAAAAAAAATCGTATACACAGATGCCTGCGACACACCGCTGCTTACACCGCTGCTTGTACTCCTGATGGTGTTATGAAGAAGAAAACAGAGGTGAGGGTACGTTTCAAAGGGAGGGGAGGAAGAGGGGAGAGAAAGGGAGGGGGGAAGGAGAGGGGGGGGGGAGGATAGAGACGCCATTAAACTGAGGAAGTTTATCTATGCAGGTGGGAACGTACCTCTCCTGTGGCACGCGGTTGCCTGAGCCCAGGATAGAAAGGGTCTTTCAGCCGATCAGAGAGGACTGCTGGGTAGGCATGACACCGAACAGGTTTATCTATCCACATGAGAGGTTACCTCTCTGTGCACGTGGGAACGTACCTCTCCTGTGGCACGCGGTTGCCTGAGCCCAGGATAGAAAGGGTCCTTGAGCAGAGCCTGGTTGTTGGTGCCCACGTCGATGGTCACAGGCAGACACTGGGATGTGGGATGGGTGGGAGGCAAGGGAGGGATGGGAGGGATGGATGCATAGCACACACAAGGAAGGTGAGACGTGAGAGGTGAGCGGTGAGCGGTGAGTGATGAGAGGAGAGGAGCAATGAAAACAGGGGCTGAGGAGAAAGACGGAGCGGAGGAGCGGAAAAGAGAGGAGAGGAGAAGAGAAGAGAGGAGAAACCTGAATCCTCCCTTTCACCCTCTTCCTTCCTGCATACCTCTGCTGGGTGAATGCCTCCGCAAGCCGTATAGAGTGTTAACTTGCCCACGGCTATTGCCATGCCCTGACGCCGGGGAGGGAGAGGGTTGGGGGAGCGAGTAGGGGGTCAGGGAAATGAGAGGACAGGGACAGGGGGAGTAGGCAGAGCTGGCTGGTCTGCCTCCGCAAGCTGTATAGAGTGTCAACTTGCCCACGGCAAGGGAAGGAGCGCAGAGGGGAAGGAGAGGTCGTAACGACAAAAAAAAAAAAAAAAAAAAAAAAAAAAAAAAAAAAAACAGAAAGTGATTTGTGAAGTTTACCGAAAGCCCTTGATATGGGCGCCCTGGGCAAACAACTGTTTCCAAGAGAAGCACTCAGCAACAACTATTTTCACAGGTGTTGACACACAGTTGCAGCTATGTATGGACACAATGGCAACTAGCGCCACGTCCAAGCACCCTCTCCCCGCCCAAGCACCCTCTCCCCATCACTGTAGCGACTATAGCACGCACTCGCCTCTCAGGTCAGTTCTTGAGCAGCTCCATCACTCGACCTCGGTCTCTCTGTGACACAAACAGCCTTTGCCACACCCACACCGCACTGCACGCCCAGACAAATACAACAGCTCACCTGCACGCCCAGGTCTTCAAGCCCCAAGCACTCTCTCCCTGTAACAACAATCGCCCGCACGCGCCTCTCGGGCCAGTTCTTAAGCAGCAGCTCCATGACTCGCCCGCGGTCCCTCTGCAACATAGAACAGCTTTTCCCACACCCGCACGCCCAGACAATCCAAGCAACGCACCTGCACGCCCAGGTCTCCAAGCCCAAGCACTCTCTCCCCATCGGTGACAACAATCGCCCGCACGCGTCTCTCAGGCCAGTTCTTGAGCAGCTCCATCACTCGCCCGCCCTCACATCACAGCTCAACCGCACTGCACTCCCAGACAATCACATCAACTCACCTGCACGCCAAGGTCCCCAAGCCCAAGCACTCTCTCCCCATCGGTGACAACAATCGCCCGCACGCGTCTCTCGGGCCTGTTCTTGAGCAGCAGCTCCATCACTCATCCATGGTCCCGCTGCGACACAAACAGCCTTTGCCACACCCACACGCCCAGGTCCCACCAACAGCTCACCTGCACTCCCAGGTCCCCAAGCCCAAGCACTCTCTCCCCATCAGTGACCACAATCGCCCGCACACGTCTTTCCGGCCAGTTCTTGAGCAGCTCCATCACCCGCCCGCGGTCCCGCTGCGACACAAACAGCCCCCGCGGCCGCCGGAACAGCAGCCCAAAGCGCTCACACGCCAGGCCCACTGTGGGGGTGTAGCTGCACGGGAAAGGGGATGGGGGAGTGTGGAGTGGGGAGTGGTGGGGTGGGGAGTGGTATAGGGAAGAATGGGGTGACGTTGCATCCCAAGCCACCCTGGCCGCCAGAATAACAGCCCAAAGCGCTCACACACACACACCAGCCCCCCATCTATTATGAGTGTGGTATGAAAGAAAAAGCATGGGCGAGCCCAATCCACACTCAGCTTTTGAGTCGACTCAAAAGCAGCCCAAAACGCTCGCACACACACCAGCCCCCCATCTATTATGAGTGTGGTATAATAGAAAGAGCATGGGCGAGCCCAATCCACACTCATTATCACCAACTTCTCTATCTCCCTCTCCCATTGCATTAACTCACACGATGGGCATGAGCTGCTCCACGTGGTCCAAACAGCACGCGGTACAAGAGCCGCCCGTTGCACTTTATTCACGCTCACCATCAGCATATGTTCCCTCTCTCTTCCCCTCCCTCCAGTACTCACACGATGGGCATGAGCTGCTCCACGTGGTCACATGGTCCACCAGCACGCGGCACAAGAGCCCTAGGAGAGCAGTCTTCACACTCATCACCACCACGCCACTACCTACAACCACACCTGCTCACAGGTCGCTCTCTCCCTCCGCCTACACTCACACGATGGGCATGAGCTGCTCAACGTGGTCACGTGGTCCACCAGCACGCGGTACAAGAGCCGCTCGTGCTCAAACTCACCATCAGCATTCTTTCCCTCTCTATCTCTTCCCCACACTTTCACTGGCTACTCTCTCCCTCCGCCTACACTCACACGATGGGCATGAGCTGCTCAACGTGGTCCACCAGCACGCGATAGAAGAGCCGCTCGTTGCGCTCCTGCAGCGCCATGAGGTGCACATAGCGCTGCAGGTCCGACTGTGCCTCTTTCAGATTCGCCAACACCCTGTCAACCTGGTGGGAGAGCCGGAATGGGAGGGATGGATAGGGGTGTTCAATGCTCCTGCAGCGCCAGCAGGTGCACGTAGCACTGCAGGTGACCTGACTGCGCTTCCTTCAGATTCGCCAGGGCTCGGTCGACCTGGACGGACGGCGAGAATGATGTAGGGAGAGAGACGGGGGTTGTTAAGGAAAGGGTGGCCGTGTTTGACGTTCCTGCAGCGCCATGAGGTGCACGTAGCGCTGCAGGTCTGACTGCGCCTCCTTCAAATTCGCCAACACGCGGTCGACCTGGTGGGAGGGAGGGAGGCAAGGAGGGAGGGAGGTCCTGCCTCAACTAAACTGCTAGCAGGCAGTGTGGCTCGTAAAGCCTGCTAGCTAGTCCCACGTGGTGATACACCTAGCTGCCAATATGTCCTCACGAAATGTCAGTCGCACCTGGTGGTCCTGGCTCATGTAGCCTGCTAGCAGTCAGTGTGGTTCATACAGCCTGCTAGCAGTCAGTGTGGTTCATACAGCCTGCTAGCAGTCAGTGTGGTTCATAGAGCCTGCTCGAAGTCAGTGTTGTTCATATGGCCTGCTAGCAGTCAGTGTTGTTCATTCGGCCTGCTAGCAGTCAGTCAAACCCACCTGATGGTCCTGGCTCATATAGCCAGCAGGCAGCAGCCCGTTGAGGTAAAGGCGGTTGCGCTCCTCCTCTGTGAAGGCCAGCCCCTTGTTGTACTTGGGGTTGCGCAGGAGATCCACCCCGCTGCAGGCAAGAGACAGGGACAGATAGGAGAGGCGGTTCACGCACTGAGTGAGTGTGGCGAAATGAACGAGGTTCCTCCTCTGTGAAGGCCAGCCCCTTGTTGTACTTGGGGTTGCGCAGGAGATCCACTCCACTGCAGCCAGGTGTCACGACAGGGACAGATGAAAGATAAGAGGTTGGTGTTGTGAGGGAGCTTATGGCATGAGCGTGGCGCAACGGACAGACTCTTCCTCTGTGAAGGCCAGCCCCTTGTTGTACTTGGGGTTGACTTTTGAGTTGACTCAAAAGTCAACGGACAGACTCTTCCTCTGTGAAGGCCAGCCCCTTGTTGTACTTGGGGTTGACTTTTGAGTTGACTCAAAAGTCAACGGACAAACTCTTCCTCTGTGAAGGCCGGCCCCTTGTTGTACTTGGGGTTGCGAAGGAGATCCACTCTGCTGCAGACAACAGGCACGGATGAATAACAAGGTTAGGAGAAAAACCAGCACATTGGACGCTTCTGAGTGGACCCTGCGGGTTGGGCAAAAGAGCCACACCATTACTATTGGTATAGCATTAGAAGATTAGATTAATCCAGGATTGAAATTAGGGATCACTGGCGCCCTAGCATGGGCGTGAGGAGACAGACGTCGATGTGAAAAGATATAATATATTATCATTCCGTGAAGCTCTCTTTCTCTTTTTGAAGGAGAAAAACCACCCCACTGAATGTGATACAGACAAACGAGGGGCCACGGACGAGGAATTAAGACGAGAGGAGACATTGACTTTTCAGATAAGAAGGCATACAACAGACGCGAAACAGGCGATTCACGTTCACAATGCCATTCACGCTTGACTATTCCGCAGACATGACCCAACCCTACGTTGCAGGCCTGAAGCGATCCTAGGCTATATCCTACAACAGTATTACTAATAACTCACTGCGGTCCCGTCGGGTGATACCAGGCTATGCTCATTGTCCGAATAGTTTGAATCGACTAATAGCCACATTTTTAGTGACCAACCTGGCGACGCTGCGGATTCATGGCGTGACGTCCACGCTATGGTCATTGTCCGAATCTTTGAAGTCGACTCCAATGTCGAAATGTCTCGGAATATATAGAGTCGAATTCAATGTCAAAATGTCACAACAGCAACTACCGACCTGGCGACACTGCGGACCCACGGCGTGACGTCCACGCTATGGTCATTGTCCGAATCCTCCTCCCCGCTGCCCCCCTGATTCCCCAGATGCCGCCATCCGCCTGGCGGGCTGGCGGAAGACTGCACCGCGGACCCTCCGCTTCCGCACACGCCTGTAGCCCTGCTGTGGAAACTCTCCGCAGCAGGCGAACCTTGCGCTAAGCCTTCCGCCAGGTAGCTCGCGGCAATGGCGGCAGGAGCGAGCTGTCGAAGTAGCTGAAGCGGAAGCGGGGAGTTCAGCGCGCTTACGGCCCTTCGGTGGCTGCTGCCTCGGCGCAGCCACCCAGCGAAAGCCATGCGCGGACGGACAAGCTTAAAGCTAGGTAAGCTTAGCCTGCACCAGCTTCAGAAACGCAGAAGGCAGAAACTGGCAAGCAAGGCAAACGCGTGAAAGGCGCTTCAGCTAGAACTGACAGGGAACATAAAAAAGCCGAAGCAATCGAATGGACAGAGTGATGAAGACCCTCCGTGTTTCTCAAGGTCCAAATATGAGTTTGTGAGATTTTGGAATTTGTCGCCTAGAAACTGGTTGTGTGGTCAGGGATGGGCAGCACAGTGGCTTTCGCGAAGCCTGGAAATTTGCGTAGTGACAAGCGGTATTTGCAAGTTACCGCCTATTTCGCAAGAAAACTTCAGCTTCGTAAGTAGGAATTTGCGGCCTCGTGTGCTTCGATGCAAAATGTGCAACTCGCCTGAGGTTGACACCATAAGTTGGAAAGGAATTTCCTAGTGGTGGTATGAGTTGTCATGCCTGATTCAGGTAGATTTGGCTGAAGAGGGAGGTACGTCTGATTGGCGGACTCCGAACTCTTTGGAGGGGTGGGGTTGGCTGAGACAGCGCTGACGCAAACTGGATATGCCATTTCGCCATTTGCTCATTCGTGGCAAACGATTGCCCCGGCTCCGATAGTCGGAGCCTTGATACAGAAAACTCTTGCATTTAAAAAAGATTTGAACAATGCAAACAGTTATAAGCACATACAAATCTAACAAAGCACACAATGGCCTGTACAAAAGGCAACATGTATACACGGAGTCATGAGGCGCTCAGTGAGCGCGAACAATAGTGCTGACATTTAGCTAACATTGATTCCCTGATGCTTGAGAACCTCGCCCACCAAAGCCCCCCTGCCAGAACCCACATACCGCCCCAGCAGCTCCCCCCTCCTGTAGAACAAGAATGTGGGCGCCTCGACAATATTCAGCTCCCGCATAAGCGTCACCGTCGACTCGTTATTGTCACCAAACACACGCGCTAAGACCGCAGTGTCCGACATGCGCTGCGCGAGCTTCACCACCGTCGGATGAATCCGCACGCACGGGCCACAGAACGTCAGCGTCGCTTTCAGCACAACCAACCGATCGTCGTTCTCGTGCCGGCGCAGCAGCTCATAGAAATCCTCGCGACCGTTCAGCTCAAGCACTTTCCCGTCCTGCTCCGTGTCCGTGCTTCCGCTGTACACGCTACCGCCCTCGGATCTATCCGCGGCGTTCATCCCGAGGTTGCTCCCGCTGCTGCTGTAATACTGCAGCTGCAGCAGCAGCCTATCCACGTCCATGCCAGGCTCCTCGTGCACCATCTGCCCGTCCCTGAAAATCGAGTACGACGGAATCTGCTTCACGCCTAGCGACTTCGCCAGGTCGCGCAGCACGTCGCTGCGATCAGCCATGAGTCGCAGAAACAGCGTGCGACCGGGTGCGACGCGCGCGATCTGCTGAAGCTTGGGGTAGTTCTTCGCGGTGTTGGGGAGCGAAGACAAGGTGGTTTCCACCACGACGAGCTGGCCGCGCGCGGATGCCGCCGCCAGGAGGGAATCGAACTCCTCCCATGCGCTCACCGTGATGACGCGGCTGGCGGCGTCCGCCTCGAACGGGCAAGTTGGCGTCCCGGCGCCCTCATCGTCGGTCTCGTAGCTGGCGGGGCCAACGAGCGTAGGATAGAGCGTGCCAGACGACGGCGCGGCTGCGGCGGCGCCGGGAGCGGGGCGGCGGGTCGGGGAAATGTAGCGACGCCTCTGCGAGTCGCTGAACTGAGAGGCGACTGTAGGCGACGGACGCGAGACACCGTGAGAGACGGCGACAGTGGAAGCCCCCGTGCGAGATTTCAGGGCCTGGGAGGAAGGCGCGAGGAAGGAGGACTGGAACGAGCAGTCGGAGACGGAAGCAAGGCGAAGAGTGTCCATGGTTGATCTGGTGGAGTAGCGCTGCAAGTCGGTTGGAAATTAAGAGCGAAATGCACAAGGGAATGCGCAGAAAGACTCGTCGCTGGAGTTGCACAAGCTGTGCAGATTTGGAACTTCAAATTCAACCCAGTGAAACCGAGTGCCGACGATGACGACCAACCGAGCCTGGCCCAAGGAAACGAGTGAATTGGTGGGTGCTGTGGCCGGAATCTGGTGGGCGTTGAAAGCTGTCGAGTGAACAGAGTGAGAGAGGGCACACTAGTTGAATGCCGAATGCGTTTTCGAAAGCTGGTGAAGAATGACGAATGCTTGGTGTGGTAAATACTCGGTGGAGCAATGCGAGGCTGGCAGTCACAGAGGAGTGTTCCGCGGGGAGCAGCTGCTGGCTCACGGTGAGCAGCCAATTCCGTTCGGATGCCTGGCCAGATACACGAACACAGCACATTCATTTCCCTCCCCTAGCTTCTTGCAAGTCCAGTACAGTACCCCACAGCTCAGTCTCAAGCGAGAAGTGAGGTGTCGCAAACTGTATGGTGAACCGCCTCGAGCTGTGGGGAGAAGTGAGGTGTGCGAGAACCTGTCAACTGCAACTGACCTTGCTTGGCTGTGGAACGAAATTCCTTTTCGCAGCAACCGCGGGACGCAAGAGCTCTCGGTTACGCAAAGCTGCAATTGGAGGCAGGAAGAGTGCACCTGGCATGATTGACGAAAGTACAGTACGATTGTTCGCCAGTGGTTCGTGAATCTCCGTTGCAACATCGCACCGCTGCATGCTTCCAGTGTGAAGCAGGGCATGTGAATTGGGGGGAAGAACTCAAAATCTGGAGAGAATTACCGCGGCACGGGGTTGGGCATCTGGAATTTTTCTTATAGCGTGCCAGTTTTGTTATACCCCATTGCGACGCGAATCCACCTTTTGTCCCGCGCTTCCCGCGGTGCCGTCATTTCGTATTGAAAAACGAAGTGTAGCTATCAGTGTACGGTCACTTCGAAAATGTTTGCCAGGATTACACATGGTCGCCTCCAATATTGTTGGAACCAGACCACAAATTTCGAGGGAGTCCAAACCTACGTGGATAGGTTTGGCTCGATCCCCCCAACTTCCCAGCCATGAGCATGTGTTCGTTTTGACATGTGTTCGCCAGCTGGTTCATCCTGGATGCCCCATGAATCGCTGACGCGGATTGATAAAAAAACCGTTCGAAACACTATACACGTCAGACTGAGCACCATCCAAGCCACTTCAGACACTGCCAATCGAACAACTCGATGTTAAAAAGCAAGGAGTTTCGATATACGCTGAGCATAATACCAGAAATTATTAATGAATAATACACATAGAACCGTTAATATAATTGGCCTTGCATAAACAGTTGAAGTATCTGTCAAAAGCAAGTTTCTTCATAGTTCCAATACATGATTTGTAGTTTGATTAATGTATTCATACTGTCAAATATGAAACAACGTTTATTGAAAACTATCAACATTCATGGTATAAGATTATCAAATGTTTAGGTTATGCAATGAAATTATTTATGTCACTAGTGTTGAAAACATGTAACTGTATAATGTCCCATTATGCACGGGGATAGCAGGAGTATGTGCTACAGATACATATTATATGTATAACATAACTATGTATAAATTATTAGGACATTAGGAGTATGTGCTACAAATATATATTATATGTATAACATAACCAAGTATAAATTATTAAGATTGCAAAGTAGACACTAATAGGTTTATACATGACAATAAAAGTGGGAAGTTATGACTTGGTTAAATATTTGTTGTACAAGATGAACAATTATCAAGCATAGCAATGAATCATTACTGTTTCTAAAGATTGAAAAAAGATGGGTAATCTCAAGGTGTATCAAAAGAGATACCTACTTCAATAGGGTATGGCAGAACTACGTAATGCATGCACAACTACACCATACATAAAAGATTGAGATAGCAAGATTGACAAACAAAAGATTGAATATAAATTCACAGGGTGTAAATTCAAACAATTGCTCTACCATTTCCAATTTCTCAGTGATGATCAGTCTTCGATTGTACCAATAGAATAAATGGATGAGAAGAATCAAAGTACTTCGAAATGGGAAATAACCTATTAAACACAATGTGAATATCTGAAATAATAAACAACTGACTTTTCATTCTATATCATATTGTGTACTTTGTCCTCCTAAACCCTGTAGTAATACAAAATATTGCAAAGAAGCGTTATCTCAGGTGATTTACAGAGAGCATTGAGTGTTTGATTTTGGGCCTTGTTTATTATTTTTTTTATTATATATAGTTACCATCTACCGATAATATTTGTTGTGAAACTATAGCTGTGTCTAGTATCGAGCAGGTAAAGATTGTTTCTTCACACTTCAGCAATGCCGTTGAACATGTTCATTTCTATAGTATGACGCGGCGCAAACTCATTGGCTGGTTAATTCTCAAATGTCAGTTTGAACTTTGAGCAGATAGTGACGAGGCGGTCTGTGATTGCTTGATCGGGTCAAGTGCGATCACAGTGCGATCTGTTTTGAGCACTACAGTTTAGCAACCTCAGATCCAATCGTCTCGCGACACGCGTTGACTGAAATGAGACACATAGAACAATTCATCTCGCGACAGTCTGATACAGTGAACCCAAGCAGACTGTCGAACCTGTTCGCGCTCGAACCTCGCCGAACCAGCATTCCACACTTTCGGGAACGCAATGACCAATCGGTGAACCCTGCGTGGCAGGGGGGTTCCACATTGAACCCTAAACTGCCCACCGACAAAATGACGACCCGGAAAAACAACCATATAAGTGTTGATATAGATCACTTTAACGCGAGCGCGGAAAACTGGTTATGAAAGGTGGATGGACCGCGAAAGAGGTTTTGTAAAAATTGCAGCGCGATATAAAACATTACCGAGTCCAAAGCCCGTGCCGCGGTAATTCTCTCCAAAATCTGGATAAAAACATGCATCTCAACGCTTTTTGCGATCTCGCCTTTGAAAACGTACCAGGGATTTGGAAGCAAGCATCTGGCTGTGTTGGAAAGCTGGAATGCCACGCTATCAGGAGATCCATGATGTTTCTGGCGAATGTTAACCCAGCATTTGGCAACTTTCAATTCGAAACGTTTATTGTGGCAAGCCGCATGCTAGAATTTGATTGGCCCATCAAATTTGGCGGGACCGAGGGAAATGTCAGTACACTCCGCGCGAGACTGAAGTTCAAACTTTTCATCTCACTTTTTAGCAACCTGTGCTAATCACGAGGATGCTTGAAGGGGTTTGTTGTCAAGGTATGGCAAACGATGCCGCATCAGACGGCGCACTCTACGCATCACTAGTCAACTCTGCGTCATTCCGGAAAAGTTCAAATCTCTCAACCCCGTTCACTTGTCATGTCGAGCTCGGATCGCGCCTCATCCGATGCTTCAACCCCCCGCGATTCCACGTCGCCAGAAAGCTCTGCTCCTCCAAACAAATCTGAGACGGGCAGTCAAAATGCAAACCAAAAACCCGGCCCTTCTTCTCCGCTTCCGCTTCCGCAACCCCCCCGCGCGCCAAACCCTTCCTCTCTTTCCGCCAAGGCCGTTCCGCTTCCCCGCCGCTCCCTCCCCCATCAGCTGCTGACGTGGCGTCGTTGCGCGAGCAGTGGAAGTACGCGCTTCGGATGTACAGTGTACAGTACGCGAACGCGTGGGGGGAGTGATTACAGCGGGGGTGTGCTTGTACGGACTGGGATGGTATATCAAAGGGGAAGACCCCTTGTTGGATTTCAGAAAGCAGGAGGAGCGAGAAGGGAATAAGAGAGGGGAGAAAGGAAGGGAAGAGGAAGGGAAGAGGAAGGGAGATGAGAGGAGGGGAGGAGGATGACGACAGAAGATGAGGAGGCCTAGAAGTCAATACTTCCTCTAAGGATAGGGAACAGTTCCATGTGCAAGTGACACTAATTGATTTGGAGGTGAAACACAGAGATAAATGTAACTGTTACCAGGATGCCAGTGGAGGAGAGGGGGGGGGAGGGGAGGCGCAGGGCGAGGGGAGAGGGGGGGAGAACTGGAAGGTCAAGGATAAAGGGCAGGGTTACTGAGCCTGTACATAGCAGGGGCTAAGGCAGCGTAGAGTGACGGTGAATGGCAGCATGGCATAGGGGCAGGAGGAGGACAGCTTTGTTCGTAGCGTAATATTGCATAGCAGCATGTCATAAGGTGGGCACTAGGCAGCAACATAATGGTACATGTTCCAAATGATGTTGTAATTGGAGGGGGCAATGAGTGAATATCAGAATGAGCAGCAGTGGGAAGCCCACAGAAGCAGAGGTGCTATGCTATGGGAGCAGCAACAAGAAGTTTCCTTCACCCCGTTTTGAACTGTGGATTTAGCCTTGTTGTTGAACTTGTGTAGGTAAATGTTGATGATACTGGTGTGGACAAGTAGGTAGATACTCGTGTTGGGGGATACTCATGTAGAGATAAGGCCTAGCCTAGCACCAGGGCTCTCGCTAGGTTTTGGGGCTGTCTGACAGTACCCTGAAAAAAAATTCCCCCGTCTTACGCTCTGACGACGAAATTTACATGGTCTGCATTATAAGCTGGAATAGTTTTTCTAGTCTGATAAATAAGACGAAAAAAAAAATCCTGTTAAAAGTCAACCTACTGTAATCCTACCAGCATGTCTACTCATAGTACCTAACAACCTAGCTGCAGTAGCAAAGGACTTAGTCAGAGTCACTAGAGCCGTACACTTCATTGCTATCAGTATCATCCTCGCTAACCACTGACTCTGGGACAGTGGCCCTTTCTTTCCTATTAAGCCACGGGTACTCAACATCCATCCTTGCTGCTTCTGCTGCTAGGGCCGCTTCTCGAGCAGCCGCTTCTGCTGCTGCCAGTGCTGCTGCTGCTGCTGCAGCTGCGGCCGATCTTTTCTTCGCACGCTTGCTCGGTCTCTCCCCGGACGCCATCAGCACATCATTCGCAGGCCTGCGCTTCTTGGAAGCATTCCACCTCCTCAGTAACTCGGGCCACTCCATGTCGTAGTTAAGGAGCGAGACGGCCATCAGCTCTCCTAGCTTCGCGTCGCACAGGTTCCCGCGAAGCCAGCTTTTGATGATGTTCTGCCGTGAAAAGCCGCGCTCACACTCGACGGTACTGAGCGGAAGCACGGCGACGGCCATCCACAGGTGGACGAGGTTCGGGTAGCATGTCGCCCAGTCGGGGGAGGACAGCATGAGCTTCAGGCCGTCCGCAAACCCAACATCCTCCTGGTGTGAGGCCATGATTGTGGAAAAGGTGATGATCTCCCTCTGCGCTCTCGCCCAGTTGATGCCTGCGGTTGGGGTGCGCATGGGGACAGTGAGACAGGAGATCATAAAGGGTTGAAACATGCAGCTGAAAGAGAATTCTGAAGACTATAGCAGCACATTCCCGGCATTTGACGCACCTGGTAGAGTATCAGGGTCTTCGGGCTTCTTCTTGAACATGTTGCGCAGAGACTGGAGCCATTGGCCTAGCCTTCGCTCACGCTTTGCCTGGTTCTTGGGATACGATCCCTACTTGAACAGCTTCGCCCCGTCGAGGTGTGAAAGATCCTTGAGGCGGTAGTCGAGCCGACCAACCAAGGTCGCGATGAACTCGCGCGCCAGCCCCAAACACGCTTGGTGGTCCACACCACTTTTCTGCCCCTTGATTTTCTCCTCGTGCAGTCGGTATCGATGGCTGACCGATGTGCCGTCGGAAGCTGTGCCAGCAACGAGGACCTCACGGAACTCCCCTGATGCGTGCTTGTCGAGGAACGGGCCCAATGCGTCTCCACCCTGGCCAAAAGTCGCGTCGTCGCAGTCGAGGTAACGTGTGCGCAGCAGTAAGGTGGTGTTGTGCACCATCGGCAGCACATGGGTTGCGTCGACCTGTAAACGGGGTTGCAACAGCAGGATGTTATTAAAAGTATAGTAAAACAACAAACAGTAAGTCGAGAGACCTGCTCACCTGGCGCCGCTGAAACTTCAAGCTGAGAAGGTTGAGCTCCTTCAGGACATCGGCAAGGAAGAACAGCAGGAAATGGAATTTGTAGCTCGTTACGACTTGATACATCTTCTTGTTTGTCTCGTGCAAGACCATCACTGCTGCAGGAAACACCTTCACCAGGCGCTGGATGGCGTCACCACGAGACAACCATCGGACGTCCTTGATGCCTTGGACTTCGAGGTGGGTCTCGCAAATGACCTCCTGAAGCTCTTGAAAGCGGGCGTGATTAACAGAAGAGCGACCAAGGTTCTCTGCTACGGCACGGACCACCTTGTCCACGATGTTGAAGTCCGGATGCGCGGTGGCAGCATCCTTGGCCGCCAAGGCCTCCCTGCAAGACAACGGAACGTAACATTAGCACAGGTATTTTTTTTTTAAAGTATGGAAAACACGAAGCAACAAACTTACCTGTGCGCGATGCAGTGGGACGACACAAGATGAGGAACCTTGACTTTGAGGCGCGCTGTGACTCCGTTGTGCTGTCCAAGCATGACAGAAGCACCATCAGTGCTCATACCGGTGAGGCGCATCAGGTCGATGCCGGTACTCTCCAGATGAGTCAAGAGAACTGTAGTGAGTGACGCGGCGTCACACTGATCCACAGTGAGCAAGGCGAAGAACTCAGTGACGGGAGCGTTGTCACGCACGGTCGGTGCTCTCGTCCAACTGGATGCCAAGGTACGGACTATCGCGGATGTGTTTCAGCTGGCGGGACTTCAGGTAGCACACCATGGTCTCGACCAGTTGTGCGAAGCCGTACCTGAGACACGCGGGGTTAAAACTCGTTAGTATTGTAAACCCACGGAACACAAAGCAGAAGTTTTGAACGGGACACTTACTCGCTGTAGTACGTCCCGTTCTCCTTCAGGGGCAGATCCGGAGTCCCCTGCTCTGCCATGAACTGAACCAAAGCCACGAATAGCACAATGGGAGCGTCAGACTTGCAAATGAATAACACGATAGCCATTAAGCGAGCAAGACGCTTGACATCATCGTCCCCAAGGTGGAAGTCAGCAATGGACTTCTGCTTTTTCTTCACGCCGTCGCGCTCCTCCTTCCTCAAGACCGCGGCCTCATGTTTCAGACTGTGGTGATGCTTGCGCATCGTCTGCTTCTGAATGTCGATGCCACCATCGCCGTTGCGCCCGTATTTGTAGTTGGGGTCCCCGAAGACCATGCAGACGCTGCAGCGCATGCAGGGGCGGCCGGCCTTGTTTTCGGAGATGAGAAGCCAAGGAAAATACCGCTGCCACTGCTGCTTGCACTTCAACTGAACCTCCTCAACCGACAGCTGCTTGCCTTTCGGATCTTCGAAGTCTTCATTCGCTGGTTCAGGCTCTGCGGGAGGCGGAAGAACTGACGGTGCTGGCTGAGTCGGACCGCCCGGACGTAAAACGGTGAGAACCCGCTACTTATACCGCTTCTTTAATGATCTGCCGGGCAAGACGGGGTTAGCATTGAGAGAGGTAGTAGCGACAGATACTGCCGGGATGCTCTTATTTGCACCGTTGTCTGGCATCCGAGAAGTTACTAGCGTAGTAGGGTAGCGGTTGATGGCACGGAATGATCGCCATTTACCGAGATTGGAGCATCGCCTTCGGGCAAAGGGACCGCAGCAGAGGTCGACGCAATCGGTGGGGCAACAGAAGCGATCTGCTTGCCCCGCGTTAGGAAGTCTAACGCCGTAAGCACGGGCTCCGCATCGCATGGTCCGCCGGCGGGGACGGCCATAGTCTAAACGCTGGGAAAACAGACGCTGGGAGGGATACGGTCCATGCTCGGCTGAGTGAGAGTTAAGACAAGCAGGAGAAACAGGCTTGTTTTCAAGCCTCACCCAGCTGCATGAAACCCCATCACCGTGCACTGCATTCAGAACCAAAAGGCGCTGCGTGTTGGGAGCGGGGGGCACTACGACCACAGTGCAATGTTGCGTGACGTTTAGGAAATGCAAATGCGCTGGCAGTGGCACAACGGGACAACGCGTTGCCGTGGTTGTGGCTGGCGTCGGCGCTGACAGCCAGCCACACGACAAACTCCTGGCAGCATATGCCGCAGTTACATGACAGCGAGGCTGCTATAAGACACGCGTATTGAATGCGCGTGCTGTTACAGAGCAGCAAATGGCTGTACCTGTGGTCCTATTCTCTGGTCCACTGGGCATATGGCCTAGTGGGTCAAGATGTCGGTTTCAGACGAAACCGAACTCGATATCTGTATATTCAGATTAAGAATTCTACACGTCTGGAAAAATCATACGAACCTAAAACGCTTATCTTACTGATCAGATGAGAACAAACACAGATTCTTAGGAAGCAGATGAATACAAAAAATCAAGTCTTAAACTCAGACCATCAGACCAAATTGGTCTGATAACGAGAGCCCTGCCTAGCACTACAAGACCTGAAATGCATTGGATAGAAGTAGGCAGCACAGCAGCAGGCACGCATGGACAGTCCGGCTGGCAGGCGCATAGTGAAATGTGATCCATCTCCCAGTGATGATATGGTATAAGCCGTGCCTAACTCACTCTGCGATCAACCATGGCTCATTTCCTGGATTTTGCCCAATCCAACAACAGTAATACCTACTAGATTTTGTGCATACATCAACCTGTGCGCTCTGATTCGCCACAGTGAAGTCAAACACACATAGGTCACATCACATGCCGTGCACATATCAGAAGACAGCGCTGCCCCATGTTTTCGCAGGGTCGGGATCTTCGAGCTTCAAGTAGTCCCTCCGACTGCCCTGCAGGTGTGAGACAGGGGAGGGGTTGCATTGCAGAGAGACGTTACAAGGGATAGAAAAGTGCCGGTTTCAGATACCGTTGTGCTTCTTACAAAACCATCCCCAAATCTTAACCCCAACCCCCGATCCCGCATTTATTCAACCCCATGGCCCATGCACGTACCCAACCCTGTCCCAAACCCCATCGCACCTGGAAGTTCACAGCCAGGAATTGAACATTCTTGCGAGGCACCTGCCCCATCCACGCGTGGAAGTGCTCATACAGCTTGCTGCTGGGGCACTTGCTTGCCTTGCTCTCACATGTACCGATATCCATCCACCAAGTCGCACCTGGAAGTTGACGGCCAGGAATTGAACGTTCTTGCGAGGCACCTGCCCCATCCACGCGTGGAAGTGCTCATACAGCTTGCTGCTGGGGCACTTGTCGCCGCGCGTGGGGGCGAATCGGAAAAAGTGCGAGGGCGTGGCGACGGAGAAGTTGTTGTCCCACACGCACAGCCCCTCGTCGGACCACGAGGAGTTGTGGCACGCCCTCGGCTGGCAGAGGGATTCCACCAGGAACTTGGGGCGGAAGCGCGTGCGGCGCAGCCGGTAGGCCAGCTTGGCACTGTTCGGAAGGTTGGGGTGAGAGAGGGGGAGAGGGGGGGAAGGGAATGGATTATGGGAGGAAGGACGGGGGAGAAAGGAGGAGGAAGTGGGAGGGCGTGGCGACGGAGAAGTTGTTGTCCCACACGCAGAGGCCCTCGTCGGACCACAAGGAGTTGTGGTACGCCCTCGGCTGGCAGAGGGACTCGACAAGGAACTTGGGGCGGAAGCGCGTGCGCCTTAGCCTGTAGGCCAGCTTGGCACTGGTAGGAAGGGGTTGGTGGTTTGGGTTGGGGAGAGATTGGGGCGGGCCAGGGAAGGGAAAGGGATACGGAAAAGGGATACGGGAAAGGGATATGGGAAAGTAGCAGGAATTTATTTTTGAGGCGCCTCAACATTAGGAGGGGTTTGGTGGGTTGGGTTGGGGAGAGATTCGGGTGAGTCGGAGAAGGGAAAGGGATACGGGAAAGTAGCAGGAAAAGGCAACGAGAGGAGGGAAAGAGTAGGGGAAACTGGAGGGCGTGGCGCCTCACCTGATGTCCTGCCTGACACCTGGCGCCTCACCTGACGTCCTGCCTGGCACCTGGCGCCTCACCTGATGTCCTGCCTGACACCTGTCGCCTCACCTGATGTCCTGCCTGACACCTGTCGCCTCACCTGACGCCAGTGACAGGCTCGGCCATGCAGGGCGGGTCGAGCTTGTCGTTGGTCCAGCACTCGCTCCACGTGTACCACCCCAGCATGGTCATCTCGCTGTACTCCTTCTTGCGCATCAGGTGCGCCGAACCTGGACGCCCCCCGAACAGCGCCATGGACCAGATCTGCTTGTACAAGGCTAGGAAGTCCTTCAGAGCATCAATGTGCCACAGGGCTGATGGGGAAGAGGATGGGGGAAAGGGAGCAGAGACGGGTGGTAAGGGTCAGTGATCGGGCCAATTCCCCTCACCAGCGCCATGGACCAGGTCTGCTTGTACAGGGCTAAGAAGTATTTCAACGCGTCGATGTGCCACAGGGCTGGTAGTACAGACAGAGGGTGGAGAGATGGAAGGGGGGATGGAAGTGGAGGAGCTGGAAGGGAAATGTGGTTGGGAAAAGTCTGGGCACACCCCGAACAGCGCCATGGACCAGATCTGCTTGTACAGGGCTAAGAAGTCTTTGAACGCGTCGATGTGTCACAGGGCTGATAGTGGGAACGAGGGAAGCGGGGAGGAGAGCGAGGGGAGGAGAGCGAGGGGATTAGGGAGAGAGGGAGGGAGATGTGATTGAGAGACGTTGTGGAGTGGAGTCACACCGTGCCAATCAGTGCCAAGAGCAGATCTGCGTGTACTGCGAGACTGCAGGTAAGGTGTACTGCAGCATACCTGCATGGTTGGAGACTGCAGTTGAGGTGTACTGCGAGGGGAGAGGGGGCGGCTGCATGGAGGGCCATCGCACGGGCAGCACCATCTTGGATGATGGATACATCCATGCGACCATCTGCGAGGGAGGTGAAGCAGGGGAACGAGATGCAAGAAAGCCATTGCAGTGGAGGCGTTGCACTCGCTCGCAGAACTGAAGCGATGACACGCCGGCATTCTTAAGGCGCCTCAACTTTTTGAGGCGCCTCACAAGGAGTTGCTGCACTTGCAAATGTGTAGTAGCGATGCCACGCCGGCATTCTTAAGGCGCCTCAAAAATCATCTATTTGAGGCGCCTCACGAGGAGTTGCTGCACTTGCAAATCTGTAGTAGCGATGCCACGCCGGCATTGCACTAGCGGCTGGCTGGCTGCATGAAGCAACACATTCGCCTATCGGCACCTTCAAAGCAAAGACAGGTGCGCATAGAGCAACCAAGCGCCACCTCCCACCTGTGGCACAGTGGCATAGAGCATCAAACCTCACATCCACAAAGAGCATACTGGGGACACATTGGCATATACTGAAGGCTGGGACATTCAAAACCGCATAAAGCGAACCTGGGAGACGTTGACATAGAGCATGACGTCTATGGAGAGGGAGAGCACTCGAGAGAAGTTGTGGCGCTCCATGAACGCAGCGAGGATCCATGGCCGCGCCACCTCTATTCGCGTTACTCCCATCTTGCGCTGGTATGATAAGGAGTGCGGGGGACGAGGGAGGAAGGAGGGGGTGGGGGGGGGGGAAGGGGGGAAATTGAGTTACAGGAGAAAGGGGGAGTTGGTTGGGTGGACGAAAAAAGGGGCAGATGAGTTGAGGTGGGACGGGAGAGGAGGGAGGGAGGAAATTGGAGTGGGGGGAAATGGTGGGCTGTGGTGCTCCATGAAGGCTGCGAGGATCCAAGGCCGCGCCACCTCTATTCGCGTCACCCCCAGTTTTTGAGAATTCTAAAAAACCAGAGAATTCTCAAAACCCAGCTGTGAGGATCTAAGGCCGCGCTACCTCTATTCGCATCACCCCCAGTTTGCGCTGGTATGGGGGAAAGGGGATTTGGGGAGGAAGTGGGGAGAGGTTTGAGGAGGGGTGGGTCGGAGAGGTGCACAGAACCCTATTACAAACCACAAACTCTTGCAGCCATCAATCAACTCACAGCGAGCCAGGCGCACGCGTCGTTATACTCGTTGCGCCCCTCAATGGTCACCCCCATGAGTCCCCCGCAGTAGCCACCCACACGAGTCATCACCGCAATGATTCGCTTCTAAAGGCCAGCAACTCACAGCGAGCCAGGCGCACATGTCGTCATACTCGTTGTGTCCCTCAATGGTCACTCCCACGAGAAACCCCAAAGATCCACCCTTAGAAAGCCAGCAACTCACAGCCAGCCAGGCGCACGTGTCGTTGTACTCGTTGCGCCCCTCAATGGTCACTCCCAGTGCTGACAGGTGCTTCAGGTTCGGATTGGGCCCCACCACGTACACCAGGTCGTTCAGACTCCGCGCCTGGGGGGGTGAAAAGCGAAGTGAGGGGGAGGAGCAGGCATGGAGAACAGGCAGGAAGGTGAGGAAAGGCAGGGGAGGGAAGCAGGTGCTTGAGGTTGGGGTTGGGCCCCACCACGTACACCAGGTCGTACTCCGCGCCTGGGAAGGGGAAGTGGGGCCGGGGAAGGGGAGCAGGAGGGGAAGGTGAGCAGAGGATGAGGAGGAAGACCGGTGCTATAGGTTGGGATTGGGCCCCACCATGTATACGAGATCGTTCAGGCTTCGTGCCTGAGAGGGGGAGGGGGGAGTGGGGAGTGGAAAATAGAAAATGAGAACAGGAAGGTGTGGCTTGAGGGTGAATGGAGTGACCTCCTGGACCTCCTTGGGTCGCCAATCCATTCACACTCAAGCCACACCTTCACCTCACACCCTCTCCTCATTCACTCTCCAGCCACCCCTGCACCCCCTTGGCCCGCCCTCCATTCACATTCCAGCCACCCTTTCACTCGCTCGCCCTCTTTCCACCTCCCATACCTGTTCAATCACAACAAGAGCCAGGTGGTGAGGCTCGTTGGGCACGTTGCTGGTGACACAAACGATGGGGATGGCCTCTCATGGTCCTCCTTGGCCCGCCACTCCTTGAATCAAACTTCAGCGATCCGTGCATCCCTCACTCCCTTTCCCTCCCTCCAGCTTTCTCGTACCTGTTCAATGACCACAAGAGCCGGGTGGTGAGGCTCGTTAGGCACGTGACTGGTGACAAACACGATGGGGATGGCCTCTTTCACCTCCTCGGCCCGCCACTCCTTGAGCACGTCTGCTGATGACGACACCAGTTGCTGCTGTTGCTGCTGCTGCTGCATGGGCAGCTGTTTGTCTGCAAGGGTGGCGGATAGCAGTGGGAGAGGGAGAGGAGCATTCGCAAATTACTTAGCAAATAAGATTCTGCATCTGGTGGTGATGTTGATGTTAAGGACACCAGCTGCTACTGCTATTGATGAAGAGTTTTTGCGACGATATGAGTACCTGGAGCAGCGAGAATGAGGCACTTCTTATCAGGAGTGCGTCGTTTCCAGAGGGAAGAGATACCATTCGCTGCTGATAACACCACCCCCTCTACTACGCCCTGCACCGTCCTTGGCTTGGGTGGCACGGGCTCGTGAAACGTCCGGCGAATCTCGTCCCGTTTGGATTCGCGGTAAAACAGCGGCCGCCCTGCACACCACCACCCGTACGCCCCCCAATTTCCACCAATCCACCCCACCCCTTCCCACTCCTTCCCACCCCATCTCGCCCCACTCCCTTCCACTCCACCCCTCCCCACTGCTTCCCACCCCTTCCCAACCCAACCCCCTTCCTCTTCCCCCATGCACTCCAGGCAACATGCATGCACCATACCACATAGACATACCATGCCATGCCAGGCAATAAGCATCATTAGTTCATTGGATAATGGTGCACGTTGGCTTGGAGAAGAAATGGGAAGAGAGAGATTGGAAGGAGGTGACGGGAGACAGAAAAGAGAAGAAGAACGGGCTTGGCTTGGCATGCCCATTATGCCTACCTACCTGCCTACATACCTGAATGTACAGTAGTGTAGTGTGACACGTTACTTACGGGATTCGAAACCTTCATTGTGCCACAGACCTTCCGTTCTTGTCCATTCAAGCCTTTTGGAGGCATTGTGTGGGAAAGGGTATGAAAAAAGACACGAACCGTTGTAGGCACTCCAGAAGGGAAACGGCCGAAATCCCTAACACAGGCCGTGCCATGTCATTCTATTCATTAACCACGTCACACCACACCATGCCACACAATACAAACCACTCCATATACTCAGGCATACTTTCCCCATCCGCTTGCCCTATCACCCAGCCCTTTCCCCCAAACCCCTCCCCAACCCCTTGCCCGCCTGTTGCCTGGTACACCCAACCATAGCGTGTGGGCCAAAAAATGTTTATGGGGGACAAAACCGAGCTGACAAGGGCTGTAAAAGTACAAAAAAAAGGAGCAAAAAACAACCGAACGAACAAGCAGATTTACCCGGCCGAGGCGTCCATCCACCGTCTCACGTTTCCCTTTGTCCGGACAGCCCCAGTCAGACGTGCGTGCTTGCTGTACTCACCTCCTCCGCCTCCGCTTAATGTGCCGTCCGAATGAATAGTTCTTAAGCGACTCAAGAGTGAGTTCGTTAACAGCCATTCTGTCCCCAAGATGGGAGCTGCTAACCCAAGTCAACTTAAGAGTCATCTCTCGCTGTAACGGCTCATTTGCTGAGATTCTGTTGCACGCTCACCTAATTGGCCTGTCCCGAGGAGGTTGATGAGGACTTGAGCTCGTTTCGGGACGTTGCTGGTCTGCGAATTCGCTATTCTCCGAGCCACCTCCTCAAACGAAACGCTGCCGCACATGGCGATGACGACCACCACTAACGCGTATATCAACCGCATGAACAGAACCCGCAGGCTGAGAGATTCTCTGCGAAACAGAATTCGAAAACAGAGCCAGTCAAAAAGAAAATTCGCAATTAGAAATAGGTCCGAGGCAGTAAACCCAATGAATTACTATTGTCACGTTGATGGATGAGCCTCACCAAAAACGAACGCGGGATTGGAAGTAAGATACGATATTTCTGACCCGCAGATTTAGCAGATTAGTGGAAAACGGAAACGGTGGGAGCTTTTAAGAGCACAGGAGATTTCTCTGAACCATATATGGTCTACTACCTTGGAGGATGCTTGCTGCTCGACGCCGCTGACAACGCCTTGAGCGACCCCGATCGGCCAAATCTTAGGAATCTTAGGAATCCCCCGGGTGTTGAATGGCCGACCATGATGCTCCACTACAGATGGACCCGATACAAAAAGACGAATTCTTCGTCGAGTCGAAGAACTTCTCTACCTTCAGAAAATTGGTCTAATCTTCAACGCTTCAATAAACAGATGGCGCCGTGGCAAGTGTTGCCTGGAGTCGAGTCGGAAGTCCGCCACTACTAGTACGGAGGTATCCGTGGATCATCTAACGGGCTAACAAAGCATATTTGAGCCATAATGATACGCTGGGCATTCCAAGAGTTTTAGACGTCACATTGCAGCAATCTCGGCTGACGCATTGATCACTGTTCGGCTAACGAATTCCGAAAATTCTCTAAGAGGTTACCTACAACGGCTCGGGATCACGGATATATTTATCGTCAGCGCACAGCTGACAGCGATTCGAATAACAAGCCACTGATACCACGGATCAAATTGAGCTCCAGGCAGGGCCCACTGACACCATGTATGGCTCAGCCAGGCAATCGTATATTGCCACTAAAACAAGACACGTGTTTGTGCACCGCAGAATTTACCGCCTAAATGGAAGGTGCTGCTTAGCTGCTGTCATATGCAAAAGTAATCTGTCCATTGCGCTCTGAGGTAAGCCGAACACTCCTTGCGAGCCACCACGTCGTCAACCCAGCCCGGGTTATCAGAAGCAGAACTAGAATAGCACGCCACTAACGAGAGAGGTTCTAGAACTGAAACTGAAAAGACAGTATGGAGCTGGGTTCCAATCCAATCCAAGTAAACACGAGGTATTATGGAGTTGGTTGGTGGAGGGAGTACAGCTTCTCATTTCAAGCTAGAGTACAGCTTCTCATTTCAAGCTAGAGTACAGCTTCTCATTTCAAGCCAGAGTACAGCTTCTCATCTCATTTCAAGCTTCTGTCCAGCTGCTGTCTGGTTCAGGCTTCTCCACTCCAGTTTCCCATCTCAAAGAACTGTAGAGACCGAGCGTCACCAGCAGCTGGTGTGCGAAACACACGATTCACACCCTCGGTCGCCTGGCATGGTAACCTGCAGATGGGGCAGATGGGGCAGATGAGAACCTTTGGCCCCTGGGTTCTGTTTCAGGAGAATTGGCTGTACAGTTGAAGGTTCGTTTACTGTACTTGTGTGATGCTTTTCCGCCGGGCATCAGAATATGCTGGCTGGGCTGTTCAGGGTGTTCGCTCGCTAACAAATTATTCTCAAGGTGCCCGCAAATCCAGAAATGTAGTTCATCTGAAACTTTTGCAGAAATTTGAGGGAAGTAATCGCCCCACCTGCAAGCAAGGTTTCGCTCGAGTGCTCGTGAATTCTTCGCCAATTGCGATGTCTCACGAGGGATCCCCAAGACCGAGGTTGGTGGAGGTGGTGAGGGAGCAGAGCCAAGCCAATTCCTTCCACCCCCCTAATTGAACTGACCAGATCGGCTCGGCAATCCCAAAGCATATTCATCCAGTTTTGAGCCTTCGGAGGACTTGATTATCTTACCCAGCTCCGACTTGTGAGTGTTGGATTGAGGGCTGACCTAGAGAGGTTCTGGCCTGGCTCCTGAATGCACTTGCTCAAAATTGCTCACGCGGACGGCACATTGCCCTGGTCAGCAATCCTCGATCCCATTGTTAGCGCCGTTGGACGCTGATCGATAGTTCAAATTGCGGGTGCACGAGCTGATAGCGGGAACAGGAGCGATGGCTCCTCCTCGCAAAAAGGCCGAACCGAGAAAGGAGGAGAGCGAGAACGAGAGCGAGAGCGGGAGTGCGAGCGGCCAGGGAAGCGGGGATGAAAGCGCAAGTGAGAGGAGTGAGGGTTCCGACGAGGGGTCTGACAGGGACAGCGACGCGGAGGAATCGGGGGACGAAGGAAGTGAAACTGAAGCAGAGGAGGAGGATGGGGAGAAGAGTGACGAGGTGAGCGAGAGAGACGCGAGAACGGAGAGTGGCGTCAGCGATGCGGACGGGGATGAGGAGGAAAATAATAGGGTTTCAGATAAGACGGGAGCGAAAAGAGCGGGAGGGTTACGGGGGAAGGAGACAGATGGTCTGCTGGGAGCAAGGAGGACGAACGGAACGGAAAAGGAGAATAATCAATCGAGAAGACCTCGGCTGACGTGGCTATCGTGGATTGGCCTATGGCTGGGCTACTTGATCGCTGCGTTTATTGCCTACCACGTAATGCAGACTGCCACGTCACCCGTTCCCAGTCTCTCCCACCCCTCATCCTCCTCCTGCCTCTCCTCTTACTCCGCTGTTAATGAAACAGCAGGAGGGGAAGGGGTTCTAGCCTCACAGCCCGGGTCAGTCCAATCAGGAAACGCCACATGTCCTGCTCCGCCTCTCCCTCCTCTCGCCACGTGGCACCCAGCCGTGGCAGCAGCCGCCACTCTCGCGCTTCAGCCCTGGTCCCCTGTTGCCGCCACACTCGTCGTCCTAGGGTTCGCCCTCCTGCTTCTGCGGCAGGTGTCTGCTGTCATTAAGACATTAGTAGTCTTCAGAGAGAGGGTTAATAGGCTAGAGGCGGACGGAGCAAGCGCGGGGGCTGGAGGGGACGGGGGACTGGGAGAGGGGGAAGAGAGCGAGGGGGAGGAGGAGGAAGAGGAGGGATCGGAGGACGGTGAGAGGGAGGACTGGGAGGGGTTCGCAGGTGGTGCAGGGGGGGGAGTCGTGGCAGTTGGCGATGTCGGTTTAGCAGAGAGCCTTGCTGCGATCAGTGAGAGTGTTGGGACGAACTCGCTGTTAGCGATTTTGGTGAATGAGGTGCGGGTTCCGTTGAGAGGGGTGCTGGGGGTGCTGCAGCTGCTGTCCTCCTCGCCCCTGGACGCAATGCAGCAGGATATCTTGCATTCTGTCACCGCCACCACGCGCCACCTCATCCACGTGGCGAACAACGTCGTTGACACCTGGCGCGCGGACGGCCGGGCGGCTGCAGCAGCAGCTGCCGCCGCCGCCGCCGCCTCTGCTACAGCTGCTATAGGCGCTGGTGGAGCTGCATCCGCAGCTGCTGCTACAGCCGTTACAGCAGCAGGGGCAGCGGCTGCTAGTTCTGCTACAGCTGACAGCCTGGATGCAGGAGGGGCGTTGGGGCCTGTGGCTACAGTGCCGGTGCCGCCCAGGCTGGAGTCGGCACTGTTTGAGTTTCGTCCGCTAGTGGACGAGGTGTTGGCTCTGACAGGCGGGGAGGCGTGTGAGAAGGGAGTGGAGATAGCCGCGCTGGTCATGGACTCGGTGCCTGCAGCGGTTGTGGGCGATCCACTCCGACTCAGACAGGTACGCGCGTTGAAATGCACCAACGGGGAGTGGGTGGGGAGGAAGTTTCGCTAAAGCGCTCACATGTGGGGAGGCGTGTGAGAAGGGAGTGGAGATAGCTGCGCGCTGGTCATGGACTCGGTGCCCGCAGCTGTTGTGGGCGATCCACTACGACTCAGACAGGTGTGTGTGGTGAGCCTGAGGCTCTGACAAGTGCGTGTGAGAAGGGAGTGGAGATAGCCATGCTGGTCAAGCGAGTGGAGATAGCCGTGCTGGTCAAGCGAGTGGCGATAGCCGTGCTGGTCAAGCAAGTGGAGATAGCCGTGCTGGTCAAGCGAGTGGAGATAGCCGTGCTGGTCAAGCGAGTGGACATAGCCGCGCTGGTCAAGCGAGTGGAGATAGCCGTGCTGGTCAAGCGAGTGGACATAGCCGTGCTGGTCAAGCGAGTGGACAATGTGCCAGCAGCTGTTGTGGTGTGGGGGAAGCGAATGTGACCCATTCAGACTCAGGCCACATTCTCTTGTGCATGTGTATTGTCACTTCCTAACCCCATCATGTGTAAACACCAACCCAACCCCCCCCTCCCTCCCCCCACCCACTCCTCTTTCTCCTCTCCTCCACATGCAGTTTCTTCTCAATCTCTTCACTGTTGCTCTCCGCCTGATCAATCGGGGCCACATCTTCCTCTGTGTCTCATTGCCTCTCTCTCCCGATTTCCAAACCCCCCATTCCTCTCACTCCTCTCCTTCAAATGCAGATTCTTCTCAACCTCTTCACTGTTGCTGTCCGCCTCACCGATCGGGGCCACATCTTCCTCTGTGTGCGTGTTGCCTTCGACGCTCCCCACAAACCAGCAGCAGCAGCAGCAGCAGCAGCAACAGTGGCAGGATCAGGAGCAGCAGGAGGAGGAGCAGCAGCAGGGGAAGGGGGGGATGGAGGAGAGGAGGAGAAGGAGAGGGCAGCACGGGGCAAAACGTCTCTCATGAAGGGCGAGCACCTGACTCTGAGCGGGTTACCAGCAGTGGACGGCAGCAACAGCTGGCCTGCCGTCTGTGAGATGCTGAAGCAGCAGGAGAACCGACTAAAAAAATCACCCTCTGGTGGCGCTGCTGGTGGCGCTGCTGGGACTGCTGCTGGGACTGCTTCTGCTCCTGCGGCTGTAGCTGCTTCTGGCAGCGGCAGTGGCGGTGGTGGTTCTGCTGCTGCTGCTACTGCTGGGGGTGCATCTGGAGCCGGGGCAAGGGCAGCGGCGGACAGGAGGAGGAGGGGCATCCGGCTGGTGTTTAGTCTGGAGGACACGGGGGCGGGGCTACCGGGGGAGGTGCTGGCAGCGAGGGAGCGGCCGTTTGAGGCGGTTCACATGAAGCTGCAGCAGAAGTACGCGGGCGTGCCGCTGCTGCTCTGCTTTGCTGAGAGGTGAGTAACGCGTCTGTCTGTCCGTCTGTACATACACTGCTGCTGCTGCCGCTGCTGCTGCTGCCCCTGCCGCTGGGCTTCACCGGGAGGTGAGTGAAGCATGGGAGGGGAGGGGCATCCGGCTGGTGTTTTCTTTGGAGGACACGGGGGCGAGGCTGCCGGGGGAGGTGCTGGCAGCGAGGGAGCGGCCGTTTGAGGCGGTTCACATGAAGCTGCAGCAGAAGTACGCGGGCGTGCCGCTGCTGCTGTGCTTCGCTGAGAGGTGAGCGGTAGTCTGCCTGTCTATCTCTCTTTCTGTCTGTTTGCCTTTTTTGTATGTACACTGCCGTGCTGCTTCGGCCGTTCGAGCCGGTCCACATGAAGCCAGGACACAGTCACCCCCCCTCCCTTTCCCTCTCCCCCTCCCCCATCTCCCCCCTTCTCTCGCCCCCTCCTGTTCCCGCTCCTCCCCGCCCTCTCCATTTATCCCCTCAGGCTCGTGAACTCCATGTCAGGACAAATGTCGCTATCCACGCGCGTCAGCACCGGCACCACCGTCACCTTCGACGTCCTCCTGGACCAGCCTCCCCCAGGTGCCCCCTCCCCTGGCACTGGCGGCAGCAGCGGAGGCTCAGCTGGAGGGGTCGGAGCAGTAGCAGGAGGAGGAGGAGGAGCGGCAGCAGCGGCAGGGGGGGCAGTGCCGCGGGTGTTTCACATAGGGTACGGGGCGATAGGGGACGATCAGCACGCGGAGTGTGCGGGGCTGAGGGCGAAGCTGCGGGGGATGCGGTGTCTGGTGGTGGATGGGCGGCCGGTGAGGCAGCAGGTGACTGCCACGTACCTGGCCCGCATGGGCCTCCGAGTTGACCTCTCTGACAGCGTCCCTGCTGCTGCGCTGGCACTGCGACACTCAAGGCACCTCCCAGGTGGGTGATCCATAGACACAGGGCAGGGCAATAGGGTGCGAGCAGCATTTGGTTTGGTTTGGACCAGCATGTGAGGCAGCAGGTGACTGCCACGTACCTGGCCCGCATGGGCCTCCGAGTTGACCTCTCTGACAGCGTCCCTGCTGCTGCCCTGGCCCTGCGACACTCCAGGCACCTACCAGGTGGGTGACTGGTACTGGTAGTAGATAGATACTAGACATAGCCTGCAGGGTGATAGGTAACGAGCAGCAAGTGGGGCGATAGGGGGCGACTAGCCAGGGGCGAGAAGCTGCGAGGCATGCGGTGTCTGGTGGTGGATGGGCGGCCGGTGAGGCAGCAGGTGACTGCCACGTACCTGGCCCGCATGGGCCTCCGAGTGGATCTTTCGGACAGCGTCCCTGCTGCTGCGCTCGCCCTGCGACATTCCTGACACCTGCCAGGTGGGTGACTGGCTGGTAGACCCAGGGTGCAAGGCATTAGGGGACGGGCGGCACTTTTAGTCCAGCAAGTGGGGCGATAGAGGCGACTGGCTGAGGGCGAAGCTGTGGGGCATGCGGTGTCTGGTGGTGGATGGGCGGCCGGTGAGGCAGCAGGTGACTGCCACGTACCTGGCCCGCATGGGGCTACGAGTTGACCTCTCTGATAGCGTCCCTGCTGCTGCGCTGGCACTCAGGCACTTCCCCGGCATCTACCAGGTGGGTGACTGTGAGTCATCCCTATTGCTGCCCTGGCACTGCCATGTACCTGGCTCGCATGGGCCTTCAAGTGAATCTTGAAGCGTCCCTGCTGCTGCCCTGGCACTCAGGCACTCCCGGCATCTACCAGGTGGGTGACTGTGAATCATCCCTGTGGCTGCCCTGGCACTGCCATGTACCTGGCTCGCATGGGCCTTCAAGTGAATCTTGAAGCGTCCCTGCTGCTGCCCTGGCACTCAGGCACTCCCGGCATCTACCAGGTGGGTGACTGTGAATCATCCCTGTGGCTGCCCTGGCACTGCCATGTACCTGGCTCGCATGGGCCTTCAAGTGGATCTTTCGGACAGCGTCCCTGCTGCTGCTGCCCTGGCGCTCAGACACTCCCGGCACCTCCCAGGTGGGTGACTGACGGGTGGATTGTTTAAGCGTGAAACCTAGTTGCTGCTGCCACCTAGTCACTCAAGCACCCTTACCTGCTCACTTCACCCACTCACCATCCCTCCATGCCCCCCATGCACACACACAGGCCAGGGCCTAGTGAACAGAACGAGCCGGTGGGACATGGAGGTGGTGGATGCAGATGCGGACGGGCCAAGCAGCACTCACTCACTCACTCACACACCCTTCCTTAATCCCCATTCGTCCTCAAACGCGCAGGCCAAGGCCTGGTGAACAGGAAGAGCCGGTGGGACATGGTGGTGGTGGATGCAGACGCAGACGAATCAAAGACACTCACTCACGTATCCCTCCCCGTCCCTTCATTCCACTCGTCACAGGCCAGGGCCTGGTGAATCGCAAGAGCCGGTGGGACATGGTGGTGGTGGATGCAGATGCGGACGGGCCGGGCACGGGGATAGAGCTGGGGCGCATGGTGCAGCAACTGAAGGAGCTGAGAGAGGCGTGGGAGGCAACTCCTATTGTGCCTAAACTGCTGCTGCTCACTCAGGTAAGGGACGAGAGAGGTTAAAAAAGGATGGTGTTTTCGTAGCGCTCAAGTCGGGGACGGGCCGGGCACGGGGATAGAGCTGGGGCGCATGGTGCAGCAACTGAAGGAGCTGAGAGAGGCGTGGGAGGCCACTCCTATCGTGCCCAAGCTGCTGCTGCTCACTCAGGTAAGGGGGAGGGAGGAGGGGGGTTCAATCACTTGCTTCCAAGAAATCTGAGCTCAATGGGCCGGGCACGGGGATAGAGCTGGGGCGCATGGTGCAGCAACTCAAGGAGCTGAGAGAGGCGTGGGAGGCCACTCCTATCGTGCCCAAGCTGCTGCTGCTCACTCAGGTAAGGGGGAGGGAGGAGGGGGGTCCAATCACTTGCTTCCAAGAAATCTGAGCTCAATGGGCCGGGCACGGGGATAGAGCTGGGGCGCATGGTGCAGCAACTCAAGGAGTTGAGGGAGGCGTGGGAGGCCACTCCTATCGTGCCCAAGCTGCTGCTGCTCACTCAGGTAAGGGGGGGGGAGGGAGGGGTGTAAGGGGAAGGGGAAGGGGGGAAGGTGCGAAGGGGGAAAGGGGGAATGTGTCACCCATCGTGCCCAAGCTACTGCTGCTCACTTCTGAGTCGACTCAGTAGTCAGCTCGTTACAATGTCACGCGAAGGGGGAAAGGGGGAAAGGGGGAGTGTGTCACTTGCATCATGCCCAAGCTACTGCTGCTCACTCGGGTGCTCCCTTTTACCCATCCATCCATCCATGTGGAGCCCATTCTTCACTGTATCCATGAACTCAACCACTCACCCATTTGCCCTCATTCCCAGTAACTCATTCATCCTCGTATTTGTTTACGTATCGTCCTCCTCTCCCCTCTTCCCCGTCCCTTTCACCGCTCTGCACCGTGCTGAACCAGACGACAAACGACGACTTGGAGGCAGAGGCAGCGAGGCACGGATTTTCATGCATCATGCTCAAGCCCCTGCGAGCTGCCACCATGGCCACCGCGCTCCTGCAGGTATGGCTGGTGCTAAGGGGAAAAAGTCTGCCCGTCCCGACATTTCATGCATGAATCATTCTCAATCCGCTTAGAGCCACCACTATGGCCATGGCTCCTCCTGCAGGTATGCATATGGCACTGTCACATGGTACATGGTACATGGCACATGGTACATGGCACACGGTACATGACACATGGTACATGACACATGGTACATGGCACACGGTACATGACACATGGTACATGACACATGGTACATGGCACACGGTACATGACACATGGTACATGACACATGGTACATGGCACACGGTACATGACACATGGTACATGGCGCATGGCACACGGTACATGACACATGGTACATGACACATGGTACATGGCACACGGTACATGACACACGGTACATGACACATGGTACATGGCGCATGGTGCATGGCTGCTCCTGCATTTCCTGTCTCCCACCTACCCCTCATCCTCCATCTTTCTCCTCCTACCTACCCTCTCCCTCCTCTCTCCTACCATCTCCTCCCTCCCTCTCCCCCGTAGGCGCTCGGGCTGAACCCCCGGGAGACAACAGCGCTGGCCACCAGGCGAAGGCAGCTGCTGCTGCGGCTGTGCCTCAAGGGCAAGCGAGTCCTGGTGGTCGACCACCACTACATCACTCCCCTCATTTCGCCCCTCTCCTTTCTTCCTCCCGCCCTACAGCTGCTGCTGCAGCGGCGGTTGTGGCTGTGCCTCAAGGGCAAGCGAGTCCTGGTGGTAGACCACCACTACATCACTCCCCTCATTTCGCCCTCTTCCCTACAACCTTTCCTAATCCCCTGCCCCTCCGGCTTTTCCTTCCTGCGTTCACCTCTACTTCTTTCCCTCTCTCCTAACCTTTCACAAAGGCACTCGGGCTGAACCCACGGGAGACAACAGCACTGGCCACCAGGCGCAGGCAGCTGCTGCTGCGGCTGTGCCTCAAGGGGAAGCGGGTGTTGGTGGTAGACCACCATTACATCACGCGCAAGGCGGCTGCTGAGCTGGTTTCGCACTTTGCTGACGTGGTGGTGGCCGTTGACAGCTCAGTGGAGGCCCTCTCGCGGCTCACGCCGCTGCCACACTCCTTCCAGCTCATCCTCGTTAATATCCGACTCGCTGACATGCCTGGGTGAGTGTTGCTGACTGGTGGTGTGGGGTGGGGTGGGGTGCACTCCATCCAGTCGGCTAAAGTGGAGTGGAGTGGGTTGGGTTCGGGTGGGGTGGAGTGTGACGTCCATTCACTGAGGTATCAACGGGCCAAGCACAACAAGGCGAAACAACACGTGCACACACAAGTCCACACACGCATTCACACCTCTCCTTCACCTCCGCATTCCTCAACACTCTCACCCACCCTCCCGCTCCCACCCCTTCTCCCCCTTCCAGGTTTGAATCCACCGAGGTGGTGTGGCGTCGGGAGGCTGAGCACAACAAGGCGGCACACACACCCAGATCTCTCTTTCACCTTTACATCCATGAACCCTCCCAAACAACAAACCTTCCCTCAACCCCCGCAGCTTTGAGTTCACGGAGGAGGTGCGGCGCCGGGAGGGCGAGCACAACAGGGCAGAGGTCCAACGGTGGGTCCTAACCCGAATCATTGAACCCTCCCAAAAACCAATTCCCCCCCAATCTCCCCTCCCCCCCCCGTTCCCCCGCAGCTTTGAATTCACGGAGGAGGTGCGGCGCCGGGAGGCGGAGCACAACAAGGCGGAGGTCCAACGGTGGGGCGCCACGTCAGCGCAGAGAATCCGCGTGCCGATCCTGGGGTTGGTGTCAGACATGCACCCTGAGATGGTGGCGCGGTGGCGCGATGTGGGCATGGATGGGTTGCTCACTACTCCCATTGATGAAGCCCAGCTGCTGACAGTGGCTTCCAGGCTGTTCAAGCCATCAGAGCAGCACTAGACAGGACTCACAGAGGCACACAATTCAAGATGCTGAAAGGTGGTTGATTGACTTGGTTGATTGACAAGGTTCGCCTGCAGAGAATCCGCGTGCCGATTCTGGGGCTGGTGTCGGACATGCACCCTGAGATGGTGGCGCGGTGGCGCGATGTGGGCATGGATGGGCTCTTGACCACTCCCATTGATGAGGCCCAGCTGCTGACGGTGGCTTCTAGGCTGTTCAAGCCAGCAGAGCAGCAGCATTAAGGTCACGGCATGGTGGTGCATGCTTAGGGTGGTGGGAGGTGGGCATGGATGGGCTGATGACCTGACCACTCCCATTGAGGAAGCCCAGCTGCTGGCGGTACTAGGTTTTGCCGTCCGAGCAGCATTAACCTGCACGCATGCTTGGGTGGCGGGTGGCGTGGTGGCGGGAGGTGGGAAGGCCATAGATGGGCTGATGATTACCCCGATTGATGAGGCCCAACTGCTCACAGTGGCTTCTAGGCTGTTCAAACCATCAGAGGAGTGGGAGGGGAGTGCTTGCTTGCTTATCCTGGTTTTTGAAATTGAAAGCTTGAAGCTATTGAAGTCATCCAAACATTCATATACGGATATCTTGGGTAGGTATGCTTCATGCAACACCTGGGTAGGTATGCTTCATGCAACACCTGGGTAGGTACCGTGAGCTCCCGCCTAGAAGACCCGGGGGTCTTATCCTAAATGTGCTAAAACTGGCTTGTGGGGTCTTATGTGATGGCATGAAGTGGTTAAGACCCCTGGACATCTATAAGTCACACAGACTTCGAATTTAGGGTAGTGTACAGGGAATTCTGAAATTTTACACCTTCGAATTCGAGTTTGCCTGTAAGCGGGAAACTGCTGTTGCCACTTTCGTGCACCACGACCCATGCCACGCGTCACGCATTCACGCACGACGGCGGCAAATCCGGCCAGTGCAGGCGCCGCGCCACTCCTCTTGATTGGTGTCGTGGCCACACATCCATCACCTCATCAGATTCGGTGCATCTGGTGGGGTGATGGGTTCGAGAAGATTCCACCGTGCACTGCTGGATAGCATGCGCCACGGGGAACGTGAGCTCACCCCTTTCACGTCCCTCTCCTCCCCGGCTTCTGAGGGGGGTAGTCCGAGTCGATGAGGCTCATTTTCGTTTTTTTTCCTAGCTTCAAAACCTCCCCCCGTTTCTCTCAGCCATCATGCTCCCTGCCAGTAGCTTAGAGTGCTCCGTCCCCTACACGCGACGTCATGTCGGCCCTCGACATGCTCATGAGGATGCGGGCTGTTAGTGCAGCCCGCGGTCTTGCTGCCATGGTGAACGCACCCCCCGCTCCACCAGCCCCGCCGGCTCCTCCGGCACCGCCTTCTCCGCCTGCTCCTCCCGCACCTCCTGCTCCTCCTACGCCTCCCGTGCCCCCTTTCCCTTACCCCTTCAAACCTGTGGACGTCGAAGAGGAGGTTGTTGGGCAGCAGGAGCCTGACGCGACTTCAACCGATGACGAGGGGAGTGACGGTGCCGAAACGACCGGTGATAACCATCCCTTTCCTCTCCCCCAGTTCCCCAATGATGTGTTGCGCGATGTCGACCCTGCCGCTGTCACGCGTGATGCCGTAACCCCGAATACCCGCAACAGGATTAACCAACACAAGCGACATGCTCGCACCATGGCGGAGAAGACTGGTTGGCTTGTGAAGATGAAGGAGGACATCCTCACCGTGCGCGAAACTGCACGGCTGGCTGGCGTTCAACCGGTTAGCATCCGCCGCTGGATGAAGGCGGCTGATGAGATGGCAGCAGCGGCTGGCAGTCGTTTGCGGCTTGCTGGTGGCGGACGGCATGCCCGCTACCCTGACATGGAACTGTCCGTGTACAAACAGTTCCTCGCCCACAGGTCACGGGGACTGGCGGTCCCGATTAAGCTGCTGCAGACGTGGAGCCGGACTTCGATGAGGAACCGCCACCCTGAGGTCGACTGGCGCGCCTCTCCTCGATGGACCGCGCGATTTCGCAAGCGCTGGGGCCTCACCGTAAGGGTAAAAACCAAGATCGGGCAGCGTCTGACGAAAGGTGAGTTCAGTTGATACGATTTGATTCCTCACCGTAGTTGTTTTGTCACTGAATATCTAACTCCCACGGTTTGTTTCTGTTTCTTTGTTAAACTGCAGATTGCAAAGAGAAGTGCGAGAGTTTCTGGAAGTTTTGCATGAGGCAACTGGTGCGCGATGGCATCGATCCGTGGAATGTCGTCAACGCTGACCAGACGCCGGTGTTCCTCGAGATGCCGCACGAGAGGACGTTGGCGCACCGTGGCGAGCGCGCGGTTCACATCCGGAGCGCCGGCTATGAGAAACAGCGTATGACCGTCATGCTGGCGGTCACAGGGACGGGGGTGAAGCTTCCGCCGATGGTCATATTCAAGCGGAAGACCGTCCCCAACATCAGGGTCCCGCCAGGTGAGTTGCTGCTTCTGTCTTTGCCCCCCCGCACCGTTTTAACGCTTTCCGTTTCGGTGGATGCACGTTACCTGTTTTGACGGTTTCCGCTTGCTGTGTGCAGGCATGCTGGTCCGAGCGCAAGAACGTGGCTGGATGGATGCCAGCCTCGTCCTGGATTGGGTGCAGAATGTTCTGGTACCTCACACGCGCCCGCGCCCAGGCATCAACCGCAGCAGGACGATGCTCGTCCTAGACTCGTACCGTGGGCATCTGACGGACTCGGTACGGGGGACGCTCCGCTGGCATCGCATCACGCCAGCGATCATCCCTGGAGGCTGCACACCTCTTCTGCAGCCGCTGGACGTGAGCATTAACCGGTCGTTCAAGGCTGGTGTCCGACAAATGTACAACGACTGGTTTGCCGAGTACGGCATCAACACCCTCACCCCCGCCGGTAAGCCCTTAACTCGTTGTATGCGCCCCTCTACCGCCACCTCCCTTTCAGCTATCTAACGCATTTGTCCCTTTTCCCGCTGCAGGTAACCTCAGGAAGCCGCCGGCGGAGTTGGTGCTCCTGTGGATTGCCACGTCATGGGCCGCCGTCCCTGAGGACCTCATCGTCCGCTCGTTCAAGACGTGCGGAATCACAAACACCCCCGATGGGCGCGAGGATCACTTGATCCTCGCGCACATGCGTGATGCCGCTCAGGTGGAGGTGCACGACGACGTGCACGCGGCGGGGGAGGTTGAGGAGTGGATCAACCCCATGTATGCCACAGCCCAGGAGGAGGAGGAGGAGGAGGAGGTGGATGCGGTGGATGAGGAGGCACCAGTGGAGGAGGAGGAAGCAATGGAGGAGGAGGACGGCGAGGACAGTGAGGAGGAGTAGCCCGCTGCAGCAGGAGGTCCTCTAGTGGTTGTAGATGCCCGCGGACGGGTGTTTGTTGGTAGTGCAGTAGCATCTAACAAGTAGCCTTTGTGTAGGAGTTAAACCTAACATGGCTGTGTAGACTTCTGGCTAAAAATAATGATAAAAAGCTATATAAAAACATGAATCGGGGAAGCAGGGGGGTCTTATAATGAATTGTGTCAAAAGGCGGGTCCTCACCAGGAATAACATAATAAAAGACCCCTGGTCCGGATAGAAGACCCACGGGGCATTTATGCGGGGGGGTCTTGTAACCGGGAGCTCACGGTATGCTTCATGCAACACCTGGGTAGGCATGCTTCATGCAACACCTGGGTAGGCATGCTTCATGCAACACCGGTAGACGGACCCTCCTTTTTCTCCAAGGTGTAACAATCAAGCTGACAACGCGTATTTTGTAGGATTATGTGCAAACAAGCTGAACTGGTTTCCATTTGTACAAGAAATGTTGCTACTAGCTTGCATAAGGAGCTGCATTGTAGGCAGGGTAACAAGCAGCTAGCTAGCCAACCGAACCAGTAGGGGAAGCAGGTTTGAGAAATGAAGAGATGGTAGATCCAGGCATTAAGGCAACTACCATCAAGCTAGGAAAATCTTACAAGGATGAGGGGAGGTGGCCTATGCCGGAACCATGAAGGCAATGGTGGAGTGGAGAATGCATTGCATATGGTATGTAGCATAACCCCACAGCATCAAAATTGAAAGGGACAGGGGTTGGGTTGGGTGGGTGGGTGGCGCTAGTTGTGCAGCCTTATTTATCATTAACAATGGCTGCTCCATGGAGAGAGGGGTGCGAAGGTTACGGTGGCTATGCTGCTGCTTCAAGGTAGGGCGGTGTGGTGGGTGGGGATGATGGCATCGAGGAGATGGCAGTGATGGCGGTCCAGGTGGGCAATGATGGCAGTCCAGGTGGGCAATGATGGCATTCCAGGTGGGCAATGATGGCAATCCAGGTGGGCAGTGATGGCGGTCCAGGTGGGCAGTGATGGCGGTCAAGGTGGGCAGTGATGGCGGTCAAGGTGGGCAGTGATGGGGGTCCATGTGGCCGGAGGTGGCGGTCCAGGTGGGCGGCGCGGTCAGGTGGGCGGCGGTGGTGATACATGTGAGCGGCGATGTTCATGGAAAGGCTTGAACTACCTTGGAGAGACGTGGAGGGGCATGAAGTGGCAGCACTAAGGCAGTGGCATGACTAAGGCAGTGGCGTCACTAAGGCAGTGGCGTCACTAAGGCAGAGGCTCCTGCACGTTCCGAAGGCGGTTGAGGTGCAGATACACGTCAGTGCCATAGCCCTCCATGGACACCACCTGCAGGTCGCCTCCAAAGTAGCGCGCATACAGCCGACTGATGGGCAGCCCGTACCCATACCCCGCCCTGCTCCACATATTAACGATGGGTACAATACAAGGGGCGCACAAGGGGGCAACCGTAATGAGTTCAAGTGGATTGAGGAAGAGTTTCAAACAGCGGTGGCAAGTGGTGGCAAGGGGTGGCGAGGAATGGCAAGGGTTGGCAAAGGGTGGTAAGAGGTGACAAGGAGAGGCAAGGGGTGGAAAGGGGTGGCAAGGGGTGGCGTACATGACGGTGGGCATCTCGTGCAGCTGGTTGGCAGCAGCGATGGGCGAGTGGGCCGTGGTGTAAAGGTATGTCCAGATCTTTGGTAGCCCACTGCGCGGAATTCCCCCACCCTCATCCGAGATCTGCAAGATGGGGAGGGGTGGCAAGTGGTGTCAAGGGGTGGTAAGGGGCGAGTGGGCCGTGGTGTAGAGGTACGTCCAGATCTTGGGCAGGCAACTGCGTGGGATGCCCCCACCCTCAGCCGAGATCTGTACTGGTAGGAAGAGGAAGAGAGAGGGGAGGGGAGTGGAGGGGTTATGGTACGCACAATTAACATTCACAAACCCACACCTCCACCACCACCAACACACGCACATCAAACCTCACATTCTCCACCCACATCAGTTATGCCATCCTCCACGCACCTTGATGGTGACATCCTCCATGCCATCAGCCACAATCAGGCGGATGGGCGGCGGGTCATGGTCACAATGCACCTTAATCCTCTCTCCCCCTTCCACCTTGGTACTGCAAACCCTCCACGCGCCTTGGTACTACCACTTATTCAAGGAAACACGCACCTTGATGGTGACATCCTCCATGCCATCAGCCACAATCAGGCGGATGGGCGGCGGGTCATGGTCAGCATCAGCGAACCTCTCCTGCACGGCGCGCAGCGAGTTCTTCACCAGCTCAAACAGCATCTGGTGCAGATGGGCTGGCACGTACCTGCAATGCAAAGGGGTGCGGATGGGTGGGGTGGGAGGAAATGGGATGGGGGATTGAGAGCATGAACTCCTGCATGGCACGCAGCGAGTTCTTCACCAGCTCAAACAGCATCTGGTGCAGATGGGCCGGCACGTACCTGTGGAGTGACAGGGAGAGAGGTGGCAGGGAGATTGGTGGGAATTGGTAACAGTTGGATATGTGATATCTATGGCCACGAGCTGAAACAGCGCCTGGCGCAGATGGGCCGTCACGTAACATCACCGCACGGGCAAGGCACTTACAAGCAGAGTAACGGATGCGAATCTGAGGTGAGGGTGGCCATACATGTGCACGTCGGGGGCAGAGCCGTACGTACAGCACGGCACGGCATGACACGGCATGCCATGGCATGTTACAGCACGGCACAGCACGGCACAGCAGGGCAAGGGGACTGCAGAGTAACTTACGCGAATCCGAGGTCAGGGTCGCCATAGATGTGCACGTCGGGTGCAGAGCCGTATGTGCGCATGCATGCTGGCCGTGGGCATGAGTGAGTGAGGGTTGACAGGTGTGCGCACGTGTGCACGTGTGCAGGTGGATATGTGTGCACGTGTGCATGTGCAAGTACGTACGCGAATCTGAGGTCAGGGTCGCCATAGATGTGCACGTCAGGGGCAGAGCCGTATGTGCGCATGCATGCTGACCGCGCATCGTCCACTGCGTTCCGTGCCACCTCCACTGGCGACACCTTGGTGCAGATCAGACTGGGGGGGAAAGCAAAGGGGAGAAGTGGGGGGAGGAGGGTAAGGAGGAACGGCTAGGGCTTCAATGAGAGAAAAAGGGAGATGGTGTGTGGGAAAGGGGGAAGAGCAGGGATATATACCTTGGTGCTGATCAGTCTGGGACGCGAAAGGTTGGGCAAAATGGGGGATGTGGGGGAAATGGGTGTGGGGACGGTGGGGTGGTGGTGGTTGTGGGAGAGGAGACGAGGGTTGAGGGGAAGAGGGGGCGAGGGGCTCTGATACTGCATGCCACTACACTGCTGATAGCCCGGGACAGGGACGAGAAAGTATGCAGGAGGAAGAAGAACCCGGAAAAAATATCATAGGGCGGCATACCCTATATAGTGAGGCGGCGGCGACGGTTTATGAAGCGCGACGTGTTGGCCAATGAGCATACGAATGCCTATCCGCGACATGTAGAAGCGATCCTGAGCACACACGGCACAGATGGGCAGATTGATGAAAGGCACAAGCAGGTTAGGAAGCACAAGCAGGTTAGGAAGCACCAGACAGATTTGCACCGTGCCAGTGGATCAACTGACAGCAAACATCACAGGACAATGGGAAAGCCACAGAAAAAGATGCTATGACAAGGACAAATAGCAGCTGCAGCAGCAACAGAGCTCCATCACCATCACGAGCAGCAGCGGCAGCAGCAGCAGCAGCAGCAGCGGCGGCTGCAGCAGCAGGCGACTGACTGACCAGGAACTGGTGGATTTCGGGCATGCTGTCGAGCCCCTGCCTCGTGCTGCCCGCCACCATGTCCCTCTTCAGCTCGCTCACTCCCATCGCCACCGTCGGCATCACGTTGTTGTGCCGCATCCGCACCTGGTCAACGCAAGTCAATGGAAGTCTATGAGAATCAAGCACAGAAGGTAATGCAAGTCAACGGCGCTACATACAATGTTCACCTCTGCTATCCATGCTCTGCTAACCCGTGCCCTGCAACCACCACCTGCTCGTCTGCTTGATCATCCCAAGGTACCCCTCGCCTAGTCCTCCCCTGCTCCAGCAGCTCCGCCTCCCTCTCATCCTCGCACGCTGCCTGTCGTGCTCGTGTGCAATATATCAACAGCTCGACGGCGGCTTTTTTCGCTCACCTGATCTAGGAGCTCTGTGAAGCGCATCTCTTCTCTGGCGTTCTCAATGGCCGGAAACTGGGAGATGTCCTTGAACGAGTCAACGTACCAGTCTCGCACCTGGAAGGGCGAGAGCGGGCGACGGAAATTACCAAGGCAAAGGGTGAACAGGGAGCGAGGGAAGATGACAAACAGCGCCATGGAGTGAGAAAGGGAACAAGTGGATTTTATTTAACGAGTTCACGAAGAAAAAAGCAGCGTTTACAAGCCGTCTCGACACTTCCTCCAACACGTCCAGGACGCATTTGCGGAACCCCATACCTTCAGAATGGGAGCTTTATCCGACAAGCCGTAGGGAAGATTTTCGAGTTCCGTGACGCGATGAGCCAGTCGAACGGGAAGCTCGTGGTGAAGGAACTGAGCGGCTGTGATCAGATTCCGCTCCGTGGGATATGAGCCGTGCGCCATCATGTATTTCAGGCTGACTCCTGTTTGCTTTTTTGACGCGCATTTGTGTATCTGCAAGCATCGCATGCACGAATAGTAAGAATTTGCAAAAAATGAACGTTGTAGCACAAACAAGGAGAAAAAAAGTACAACGAAACAAAACGAGAGGGAGAATGTGAAGACGAATACGAGGCAACATCGTGAAGAAATGACAGTACAAAGATTGTTCCAACAAGAGGGTCAAGGACATACATCGGCTAAAACACTGGAGCACAGCGTGTGCGACAGCTTTCTAACAGGTGACTTGGCTGCTGCTGTCGTCATCACGACGTCTCTGAGGATACCAATCTGTTGTCAAGACCAGCCTCCAAACACTCGAGGGAAGCTTGCACCGAGAAACCACTGAGACACCAACTTCGAAAAACGAATTCTCTACAACCGGAAAATCAAATCCGCTAGTTTATCCTTGAACACTGCTACCAAATGCTAGGACATGTGCCTAACTGATGATGTTGGTCTAGTATCCAACTCATGCTAGTCAACTGTAACTCCGTGCACCTAAATCGCTGGTACTGACGGGAAATTGCCAGACGGGAAACTCCAGTGCAGTTCACTTCACTCAGGCTTGTCAGTTGCTGATCAAAAGCACACACTCGTAGGGAAACGAGCATCCATTTGCCCTGGAAGTCGACTACACGAGACTTTTACACAGCGAGCTAGCAGAGCTTGCGAATTTCGGGTGTCTGGAGCAGAAAAGAGATTTCAGCAAGGATGAAGATCATTCTCATGGTAAAGAACGGTTCATTTCGGTTCACTTAGGTATCAGTGGAAATGGACCACAGGGAGTTCTGTGAAGCAACGAGTGCCAGGAACTTGGTCGGGCCACCTCGTCGCGCCGAGCCTAAATCAAAGCGAGAGGCGCTGCCAGCCTTTCAACCGCAAATGTTCATCGCATGTGCCTGAGGGCCCAAAATGCTCCGTCTGCGAAAGGGCAGATTATTGGACCGCCCAAAGAGCACTGGCCGCCAGCCGCTCATGTCCCGCAGTTCCGTAAAATGGACGCTGCATTCTGACCGTCCGAATCTAGCCCGAAAGGGAGGACGAATATTGGGTCAAATTCTCAAGTTTCCCTTGTTCACCGTAAGCTACCCCCAGTTGCACTAGTACACTTTGTGAGTGCGTTCCTGGATTCTTTCGGTGTGACTTGAAGGTGCCACGTCACGAGGTGAGTTTCACGCGAATCGGAGAAAGGAGGGCCCCGAGTTTTCTTCAGAAGAATGTTTATGGATGATGTGTGGTGGTCCCCGCACCAAGAGATTTGCCCCCTAGTCACATGGCTCTTACGCTGCGCTGGACGAAGTGCTTTCTGCGCCTATTGTATTCTCGCAATCCCCTGCGAACCACACAAGCACCAAGGTGGATAGGCCCCTGACACGACAGATCCAGCATACGTCACGTCAGACACAACACAAAGCAGCGCAATCAGAGCAAAAATGCTCTCGTTTTTGTAGCAGGGGCAAGTCATCACAAAGGTCCATAAAAAGGGGGGAAGTTCCCCCAAGCAAATATCACAAGCATTCACAATTCCTAACACCGTTTCTAGTAGGCTGGGAGGAAGATCACAAAGTTATTATCTAAAAAGCACCTTACTTTCCATACATCACCCTCGGAGCTTCACAGGTCGGCTGGTTGTCACAAGCAAAATGCAATGCCATTCTTTCTCAACGGCACCGTTGAGTAAGACTTACAACGAAAGAAATGTCACGTGAATAATAACATTGGCCATAACTTAGCACCATGTCGGATGACACACATACCCCCCAACAGGCTACCTAAAACCAACATAAGGGCCGCCACTATCCCCGCTCGTACTGGTACCGTGACCACCATACTCATCATAAACATAACTGTTATCACTACCGTTGTCCTCCGGCTCCACAGGAAACAAATCCTCCTCCACCTCATACTGAACTACCTTTTTCTTACCACCGCGTTTCCCACCAATTCCAGCTCCAGAGCTGGCATCCCGCATCCCTACACTATCACTTACGATCCGGCCAGCTCCAGCACTTCCCACCCCCACAGCTGCAGGTGAAGCAGCAAAGGAGCTTACGTTCCTCCCACTTGCACTGCGCCTGGTGCTCCTGCCTCCTGCTTTTCCAGGGTATATACCCTCCCCGCCCACAGCCGCCCCGTGCCATCTTTCTGCCTGCTCGTTATACCCCGCGCTCATGCTGTCCTTAAATCCCGTGCTTTCACTGTACCCCGTGCTCATACTGTCAGTAAATCCCATGCTCATGCTGTCCTTAAAGCCCGAGCTCATGCTATCATAACAGCCAGGACTTCCCCCTTCGCCATACCCCATGCTCATGCTGTCCTTAAAACCCGCACCTGCACTGCTGTGAAAGCCCATGCTTGCACTATCCTTAAAGCCTGTGCTCATGCTTTCCCTCAGCCCGCTGCTCATGCCAGCCCTAGCCCCTGGCCCCAGGCAGTCCCCCAATGAACTCTGTCCCCTGCTTGCCCTTCTCTTGGTCGCCTTGGGCTTGAACCGCGAGACAGAGGAGGGCGGGGAGGAGCAGGGAGCAGAGGCAATGGAATTGGAGGGGGAGAGCATGGCTGCATGGAAAGCCTCGGGTGGTTGGCTGTGCGCCCGAGACAGAGACCCTTGGGTGCTACAGCTTGCAGCAGCAGCAGCAGCAGCAGCAGCAGCAGCAGCAGCAGCAGCAGCAGCAGCCACACTGGCAGCAGCACCAGCACCAGCAGCGGCAGCCGCGACGCCAGCAGCAGCAGCAAGGGAGCCCGCAACAGAGGCACGGCGCTTCTGCTTGTCTCTTATCAACCCGGCTGTTCCTCCCTTGTAATCCTGAACCCCTCCTGCTGGAAAACCCCCTGCGGCTGTCGGAATGAACTGCCCTCTCTCGTTCTCCCTCTCCTCTCCCTCCTCCTCGTCCTCCTCCTCGTCTCTTGAACCGTACAAGTCCTCTTCGTCACCCTCTACCTCCGCCAAAACTCCCTCCTGCTCCCCCCCATGTGCCCCAATGGCATCATCACTCGCAGCCGGACCATATAAATCATCTACCACCTCCTCCCCCATATCACCATACATATCCTCATCCACTGCCATACCCCCTCCTCCTTCTCCTCCCCCCACTGCTCCCCCCTCCATCCTCTCCTCCTCCCAAGCCCGAATCTCATTCTCATTCGGACCCATCTTCTCTACTGATTTTCCTGCACTGCGCTTTGGCTTCTTCTTCCTCCCCATGCTTCTGGAACCTTCCTCCACTGTACCCATTGCACCCATTGTACCCACTGTACCCATGCCACCTGAGACACCCTCCCTTGGACCCAGGACAGATTTCCTCATTATAGTCTGCTCCGCTACAAGCCTCGACGAGCGGCCGTCTACTGTATATGCCCGCTGCACTGTCACAGGTGTGCCCTCCTCAGGATGCGCGTGCAGCTGCGAGTGCAGCTTGGCATTTCGCCCATCTGCTGTGAAGGATCTCTGAATCCCCATAGCTTCTTCACCCTCCAAACCGCCACCACTGTAACCCTCTTCGTAACCATCATCTTGGTAACCAGCATCATCGTAACGACCAGCATTGTAACCGGCGTCGTAACCACCGTCATTGTAACCAGCATCTTCGTAACCAGCATGATACGCGTCAACGTAACCGCCACCGTAACCAGTTCTACCATAACCACCATCATACCCAACCCCATACGCACCATCGTCTTGGTAACAAGCCTCATCCGCCCCTTCAGGAACCATGTGCCTGTTGTCCCCGCACATCTCTCCACCTTGCCCCCCCACCTTCATCCCTTTCTTGGGAGATCCACCTACTCCCACCCTTCCAATCCCACCTCCCACACCACCTCCTCTTCCCCCACCACTTGCCATCCCACCACCCGCTCCCACCACTCCTCCTGCCATACCACCCCCTACCGGCACACCTCCTCCCCCCGTCGTTCCCCAGGAAAAGTCCACACTTCCCTGCACCACACTTCCCTGCACCACACCCTGAACCAGGCTCAAAGAGGTCTCAAAACTAGGCGCACCCCCTCCCGACACACCCGCTCCCACCATCGTTCCCCGGGTAAAGTCCACACTTCCCTGCACCATACTGGCTGCCACACCAGACCCGGCTCCCCTGCCCCCGCCTGCTGCACCGCTCTGCACCATTTTGAACTGCAGCAGCTCCTGCAGCCTCCTGGGCGCATCTGAGGAGGTTTTCTGCAGCCTGGAGTGAGAGGCGGGCATGGGGAGTGGAGATCCCAAGGTAGACGCTTGAACCCCAAACCCTGTGCCCCCTGCTGCTGCTGCTCCTGCTGCTGACACACCTGCTGGTCCTGCCATGCCTGCTCCTGCTGCCATGCCTGCTGCTCCTAGCGGTGAAAGACATGCCGGAGGTGCAGCTGATCCTGCTCTTGATGCAGGGGAAGGCATATTGGCATGCCCTCCCCTCAGCATGTCTGCATGGCTTGAGGATCTCTGCCGCAAAATCTGCTGGTTCCCACCCCCCATGCCACCACCGCCCATGCCTGCTGCGGCAGGGGAAGCACTACTACCCCACGTGGGAGTTGGTGCATGCCTGGAGATAATGGGAGTGCCGCTATGCGACGCCTCAGAACCCCACTGCACCCCTGCAACTGCAGGCGACAGCATGCTTCCGGGCATATGCCCTACTCCTGCCCCTGCTCCTGCTGCTCCGGTTGCTGCTAATGGTGCTTGAGGCATGGTTGGAGGTATGGGTGAGAAAGGCATGGGCATGGTTGGTGGAGGCAAAGGCATGCTGTTTCTGCCACTTCCCTTCTTGCTCTTATGCCGCCTCGCCCTGGCAGGGGGATGACGGTGAGGAGACACAGCAGCAGCAGAATCCACTGCAGCAGCAGCAGCAGCAGCACCAGCAGCAGCAGCACCAGCAGCAGCACCACCAGCAGCAGCAGCACCACCAGCAGCAGCACCACCAGCAGCAGCAGCAGCACCTGCAATCTGCGACCTGCTATGGCCGTGGGTTCTGCCTCTCCGTTCTCTGTGCGGCCTCGGCTCCCCGTCCTCGCCTTCTTCGTCTCCATATGCCCCATCGTCATCATCATCATCACCAATACTTGTATCCCTCCACCCAACACGACCACTGCCACCACCCTCTGCTTGCATCTCCTCTCCTTCCTCACCCGCACTCTCGCTCTCAGCTGAGGAAAATTCCGACTCTTCCCCCTCGTGCGCCTCTATTCCCTCATCCTGCCCTTCTTCCTCTCCACCCACGTCATACAGGTCCTCCTCCCCCTCTTCCTCCGCTCCCGTTCCTGACATAATTCCTTCGCCAACACTTTCAGTAGCAGCAACACCACCACCACCACTATCTGAGTGGCGAGGTTGAATTGGCTGACCAGCTTTGCTTCCCAAGTGGCTACTTCTCTCCATGTATCTCGCCACGTCAGATGCCATGCAGGATATCTCATCCTTTTCACTTACCCCACTCTCAGACTCCGACTCTCCCATATCAACCCCATCGCCCATATCATCCTTGTCCTCCGCTCCATCTTCCTCTTTTTCCTCTCCTTCCTCATCTATCTCCTCAGACCCCAGCTCTTCATGCTTCCTTCCCTCACCTTTTTCCTCACCACCATCCTCCTCACTCACCTCCTCCTCTTCTACCCCTTCATCTACAAGCCCAGGCACCAAGTTTCTCGCTCCGTCCTTCTGCCTACTCACCTCTCCATCCTCCTCACTCTCCTCCTCCTCATCCCCCTCCTCAATCGTCTCAGGAACACCAACAGCCACCTGCTGGTGCACCTTGGTCAGGCAACGCAGCAGCTTCGCCTCTAGCAGCCTCTCCCCTTCCATCCCTATTCCTACATCACCACCACCATCACCAGCAGCAGCAGTTCCTTCCCCGCCCCCAACTGCCTGTTTCTGCCTCAGCTGCTGCTGCTGCTGCTGCTGCTGCTCGCGCTTGAAGGAGTTGCGGGCGCTGAGCAGAATGCGCAGAGCATCGTCACCCGAGAGCTTCCGAATCTCCTCCCGGATGTCCAGAGAGGATAGGAACTTGCTCTCCTGCTTTGACTTGCTCTCCGGCTTAGATTTGATCTCCTGTTTCGACTTGGATTCGTCCTTCGAGTCACCATCTTTTTTAGGTTTCCTGGAGTCTACTCCCTTGGAATCAACCTTCTCATGCCTTTTCTTGAGCTCCTTTTCCTTGTCTGCATCACTCTCCAATTCCTCCTCGTCCCTCGCCCTGCTTCTCCTTCCTTCCTTCACCTCCTCCCTCTGGCCCTCCTCCCTCTTACCCTCTCCCCGCTTGTCTCCCTTTTTCTTTACCTCACCTTTCTTTCCCCCCTCTTTCTTGCCCTCCTCTCCCCGTCCCTTGTGCTGTTTCACCGCACTATCTCGATCGTACTGTCTTTCCCTTCTGCCCTTGCTCCCGTCTCTTCCAGCCCTCTCCCTGCTCTGTCTCCTGTGACCCCGATCCTCTCTCCTGCGAGCCTGATCGCTCCCATCGCTGGCACTGCTGCTATGGGTACCGTCGGTCCTGTCTTCTTCTTCCTCTTCAACCCTCCTCCTCCCTTTCCTCCCCCTACGCTCCTCCTTATCACTCCTCTTCTCCCCGCCCCCTCTGCCCCTATCTCTGGACACACCTCCGCTCTTAACCCCATCCCCACCCCTACCCCGTCCCCTATCTCTAACCTTCTTCTCCCCCTTATCCCTACCCTTCTCCCTCTCCCTCGCTCTACCCTGGTCTTCCTCATGGTCACTACTCACATGCCCATCACTGTCCATGTCACTGTAACGCTCTCCATCACGATCACTACCACTCCCGCTCCCATGCCTGTGCCTCCTGCTATGCCTGCTAGCCCCCTCATCTCTTTCCCCAACACCCTCCAACTTCCTCGGCCTTCTCACCCCATCGTTTCTACTTCCCTCGTAATCACTTTCCCGCCTCCCATCCTCGCTAAGCTCTTCCCTTCCGTCCTCGCTATAAGCATCCTCGTCCTCGCTATAATCCTCCCTCCCGCTCTCATCACCCAGGTCAGCTCCCCGACTCCTCCTGCCCCACCTGCCCCTCTCATCCTCATCCGACCCCTCCCCTATTACCCCTATTCTATCCCCCTTCCTCCCACGCATGCTCCGGTTTCCCCTCAACTCTTCCTCCTCTTCCTCCTCCCCAGCCTCTTCCTCATCCTCATCTCCGTTCTTTTCTTTCCAAGAGTCGTCCGCTCTACCTCTTCGCCTCCCCCCTCTCCTCCCTCTCCCTCCACCCCCATGATCAGACTCCAATGACCCCCTGCTCCTGCTCCTGCTCCTGCTCCTACTATCAGAAACACTCCTACTCCTCCTCCGCTCACTCCTCCTCTGCTCCCTCTTCCTCGGCTCTCCCCCTCTCCCCTCTCTTCGCCTCTCACCACTCCTCAAATCCCTGCGGGAAACCCCGTCTCGCCTCATCTGGCCCCTCCCTCCTCCTCCTCCTCCTCCTTCTTCTTCATCCTCCTCCTCTTCCCCTTCCTGCTCACTATCAGACCCATGCCTCGTTCTTGAATGACGACTATTCGATCGATCATCATCAAACCCATCATCGTCATCATCATCATCCCTCGCTGGTGAAGCCAGTCCCAATGCATCATCCCCCCAACCGTTATCAACCGTCTCATCATCATCATCCTCATCATCGTCATCCTCACTATCACTGCTGTCCCGCTCTCGCCTCCGTCCCTTGTGAAACCCGCTGCTCTCACTATCATCCCCTTTTGGACTCAAATCCTCCTCCTCCTCCCCGTCCTCCTCCTCCTGCTCCTCCTTCCCTCCATGCATATTCCTCCGCAGAAACTTCATCAGCTCTTGAGTCAAAATCTCCTGCAACTGCGGATCCTCCAACCTCGGATCCCTCCTATTCAAATCCTCATCATCCTCATCCTCATCCTCCCCACTACCCCCAAACCCCCCCTCATTTTCCAGCACCTTCCCCCAGTTCTTTGGCCGAAAATCCGCCTCATCCAGCCCATACACCTGCGACAGAAGCCGCTTAAACTTGGTCATATCCAGCGGGTTCGTGCCTTGGTGCTCGCCAGTGTCTATCTCCCCATGCAGCGCATCCCCCTCGTCTGTCAGAACCAGCACGTCCGCCTTCCCCGGAAGCAGCTTCGGGAACCCTGTCGGCTGCTCGTCCTCCTCCTCCTCCTCCTCTCCCGCTCCCCCCTCGCCATCCGTCAACGTATCACCCGTACCCCTGATTCCCTCCTCCCCATTCCCACTGCCTCCGCCTCCTCCTCCTCCTCCGCTTCCTCCTCCGCCTGTGGTTCCCCCGACGCTCCCCTCACCTTCTCCCCCTCCGCCGTCGCTCTGCTCCCCAGCGCTGTCCTCCTCGTCCGGGTTGCTCCAGATCTTGGCAGGGCAGCGGGCAAAGACGGGGGTGAAAGCGGAGGACGCGGGGGACGGGGACGGGGGCTCCGTGCGCGGGTGAGCGGCTGGAGCTGCGTCGGAGGAGGCGGGATCAAGTTGCTGGGCCTGAGCCTGCTGCTGCTGCTCCTGAGCCTGCTCTGGGTGCTGATCGTCTTGAGCTGCATTGCTGCTGCTGCTGCCTATCGCATTTCCTCCCACACAGACATCCGCAGCACAATCAGCAACGCCACTCACATTCTCAGAACCACCGGTAGCAGCAGCGGCATCCGAGCCAGCAGACGGACCTTCTACACTTTCAACACACTTTCCACCGGCACTGGTACCATCCCCACCACCACCAACACCTTTCCCGCCATCTGCACCGCTCTCAACACCTCCTCTCTTCCCACGCTCGCTTGGAGCTCGCCTAGCATGTGGGGGGTGCCTCCGGCCCCCACCAGCAGCTGAACCAGCAACAGAACCAGCAGCAACACCAGCAACAGAACCAGCAGCAACACTAGCAACAGAACCAGCAGAACCAGCAACAGAACCAGCAGCAACGGCTCCATTCCGGACCCTATGCGCTGGTTTCGAAGGCAATGACATTCTCCTGCCCAGAGCAGCCGGGTTCGCTAAGGGACCTGGAATTCCCTGTGCTGGAGGTGGTTCTTTACTTAGTCTGTTCATAATCCGTTCAGCTGCCTGCTTCCGCCTCTCGCGCTTCTGCTCCTCCTCGGTCATCTCCCTCTGCGGCTTCTCCTGCGGCTGCTCCTGCTGCTGCTCTTTTGCTTCTCCCTCCCCGCTCTCGCCTCCGACCTGCTCTTCCGAACCTGCTGCCGAGCCTGAAGTGGAGGCTTGGCTGGGTTCATCCCCCTTGTGCCGGATCACGAGCTCCGTAATGCTCCGGAGGAAATTGCCGGACAACTGGGACTTGAGGGATGGTTTCTCCTTGGGTTTCGACTTCGCCTTGGGCTTGTCGTCACCGTCACCCGGTTCTCGCCTCATCTTCAAGTTTTGTTATCTTTTCAAATTCAACAAATGCTCGGGGTTAACCAACACGGGGTCTTCAACTTGTGACTGGTGTGCTTCTCATTCTCCCTGAAAAGCCACAGAAATTAGTGTCAGGAAGGAGATTTACCTACAATGATGCAAAAAAAAACGAAAGCCCGAAAAGTGAACGCCGAATGGCACCAACATCCACGTTATGATCATTAGATGATTCACAATGTCACAAATATGGTATCACGCACCGACGAAAACAACAGCGCTCGACACCGGCTTCGTCGGTTTAGGCGTGTTATCGACATAATGGTTTCGGTGCGACTGGAATGCCACGAAGATTTCGTTCAAATCTATGTTATGTACGTTTTAGGGTTACAAAACAAAGTTGCAGAAGTGGACGACGGGTACTCATTGGAATGCATGCCTGTACTAATAACATTAACGACCTAAGATAAGCTCATTTTGATACAATAGACAAGGTCCTATAAGGTCAATGAGGCAGCCGCAACGGATGCATAATTGTGCCTATTTTCGGTTGCTGTTTGCTAACCCTACTCGAGAGTCAAGGTACTAGCAGGTGACTATACGGAACCTGTTAGTTAGAAGCTTATCAGGGAGACAGGCAAGGCAACAGGTCCGAAATCGGAATCGACCCAGTTCTGGTGTGCCAGAGGAAGAGCAAGGCAAATGGTATGGGTGCATTGCGTTGGCCTGTGTCGTGCGTCGCTGTAAAGCTTGGGAAAAAAGTGCCCGAGGACATGTCCTGAAAGTACGTTTGAGTGTGGTTTAATCAGTTTCTCCACGTTTGACAACGTTTTACAGGGGTAGGTTGGGTAGGGTGGTCAGCCTCCACTTCTCGCGGCACCAGACCAGAAATGTTCTCAGCGCTGCCCCATCCATCCCTGCCTGCTTCACAGGCATCCGATGCTTTTCATGTGTCTTCTCACCTCCTCATGCCATATTGTCATCTGCCTCACATTCACTTTTTTGTGTCGCGATTTTGAATACCTCCTCACCCATGTAAAACTATCTTTAATAAAGAACGACCGAACCAAACCATGCTTTCCAAAGTAGCATGTTCCCAACAACCATAGACACCCCACGCGACGACCCATGGTGACATGTGGCACCATGAGTGGGATGGCTGGATGTCTGCGTGGTACTTGGCGGTGGTGATTGGCTGCTGACAACTGCCAAAAATGCAGATGATACTACTGGTTTGTGCTATACTCAACATTGGTTGCTAGTTCCAAACAGAATAACAAGGCATTCACAAATAAAGCATCTAGGCTAAATGGTGTACTCATCCAAGTGAGGTCATGGGGAATGGACCAGACAAGGGCAGTGATGTTGGGTTCAGAACTAAAAGTGCAATGTATGTAAGTGTCAGAATTTGTAATTCTTATAATTGCATTGCATGTTTAGTTAGTGTAGTATCACCTATCTTGTCTTAGGTGGTCTACCTCCCTTCACCACCTCCCCCGTTTCCTACAACTTGTACTGCATTCTATAGTGCAATGCAATGCAAAGCCCTTCTCTTGGCCAAACTCTCTCTTCACAAACCCTAGCCTCTAGCTACTATTCTGACAGTAAGGGAAGAGACATCAGACTGCGATGCATGGTGGGCTCGGTATACGAGATTCATCATGAACCCAACACGTAATTCATATCTTTTGCCACAAAACTGAATTGACCAAGCTAGGATCAATTTGACTACTGTCACTGTGCTATTCAGGGTCATATACGGTAGCCGGAATCTTGAGGGAGGGAGCCTCGGCAAATGATGTTTTAGTATAGAGCAAGGTCCCACAATGTCACTCCTCGGGCACACGGGGTGATATAGCTACTGTTACGAATAGTAATTACTGTCAAAACATATTGTTTGTTCATGTTACTTTAGGTTGTGTAGGGGTCACACCTTAGAGGGTACAACCCAACTCTCTCGACATCCTTGTACCCCCTCCCCCTTACCTAATCCATTCATTCCTCACCTAGCTAGTTGTTCCAACATGGTATTAAGAGCACAATGCTCCTTAGGACCGAATTTCTAAAAGGGCCCACCACTACTATTTCGATCTGCTGCCCGAGTCGCGCCCCTAGGAGAAACGCGAAATGCGAAAACGTGCCCTAGGCGAGACGGTTCCTTTTTCTGCCATAGTCGCGATTTTTCTTCCTAGTCACGTGCGACCCCCCTGACCGCGCCCTAGCTGCCCCGTGCGCCTCTCGCGCGACCCGTCAGCCCCTACGCCCGGTCCCCCCTCGTTCCTGCTGCTGCGCGCGCCACTCACGCTGCCCGCCAGCCACTAGCACGCACCTGCTGCGCGCTCCTCGTAGTGTTGCCCCGCACGCACCTGTTGCGCGCCCCTGGTTTGCACGCCCACAGCCCACGCGCGCCTACTGCTACTACGCGCCGCCCAGCCCGAGCTGTCACAGCTGCTACTGACTGAAGCTACTGCTGCTACAGCTAGTGCTACTGCTGCTACTGCTGAAGCTCCTGATGCTACAGCCCGTGCCACTTGCTGCAGCTGCTCCTCCTTGCTGCTGCTTGAACTGTCACTGCTGCTGCTACTGACGCTACAGCTGCTACAGCTAGTGCTACTCACTGCTGCTGCTACTGAAGCTAGTGCTGCTACAGCTAGTGCTACTGCTACTACTGCCACTACGGCACTTACTACTGCTGCTGCTACTAAAGCTCCTGCTGCTATAGCCCGTGCTACTTGCTGCAGCTGCCCCTCCTTGCTGCTGCTGCTGCTACTTGCTGCAGCTGCTCCTCCTTGCTGCTGCTGCTGCTGCTACTTGCTGCAGCTGCTCCTCCTTGCTGCTGCTGCTGCTACTGAGCGCCGGCTGCTGCTGCTTGCCGCTGCTGCTCCGCCACTGAGCCCGAGCCGCGCCGCCCTGTCCGAGCCGCGCCACCCTGTCCGAGCCGCGCCGCCCAACCCGAGCTGTCACTACTGCTGCTGCTGCAACCACTGCTGCTACAGCTAGTGCTACTGCTGCTATGGCTAACCTGTCAGTTCTTACGTTCGATGCTGAGGGCCGCGCGATTACCTTTGATGTCTGGCTCGACGATCTCCAGCTGTTCCTGCAGAGCGAGTCTAAGGATGGTGTTTCCCTGTTTTTGCACACTGAGGGAAAGCTCCCACCCCCTGCTGCCGACGCTGTAGAGGATCTGTCTGAGTGGCTCATGCGTGATGCAGCTGCCCGCCTTGCTGTCCGCAACCACCTGCCAGTTACTGAGCGCGCGCACTTTAGCCGGCAGAAAACGGCCAAGGATCTCTATGACGCTGTAGTTTCTCGCTACTCCTCCCCAGCTACTGCTGCTGTAGGTCGTCTCATGCTGCCGTACCTGCATCCCGATCTAGCTGAGTTCCGCACTGTCTCTGACCTCTTTACCCACCTCCGCTCTAGTGAGGATCGCATCCGTGCCGCTCTCAAGCCGGACTTTCTCGCTAAGAACCCCCCCCCCCCCCCCCGCAGTACTTCACCCTCTACTTTCTTATCACTCGCCTCCCTGACTCCTTTCGCACTGTCAGGGACCAGTTCCTAGCCATGGACCCCACTGAGCTCACACTTGACTCGCTTGAGAAGGCCCTTCTCGAGGTTGAGAAGAGCACTGTCGCTGTCGCTGCCTCTCGTGGCACCCCCCGCTCCCCCTTCTTTGAAGGGTGTACTCCCTCCCCTCTCCTCCCCTCAGTTGCTACCGCTGCAGCAGTCGACCTCCTTGGTGCTGAGGACGTTGGCGCTGCGTCTGCTCCCAGTGGACGGCGCAACAACAGCAAGGGCAGAGGGGGCAGGGGTGGTGGTGGTGGCAGCAGCGGAGGGGGTGGCGGGGGTGGTGGCGGGGGTGGTGGCGGGGGTGGTGGAGGCTCTGGGGGTGGCTCTGGGGGTGGCGGCAGTGGAGGAGGCGGACAGGGTGGAGGAGGCGGCGGTGGTGGGGGAGGCGGTTGGGGTAGCGGGGGCGGTGGAGGAGGTCGGGGTGGGTCTGGCAGGGGTGGTGGCGCTCGTGGACCCTCCCGTGGCTACGGGAGTGGTCAGCAGCTGCCGCGCCTCCCGGACAACCCCACCGACCAGCAGCTCCGTGAGTGGGTTCTCCAGCGTGGGGGCTCTGGTCGCTGCCCTTATGTCCGGCGCACGGGGCTTCTGAAGGGCACAGTCTGCGGGAAGCCGCACACCGAGTACAAGTGCTTCGGCCGTCTTGAGGACGCCTGGGTGACTGAGTACTCCGAGGACCAGCAGGTCCCGAACTGGCTGCAGCTGATAGGGAAGGGGGTAGATGTGTTTGCTCTTGACTTTGCTAAGATCAATGCTGCTCTCTATGCTATGTATGTTTCTGATTATAGTGTTGAGGGTGCGTGTTACTCGTGTGTGCCATGCGATGCTGGTGGTGATGCTGCTCCCCCAGGTGCTAGTGCGTCTGCTGCTGCCCTAGGTGCTAGTGTCGCTGCTGCCCCAGGTGCTAGTGAGTCTGCTGCTACTGCTGAGGTCTTGCACACTTTCACACTTGACTCTGGTGCGTCACGTTGCTTCTTTCGCGACAGCACCACTGTCACCCCACTCACTACCCCAGTCCCAGTCTCACTGGCGGACCCCTCTGGGGGCCCGGTGGTTGCACGCCACTCCACTGTCCTCCCGTGCCCAGCTGTCCCCTCTGGCTCTCTGTCCGGTCTCCACCTCCCCTCGTTCTCGACGAACCTGGTGAGCAACGCCGTCCTTCAGGATGTATGGGTTGACACCTTTACTCCTGGAGGTCAGCGTGTGGCGATCTGCACGTGCGCCAAGACAGGCCGTCACCTGGCTACGTTCACACGACAGCCGGGGTCGAACCTGTACACACTCACCACAGCGTCTGCACAGGTAGTTGCGTCTGGTCAGGTGGCTGCGTCCGGTCAGCTCGCTGCGTCCTGCTCGTGTCGCCTCCTCACCCACCCTGCGCAGCTTTGGCACCACCGTCTTGGCCACCCGTCGCAGCTGCGTCTGCGCGGCATGCACTCCCGGCTCCTGGTCTCTGGCCTCCCTGCGACCCTGCCCCCCCTCCCGCGCTCGCTTGCGCCGCCGTGCCTTCCTTGCGTCGAGGGGCGGCAGCGCGCCGCTCCTCACTCCTCCGAGTTTCCTCCGACCACTGCTCCTCTGCAGACTCTCCACCTGGACGTGTGGGGCCCAGCCCCGATCGGTGGAACGGACCAGGAGCGCTACTTCCTGCTGGTGGTTGACGACTACACACGCTACACCACAGTCTTCCCCTTGCGGCGCAAGGCGGATGTCAGTGGTGTCTTGATCCCCTGGATCCGTGCTACTCGTCACCAGCTGCGCGAGCGGTTTCGGCGGGACTTTCCAGTCCTGCGTCTGCACTCTGACAGGGGTGGTGAGTTCTCCTTTGGCGTCCTTGAGACGTTCTGCCAGGATGAGGGCATTGCCCAGTCGTTCACGCTTCCGGCCTCTCCGCAGCAAAATGGGATCGCTGAGCGTCGCATTGGCCTGATCATGGAGGTTGCTCGTACCTCCATGATCCATGCGGCTGCTCCCCATTTCCTGTGGCCGTTTGCGGTCCGATACGCCGCGCATCAGCTCAACCTCTGGCCCCGTGTCTCTGCTCCAGAGACCTCGCCCACACTCCGTTAGACGGGACAGCCTGGTGATGCATCGTCGTTTCGGGTCTGGGGCGCGCTCTCCCTTGTTCGCGATACCAAAGCAAGCAAGCTCTCCCCTCGCACTCTCCGCTGTGTCTTCCTGGGCTTCCCCACCAACGCTCCACCCTGGCAGTTCTACCACCCTGCCTCGCGTCGTGTTCTGTCCTCTCATGACGTCACCTTCGACGAGTCGGTCTGTTACTACCGACTTCACCCGCACGCGTCCCACCCGGTCCCTCTCGCACCTCTCTTCCTGGTACCAGTCCCCCCCCCGGTAGACCCCCTTCCCCCACAGGGTCCTGCTCCCTCAGGTGTGTCCCAGGTAGACCCACCCCCCTTGGATGAGCCAGTTGAGATCTCTTCTGACTCCTCTGACTCACCTGAGGGGGGTGACGCCGTCGCTGACGACACGGCGACCACTCGCCGCACTCCTCGCTTGGAGACCCCCCCGGGTTTCCCGCCACGGCCGTCTTCGCCACCTCCGCAGCCTGCTGCTGTGGACTCTGGAGCTGAGACCACTGGAGCTGGGGCTGGGGGTGGTGAGTCCGGGGGTGCCCGCTCTCCTCGTCTGGCTACACCCCCCGGGTTCCCACCTCTGCCGTCTTCGCCGCCTCTGCAGCCAGCTGCTGTGGACACTGGAGCAGAGACTGAGGTTACTGAGCCTGGGGGTGCTGGGACTGAGGGTACTGGGCCTGAGGGTGCTGCGACTGAGGGTACTGAGCCTGCGAGTGCTGAGACCGAGAGTCCTGCCTCTGGGGATGTTGCGAGTTCGGGTGCTGACTCTGCGGGTGCTGTGAGTCCTTCTGGTGTTGGTGTCGTCGGAGCTCCTACCAGAGGACCTGGAGCTACTGGTGCTGGAGGTACTGGAGGTGCTGCTGGTGCTGGAGGTCCTGGAGGTCCTGCTGGTGCTGGAGGTCGGGGAGCTGCTGGTGCTGCTGGTCCTGGTGGAGCTGCTGGTGCTGGAGGTACTGGAGGTGCTGCTGGTGCTGGAGGTCGTGGAGCTGCTGGTGCTGGAGGTACTGGAGGTACTGCTGGTGCTGGAGGTCGTGGAGACGCTGGAGCTGCTGGGGCTGGAGGTCCTGGTGGAGCTACTGGTGCTCTTCGCCACCTTCTCAGTCTTCAGCCAGGTGCTACTGGCTTCCCTGTGGCAGGTACTACTCCTCCGTTGCTGTGTCCACCGGCGGACCAGTCACAGCCGCCGCTGCTACCACACTCCCCACTGCCTGCCCCTGCTCCTTACACTGCGGTGTTAGAGTCCCTGACTGAGCGTCGAGAGCCTGAGACTCGTGCTTCCACCCCTGAGCGTCGAGAGCCTGAGTCTAGCTTTGACCTTGAGCCTGGGCCTAGAGCTGCTGTCCGTGCTCGTGTTCCTCGTGTTCATCGTCAGCGTGCTCCGGCTGTCCCCGGCACTCACGATATGACACTCCATCCTTCCTCTGTTCCTCAGCGTGTTGTCCTACCGTTACCTCCTGCGTCCTCTTTGCCTGACGTTGCTGACCCTCCGTCTGACCTTGCTCGTGCGTCCAGTCCGACTGTTACTCGCCTTCTTGCTACGGTTGTGACGGACCCTACGTTCTCGTCTCCTGCTGCGTCTGCCCTAGTAGCTGAGCTCGTTGACTTTGCTGCTGTGTACCGCCTAGACTACCTTGCGAGTCTTGTCTCTGACCCTGTCCCTGCCTGTCCTCCGTCCGTCGGGGGTGAGACTGCTCTTGGCTGCACTGCCCTTGGCTGTGACGTTCTTGAGGACAGACAGGAAGAGCTGGAGTGCCTTGCTGCCGCTTCACCCCATCACGCGACCATGCTGCTTGCCCCTGAGGGAGACCCGGATGCACTTGACATCCCCACCCCGCGCTCCTACAGGGAGGCGATTTCGGGTGAGTACTCCTCTCAGTGGCAGACAGCCATGGACGCAGAGATGGCTTCCTGGAAGTCCACAGGCACCTACGTCGACGAGGTTCCCCCACCTGGGGCAAACATCGTCAGTGGCATGTGGATTTTCAGGGTGAAGCGGCCGCCGGGTTCTCCGCCTGCCTTCAAGGCACGTTACGTTGCTCGAGGCTTCAGTCAGCGTGAGGGGGTCGACTTTTTTCAGACCTTCTCCCCCACCCCGAAGATGACCACTCTTCGGGTGTTGCTACACGTTGCAGCTCAGCGTGACTACGAGCTGCAGTCCCTCGACTTCTCGACAGCTTTCTTGCAGGGTAGCCTTTACGAGGCCATCTGGTTGCGCCGTCCACAGGGCTTCACTGGGTCGTTTCCTGAGGGTACCCAGTGGAGCCTGCGGCGACCAGTGTACGGCTTGCGTCAGGCGCCCCGCGAGTGGCACGACACACTGAGGACGACACTTGCGGCTCTTGGGTTTGCTCCTTCGACTGCTGACCCGTCGCTGTTTCTACGCACCGACACTACTCTGCCGCCGTTCTACATCCTCGTGTACGTCGACGACTTGGTTTTTGCTACTGCTGACACTGAGGCACTGGCCCTAGTGAAGGTGGAGCTGCAGGAGAGACACACTTGCACTGACCTAGGTGAGCTGCGGAGCTATCTTGGCTTGCAGATCACCCGGGACAGAGCACGGCGCACCATCACCCTGACTCAGTCACACATGGTGCACCAGGTCCTTCAGCGCTTCGGCTTCCAGTTCTCCTCGCCACAGCCCACTCCTCTGTCTACCGGCCACTCGCTCTCAGCTCCACCTTCGGACGAGTCCGTAGAGCCGAGTGGTCCGTACCCAGAGCTTGTGGGTTGCCTCATGTACCTGATGACGTGCACACGACCTGACCTTGCGTACCCTCTCAGCCTTCTGGCTCGCTACGTGGCTCCTGGTAGACACCGAAAGGTGCACTGGGATGCTGCGAAGAGGGTACTGCGTTACTTGTGCAGTACATCGGGCATGGGGCTCGTGCTTGGAGGACGGAGTTCAGTGCTCACTGGACACTCTGACGCTTCTTGGGCCGATGACCAGGCGACTCAGCGTTCGTCACAGGGTTACACCTTCAGTCTTGGCTCTGGTTCTGTCTCGTGGAGGTCCACTCGTTCTTCGTCTGTGCTTGGCTCCAGCTGCGAGGCCGAGATTTACGCTGGGGCCATGGCTGCACAGGAGCTACGCTGGCTGACCTACCTGCTGACCGACTTGGGGGAGCGGCCTCGTTCTCCTCCAGTTCTGTACGTCGACAACAAAGCAATGCTTGCCTTGTGTCGTAAGTAGAGACTGGAGCACAGAACGAAGCACATTGCTCTTCGCTACTTCCTTGCGCGTGAGCTGCAGCAGCGTGGTCAGCTGCGCCTTGCTTACGTGGCCTCTCGGGCCAACACTGCTGATGTCTTCACCAAGGCCCTTGGGGCTGGTGATCATCAGCGTTTCTGCACTGCTCTTGGGCTTGTGCCCACTCTGCCTCACCTGTTGGTTGCTTGACTTGCTCTTGTTGTACACTGCTATATATATTTATACTTGCATGTTTACTCATGCTAGGTTGTGATCAGTGTACTGCCTTGCTATTTATAAATCTGCATGTGAACTGGCCTTGTGGCCGCCTGCTTGTGCTCAGATTGTGTGGTGTCCTTGAGATCCACCCTGGGCTTTGCCTTGCTTGTTCTCTTGCTTGACTGGTCTTGTGACCACTGTTCGGTTTGGCTATCCCCTACTTCACCTATGGGGGTGTGTCAAAACATATTGTTTGTTCATGTTACCGGTACTCTAGGTTGTGTAGGGGTCACACCTTAGAGGGTACAACCCAACTCTCTCGACATCCTTGTACCCCCTCCCTCTTACCTAATCCATTCATTCCTCACCTAGCTAGTTGTTCCAACAATTACTAGAACATTCTCGTGCACTCCTCACCGCAGCAAACGAAGCACGCACTACCGGGACTGAATATGAAAGGGCGGAAGTGACGCGAAAGGCCGTACAGTTACGAAATCATATGGACCGTCGGGCATACAGCATCAGGCAACAGCAGTGACAAGGATTCTGCCCGTACAGTTTCGTAACTGTCTGGAGTCGCACGGTTGGAATTCGCTGTAATAAGGGAATGTGTCAGAAGTCCACTGGTGATCCCTGATTGATCCTAGGGAAGGGTTACAGGCACGTCGACCTGGGGGGTTATGGGCGCACTCACCCGCTATACAAATAAGCCCTTTTATCCCAGTGGTCTAGTGGCTGGGATTCTGACAGAATGTACCCTTTAGATTACATGGCTAGCTAGGTCGATTGGTATTCCCCTGTACTCTGTACTTGCATGTCTTAGGGCGTATTCGTATCCTCCTATCAAGCTAACCTCTTATCAAGCTCACACTGAAAAATTCCCTAAACCCAAAATCTCTCGCTACTTTCACCAGGCAAAAGGTACAATCTTGATAGGAGGTGGCCTTGATAGGAGGCCGTAGGAATACGCCCTTAATTATCTCAAGCATTTTATATTCACTCTGCTATTGAGGTCAAGGGCCCACCGCCACCAAATCAGTAGTGTGCGAACCTTCCTGAGGTGATCCTGGCTACGATCAACTTCTGATCGCAACAACTACGACTAGTGCTGCCATCTGATTGATCGAGAAGTGATCATCCCCAACCAATATAGAGCCAACTGTGGAAGTTTAGCTTGTTCATATCTCGAGGGTTGATTTAACTCAAGCCGCATGCTGTGCCATCTGAGTGGCGTAAAGTTGGTGTTTGCACAGGCAGCTTACGTTTCTCCAATGTTCTGGTCTGGATAATCTCTAAGTTGTACCTCACGGTACTTGTGTTGTGGACCAAGTCTGACCAGGCCAGGGAAATAACAGCATGGGCACAAGCGAAGTTGTGCAGCCCTGTAAGGAGTTCGGGCTCTTGTGTGAACACATCCTCAGGCCATAAGATTGCATCGTGAATCACTTGTTTTAGAGTCAGGGCGAAGAGCTCGTAGTGCTACCCTCCGTGCCATTTCCTGGTTTGGTTTTTGATATACCATGGCCCCAAATTCACTAGAAATATCCCAAGTACCGTACCATTTGTTGTGGTGGGTCTACCCTGTACGGTTATCAAATCAAGGGGTCTGGGGCTTTCACTCTTGTCTGTCATGCAGGGACCGCCAGCATGGTGATAAACTACCGGTAGGTATCATATCCCATCACCACTGCAATCACATTGATGCCAAGCTGCATGACAGCAAGCCATGTGAAACGGAGATAGAACGAGCAGCTCCCATAACTGACGGAAATGGGTTGAACACAGGCACCTGAAGACTGACAGGAGAAGACCAATGCAGCATGGTCAGGTGCTTATAACAATGGACATCACAGTGGCTCTAAGTTGAGCACACGGCAAGAAGTGAGCACAACAGATGGTCATTCTTAGTGTGACCATACAGTTTCCAAGGTGTCAGACAGTGCATGTCAGGAGCACTGACAGCTAATTAGTTCAGGCCGCACGCAGTCAAGGCTACAAAATCATCGTCCCCCCATTTTGTTTCTCCTTCCGTCTTCATTCTTCCGTCATACTGGCGATAGCTTGAAACTGTTGAGCCTCTAAGGCCACAGGGTCATCGTCAGGGGAGTGTTCTTCAAGAATGGCCGTTAGCTGACCTTCTACAATAGTCCATGCCTGTACACGGGACATTCGATGGTGTACGAAGTTGAGAAGGACGGACTTAACACCACAAACACTTGATACGCGAAAAAAAGGCACGTTGGTCCACTGACTTCTCTCACCTGAGAAGCATCATAGCTTATGCGAGCGGCACGAAATTTCCTGTTTGATGAAAGGTCCACGTTCTGTAATAAGAAGATAAGAGCAAGTTAGCAACCATACCCATCAACAACGTGTCGTGAGGTAGAGAAGACATGGCATAAGATGGTATCCATACCATAATTTCGATGGTTCTCGGCTCGCGAGACAGCTTGTCAGCATCGGGATGGGGATGGAATACAATGAAGGCGATGGAGAAGAGAAGGAAGCTAACGAGGATAGCCCATAAAAGCGACTGATTCGACGGCGAGCTCATCCATTGACTGATGCTTCGTGGGCTCTGTGACATATCGTGTGTGAATGACAGCCGCTTAGGATAAAGCGGTGAGTGCTCAGACATCTCCGACAGCTGTTTCTTAAGATGCAGAAGAGGAGTCTCACTAATACCCAGCCAGCTACCAGGGAACATAAGGAACATTCGCCACCGTAAGCTTAGGATTTCTAATAACGAGGTTGGACTATCGTCGTAGGCGTCCGTTCCAAGGTCTCGCTCTGTGGTGCCAACCGCTCTATGATTGAGCGAACCAACACCATCTCTCGCGTTCATGTCGGGGGAATCCAGCTTTGCTGATATAATCTGCAACTATGCATTCGTCTGCGCGATAGCAGAAACCATGCTCGAAGGAACAAGCACCAGATTGCAATGTGCCAAGTATGGGCCTCAGTTCACCTAAGAACCGTCAGTAGAGGGCGCTGCCCTCTTGTGGAGTACTAATGCTGCAGCTAAGAGCGACAGTTTGGCCGAGGCGCAAGGACCAAGTTACAGCAGCAGGATCACGCCTGCCTGGGCGGAACCTCTGGTGGCATATTTCGTCCCATTCACATTCACTGTCAAAGGTTTGTCCGGACAGATTCTTCAACGGCTAGCTGGAAAACGGGGGCCAGGCACCGATGGATTGCACCATTGGGATTGAAATTTGTATGATCAGAGCGCTTATTGGTTGCAGCGCGGAGTTCAGTGAGTCCGACAGACTCTGTTAGAGGGGAATTTGCGTTGGCGGATGCAACCGTGACTTCTCCAAGAGGTCAGACGGAGGGAATGGCGACAGAGAGGGGGAACTGGCACAGTCGGTCGCATCGGCTGAAATGAAAATGGCGGCAAAATTCAAGAGTCGAGTTTCTGACAACCATCTAGGGATGGGCGGTGCAGAGGCTTCTATATGGGTTTTTAATATATGTGAGATATATTTTCGTATCCTCCCACAAAAAGGGTGAATGATATGCACTTAGTGGCTGCAACCAGCCAATATTTTGCTAACAGGAGGCAAACACAACCTAGTGTCTACTTGCAGACCTGCCTCTAGGTGACATGTTGATTGGGAGTCCTTCTAGGATTGATACAAGGAGGCCTTGATCATGAAGCTGCTGAACATCATTAGCTCCTCCGATATAGCGGCCACGGACAAAGAGATGCGGTACTGACAAGGATGCGCTTCCCATTAGGGTTTTCAACTCCTGACGGAAGTGAACCCGCATGGACACATCTCGTTCCTCAAACATGACTCCAAGAGCCTGCAGCAATGGGGGAAGAACGACGGGGAAAGAGTGTGGTATTAGAAAGAAAGGGAAAGTGAGGAGAAAACAAAAGAGCATGTTGTTACTCACCCTGAGAACGAGTCGCACTTGCATACAATCTTCAAAAGTTTGGCTCACTGCCCGCAGCGTTGTCATGTACAAAACCACCTTGCCATCCCCTCCCGGTGGGCAATTCACTGGAAAGCTCTCGAGCAACATCCTCCCACTCCCGTTAGGCGCCTTCATAACAGCACACACAGTATCAGCTTCAGCCACCACCCCAGAGCCTCCAGATTGTGTCAAGCGGCCCCTTTCCACCGAAGACGAAGCCACATCTCTATCGCCTGTGCCAGTTATTGCCACATCAGCTGCTTCAGCTCCTGGTCCCTCAGCTCTGGATCCAGCCTCAGCAGAGCACCCAGCACTCGGCTCATGGCCCCTAGAAACGCTGCCTTGGCTTGCATCGACTCTCTCAACGACACCTGAGTCTACTGGACCATCCATCCCAGCCGGGGTTACAGTCTGAGTCACACCATCGATCACCCTGCCCGAACCGCCTGTGTCGTTTTCTCCCTCCCCTTGCAAACCACGCCCAAATACTTCTGTTCTACCCCCTTCAACACTCACCATACTGACCAAGCCCACCACACCTCCACTCCCGGACTTCACCAGCCCTGGAGTCAACCAGCCCCGGCCCGAACCTCCAACACTCCCCGCCCTTTGCCCGTCCCTCCCCACAGCACCATGAGGAATCTCACCCGTTGATACCCTGCGCGCGGTTTCACCCATCACCCCCCTGCGAGGACTCATGCTGCTGAACGACCTGCGTGGGCTAGGAGCCTGGGGCCGAGGGCTGGTCAGCCGAGCCCTCGGACTCTGCAACGGCGGCTTGCCCCGCCGAGGACTCTGCCCTGCCCGAGCAGGAATTCGCATTCTCCCCACAGCGGCAGCCATGGCGTCGACTGCAGCGGCAGGCGAGCCAGGAGCAAAGAGGGAAGCTCCAGGCGAGTTGGGCGCAGGGGAATTGGGTGCGGGAGAGTTGGGTCCTTGGCGCATGGGGCTGGACAAAGGGGTGAGGCGGCGCCAGTCAGCGGGATCATGCCTGTGGAAAACTGCCTCCATGGTGGCAAGGAGCTCCGGATCAAACAGAGAATTCTCATCAAATCCCACTTCCTGCGTATCACCCACCCATCCCAACCCATCGTCTGTTTCGCTTCCCACCCTGGGAGATTGATGGACCTGTGCTCGGGCTTGATCGTTGTCCGGTTTAAAACCACCCTGCTGCTGTTGCAGGAAAGCCGCCTCTTCTTCATCTGCCTCCATAAGAAAGTCCTCAAACCCATCGATGATGATACCTCCGTCTGAAGTCACGCTCATGCCTGATATAGTCCTCTTTGGAAACCCAACTGCAGGATTTCTTCTCGCTGACCCCAGCTGTCGCTCCTCCTGCTGCTGCTCCTGCTCCTGTTTGTCCTTCCTCTGCTGCATACGCTCTTGCTCCCCTACCTCATCATTCAACCCCTCCCTTTTCGTATCCTGCAAGCCTCCCTTCACCAGCTCATGCTGCTCTTCCCGGTCACACTGTCGTGACCGTGGCTCCTGGTCCGGCTGCTCATTCTGCACCTCTTTCGCATCCGCCTGCTGCTGCCGCGCCTCTCTGTCCAGCTCCTCCTCCTCCTGCTCCACCAGCTCCGCCAGGGAGACCCTGTACTCCCACTCCCTCCTCAAGTCCTCTTCGAAGCTTGCCAGCACATCCGGGTCAAACATGGAGTCAAGCCCTCCCCATTCCCCCACTCCTGCCGGCTCTTTGCTGCTGTCTCTCCCCTCCTCTGCCTGCCCACTGCTCCCCAACTCCCCCACTTTGCTCTCCGTTGGTCCCACATGCTCTGGTTGGACAGCCAAGCCCGTACTCACAGTCTCAACCTCAACCGTCTCACGAGAGTTAGTTTCCACAACCCTGTCAGGTTTGTCAGTACGTTCAGTTCCGACAACCCTGTCTGCATTGTCAAGCTCACCACCAGCCGGCGCATCCGCTGCTATGACTCCGGCCTCCTCCTCCAGCATTCTCAACACGTCCTCCACCTCCTTATCGTCAATTCTCCCGGAATGTACACTCGTTACCGCTCCCTCGGCCACACTAGAAGCACCACGGTCTACAGATGTGGACCTGCTCGTAGCTTCGACTTCGGAAGCGCCAGCGTAGGGGTCAGTCGCCGTCAGTGAAGGATGATCCCCAGACTGAGCAGCACCTGAAGGTTTTCTCTGTTGAGCATTTCCCTGCTCAGCCTCCGATGCCTCGTCAGTCCTGTATTCGGGTTGATCTGTTTGCTCCTCCAGTTCTTGTTGCTGCTCCTCCTGCTCCTCGTGCTGCTGCAGATTCTGCGCCTGCTGCTGCGACTGCGGCTGCTGGTGCTTTTCCTCCTCTTCCTCCTCCTCTTCCCCGTCCTCTTCCTCCTCCTCGTCCTCATCCTCCAGGTCCATCATGATCGTCTGCACGTCAATCAGCTCAGCAACGTCATTTCCGTCCGGCATCACATCCTCGTCCGTCACCAGAGGAGGCAGCTCAACGCTCAACTTCCTGTGCTTCTTAAACGGCTCACGTGCGGCTGTATCTGACTCCCGTCCAGCCGAATCTGCTTCCGGTGCCGCCGAATCTGCCTCACGTGAGGCCAAATTTGCCTCACCGGGTGATTCTGAACTCGTCGTTCCGTTTCCCTCAATGACCGCCTCGCTCGTTTGGCATTGCGAGCCTTCTCTAGGCTCAGCTTCACCATTGACGTCGTGAGAATTCACCACCGGTACTGAACTTTCCACTTTATCGTGATTGGGACACAGAGCCGATGGAGCTCGCAATTCAGCAGAGGGAGCAAATTTGCCAGTTTCTGATTCCGCTGCGTTGGCTGTACTGTGTCCGCATTCCTGCGCCGTGGATAGTATAGCCACGGAGACAGTGGCGTCGCACGCATCTGCTTCAGTGGACTGGTCCGCTGCCGATTCTAAGGCTAAATCGTCCACAGCTGCCGTCACGCTGGCTGACGATGGCTTCTCATTCGTCTTCTCCTTAGCCTCGTGACTGGCCTTATCATTGGCCTCCTGCTCCTCGGTAACATCGTTTTCGTCTACCTTCAAGGCTTCTGCGCCTGAGCACAAGCACTGAGAAATTATGTCTGCTCGTATTCGTGGCTTTTCCCCTGGCTTCGCTTGCAATTTCGGTGCAAGGTGAATTGGCAGGCTGAAGCAGCCAGACGTGTCGGAAGGTATCGCAACTGGGAGCGGTTTCGGTTTCTTCGAGGACGTAGACCGCTTGACCTGCTTCTTGCTAGAATCGCCTTTTACCGCGGGCTTTGAAAATGAGCAACCCATGGCAGCTGACGCCAACCTATTCTGTCAATACGTTGTGAACCCGAGCAGCCTGGGAGAATCATAAGACACGCGAAATGGCTAGGTAGACCGTAGAAGTTATTAGTTATTTACAGCTTGAAAACACAGGATGTCGAAAGTTAGTAATTGTGAACCACACAAAAACAACCTAGGTAGTGTCGAAAAACATTTATGCACGTGCTCCACATTCTCGGAAAGGGTGCTGGCTGGTTTCTGAACAGCGAGCGACTCGGGTTGCAGCCAGGCGACACGATTCCAAACAGGCTTGGCTATTGGCTGGTTCGTTCGAAGATAGCGACTGGTGACCGTAGCACGCAACCAAGCAGTCAGTCGCTTCCGTCCGTCAGTCACTGCTGGAGCGTTAGCGTTTAGGTCAGAACGGAAAACGGAACTGGCTGACCAACCGCACCCACAGTGAAGGGACGAGTGGAGGTGAATGAGGTTGGATGAGGGGGCAGCAGACGGAATAAGTGCCAAGATGGGAAAGCTGGCTGGGCAGCACAGAAATGTTACCCCAGCAGCAGAGCCAAACAGAAACATGCCTTCGGTCGCTAGGGGTTATGAGGATGAAGTTTTTGGGTTGCTGTATCTGTCTTGGGTTTCCCACTTTCCAGCGATGCTTGCCCAACGGGACGTGGGGTCATGACTTTGTGATTGGACATTCTGATTACGCATCCACTAACTTTTGTACACATGTCTCTGACAATGGGTGGCTGCATGTGGGAGGATTCACAGGACACCTCACACACCAACCATCCAAGCTGACGTCTGGAAACTGTTTCCGCCGCATCCCTCGACGGACGTCAAAACACTGTAACGAATCGCGGGCAGAGAAAACGAACCAGCTAGGGTTTCGACCTCACCAAACTTGGGACTCCAAGACCCACCCAAGTGGAACCTTACGAGCCAGCGTCCCTTTACCCTCAACCAGTGTCCCTCCGTCCGTCCGTTCCTCCCCATCTCCCCTCCCCAGCGTTGGCGCGAATCACGCCTGGTACGCACACCACCACCCCACCATAGCCCTATCCGCTGTACCTTTGACTATGCCATGCAGTCTGTCTTCCTTGTCTGGTCTCTTCCTTGTGGGTCGTCCTGGATAGGGAGCCGTCGAAAGTCGTTTGGACGTGCGGCTTGTTTCCGTTCTTATAAGATACCGAGTTCTGGGCGTTTCGGTGATCCGTGCATTGTCCTCCACTTCCAAGGGCGCATCCGATTTTCCAGCCAGATATACGAGTTTTTAGGGTTCCTCATGCTAGTTGGTCGCCATGGAAACGATGTGTATTGTGTCAACAACTCCCGTTGATCCTATCTTTGGGTTACATGCACGCATGTGGTGTTTTTGGGCAGTACATCGGCGTCATATATGCGACATCTTAATCGACCATGGATGACAACAATCTTCGAGTTGTTTTGAAAATACACAAGCGATCGTCCTTGGAGGCCTCTCCGTCTCGGACTTGGAAGGCGCAGGAGACTTCAACAGACCCCTCAGTCCCCAATCCTAAGAGACAACGAACGAAGGCTATAAGCGAAGAGCATAGTCTAGTAATCCCGTCACCGCCAAAACCCGATTCAAAAGGGGCATCACCACCTGCTGATGAAACGGTAGCGCATCCAATTTTTTCGTCGAAGCGAAAGCGACAGGTCAGCTTCACTTTATTAGATTCTGAGCCTTCTTCCTTGTGCGTGTTCGGGTGTTGATGGAATTTCGTGATAAATGCAGCTATCCGACAGCGGAATAACGGACTCGAGACCGGCGGAGCAGACAATTTCAGGCAATGAAAATAGATCCTCCTTACCACTCAAAGGTAATTTAATGTTCAGTTGCAGCATGCTTCTGTGCGTTTTTTTGGTAGTTTTTTTGCTGACTTCTGGAGTTTTCACTTGTGAATCCAGATGGAAAAAATCCGCTGCCAGAGAAAGCGCTTTGTGAGATTCTGGACAAACTGCAAAAGTGAGTGGTTCTGCGACAGTCCAGTTGACGGTTCTGCTTCATTAGGAACGACGAGGCCCTTTGTTTTCTTGTGTCTCATGGAACCCCACGTCGCTCTTTTGTTGCAGGAAGGACTTGTATGGGGTGTTCTCTGTTCCAGTGAATCCTGCTGAGGTACAATATCAGTCTGTTTTATTCTGTCATTTTCCTCATTTGTTTTGCTCTTTTCTTTACTGATATCATGTTTTTTTTTTTACACTACGGATCGTTTTCCTCCCAAACAGGTTCCGGACTATTTTGACGTCATTTCTCACCCCATGGATTTCAGCACCGTGAGGGGAAGGGTTGCAAAGAAACTTTATACGTCATGGCGCCAATTCGAGGTACTTGTGTATAGGTCCCGTAGTTTCATTGTTGTTGGATAGGCGACTTTTTGGTGAGGTCGTATGGTTGTATGTATTCACCGTCTCGTGTTTCCTTCTTTCAGGATGACGTGTCCTTGATCTGGAAGAATGCCATGATCTATAACGCCGAGGGGACCATTTATTACAAGCAGGCTAAAGCTATGCAAGGAATGGCTCAGAAGATTTTTCCAGCAGCAGGTTCCAACGAGATTTACCCAAGATCTGGATTTGGAAGGGGATTTCGAGGTCGTGGAAGGGGAAGAGGTCAACCCGGTCGTCCTAAAAGGATTCCTCTATCTGATCCTGCGCAGAAGGACACTCAGTCCGGTAAGCTAACTACAATTTACAGCTTCATCTTCCTTTCAGGCTGTCTGCTGACGTCTGTTTGTTTTCCCCTTGAAGGTCGTAGATTTTTGGGCCAGAGAAAGGATGCCGTTCCGTTGGTGGATGACAAGCAAGATCGTCTGGTGTTTGGGATGGATGAACGATCGGAGGTATCACTGTCAGAGGACATTGCGCAGACTAAGCCTGCACAGAGGATATTGGGGAAAGGCATGGAGAAAGGGGAGCTATTGAATAGCCAGAGCCAACCGAAATCAAGTTACCTAGGAGGCGATGATTCTGGTAACAAAGGTCAGTTGGAGTTGCTATTTCCTGTTGAATTCTGGGGCTGTTCAATTTATGCTGCTAACGCTTTCCTGACTTGCTTTTCCAGTGTCCCGGTTGAAGAACTACAAGGTCTGCCGCAGAGCAACATCCCCAAGTGGCGGGAAGCACCTATCCTTCCGCTCCTGGAGACAGTCAAGGTCTTGTCAGACGAGCAGAAGTGCAGTGCCCGAGAGCTTCGCCCTGTGCTATTCTGTAAGCACTTTGAATTCGCTCTCAGTTGTCGTTTTCACTAAATAGCCTGTTGAAATTGATCGATTGCTGTTTCCATATTTGCAGGCTGATCAAGACCCTCTCGCGTACGCCCACAGCTTAGCGCGATTTGCGTCGCCCCTTGGCTCGTTGGTTTGGGAAGTCGCTGCAGAGAAAGTCAAGCAGACCCTTCCTTCGGAAGTTCCTTTTGGTAGAGGATGGATTGGCCTGGATGACCCCTTGCAGTCATTGCAGTCATTGAATCCTGAGGGCGAGTCGGCAAGGAGGGTGTTGAAGGGCCAGAAGGAGGGGGTCCCTGACGTTTCCGTGGATGATGTAAAGCAAGCCTCGAAGCAACCTGTGAGGACAGCAGCTAAGACTTCTGCAAGGCCCGCCAAAGGTCTGAGGAAGTCTGCCTCTCCACATCCTGGATCACTGACTAAGTTGCAGGTTTGTTCTGAGGCAGCTGCGGCAGCTCCCATTGAGACCGCCCACTCAAAATCCGTTAGCGATGGGGCTCCTGTGTCTTCAACCTCGGAGTCTGTCCATGGGCCCAAAGACATTGGCCGATCGTCAGGCATGCTCCACATGCCACACTGGTTTAACGGTGCAAGCAGACCTGGAGCAGGATTCTCTTCGCCTCCACCTACAGCAGCTGTAGTTTCACCGATATCTGCACAGGAGGCCTTAAGCGGGCTGCGTGGGGTTTCTACAGGAAGCCCCTCTGAAGCTGGGCTTAGTCTGAGCAATGCAGCGATCCAGACGCTGCTGAATTCATGTGCAGGTGCTGCTGATCACGTTGATCGCAGCAGCGTTTTGGCAATGCGTGCTTCAGCTGTTGCTGCTCTGCAGGCTGCGAACTCTGCCAGACAAGGCCAGTCAGTCCTCTCTGCTCAGGCTCTGCAGTCGCTCATGCATGCACCTCAAGGCTCTGCTGATGTCGAAACTCCCACAAAGCCCCTTGGTTCGGCCCTTATGGGAGCTTTGAATGCCCTGTGGTCTCAGAATGCGTCCACCTCATCACCTGGTGCTCCTGCAATCACTGCAGCTGCTTTTGGGAAGCAGGGTCTGAATTCGCTGCAACGGCTTGGTGGGTTGTCATCCCCAGTAAGAGCTGGTTCAACCTCATCGTCTGACCCTGGAGACAAGAACGCTGCAGACCATCTGAACAAAATGGTAGAAGGCCATCATGCAGTGTTTTCTCAGAATGGCTTGAAAAATAGCCCCCTCTGGGCGGCTCTTGAGGCTGGAAAGATTGATGGTCTTCTGGGGAGCCCTCTCAATTCAAGCAAGGGTGCTTCTGTTGGAGATGGCAGTGGAGCCCAAGCTGTAGCAACCTCCAACCAAGCTGCACAAGCCCTGGCTGCCTCTGTCTCAAAAGGATCATGGCCGGGTGGTCTTCCAGGCAATGCATGGCTTGCTGAATTTTCATCCCAGCAACAGCAAGCAGCGAACGCGACTGCGTATGGATCTCTCAATGCTCTTACGCCCGCAACACTTGCTGACGTCCTGCAGCAGCAACAAGGGACTAATCCATCAACATCCTCGTTGAGACCTGGTTCCTCATCAGCTGCTCGGAGCATGATGGCTGCCCTGGATACACTGAAGGCTCATCATGGCCTTCACAGCAATTCGGCTGGGTCGTCGTTCTCATCTGCTGCATTCAGTGCAGCAGCTGCAGCTGCGTCAAACCATGCTTCTGCCTCTGCATCTGCTGGTTTACCCGTTGCTGATGGTAGCATGGCTGCCGCAACTGGTTCATTTGCCAACATGGCAAGCATGATGAGTGCCATGACAAAGCAGCTAGATCCACGGTCTCCACCAAGTCTTCAGCAGCAGCGTCAGCAGCAGCAGCAACTGAAGCTAGCTGAGCAGCAGCATCAGCAGCAGAGGCAAAAACAATTGTTGCTTTTGCAGCAGCAGCAGCGATTGCAGCAGCAGAGGCAGGAACAGCAACAGCAGCTGCTGCATCAACAGCAACAGCAGCAGCAGCAACGTTTGCAGCAACAGCGGCAGCAATTGCTACTCCGGCAGCATCAAGCATCTCTTTTGCAGAAGCAGCCGACTCAAAATGGTGCTCAGCAGCAGCAAGAGAGCCAGCGGCAACAGAGTACTCCAGCACAGCAGAGCACTCCAGACAACCGGTTTCCACAGGGCTGGCTTTCACCACAGGACCAGCAACAGGCATTTCAACTTCTGGCTCAGGCCCAGAAAAACAAGGAGCTTGCAGAGCTTCAAGCTAATAAGCAAATGCCTGTTTGGGAGCAGCAGAAGCAGCAGCTTGATGACCAGTCTGGGCAGTTCCAATCTAGGTCAGTTGCTTCTGAGCCAGAGCTTAGACTGCAGCTGTAGGTTACGGTATATCTTGTACAGAACGTTATCCTGTATTCTTCATTTACTAGTCTTTGTATGTTCTGTTTTTTCAAACAGGCAACCATGTGTTGACCTTACGAATATTTTGTTTCTTGTACCAGTAACTCCTGGTTACCTAAAGCCATTCTGGAAATGTGGATGTGCCATGTCTTCGCCACAGGTTTCACCCTGAATTTGAACTCAGCGACGATTGGAACCACAGGTGCCCAGCCCATCTGATGTGGACATTTTTACCTTGCCAGGTGTGTCGATTTTTGTGACGTGTCAACCATCGCATGATTGATCTCCAGGACTCGATGGCTATCGTCCCAAGACCACAAGTTTCCGTCGCGCACCGCACGAAATATCCCGAGAGTTCCTTCAATCCCACTCCACACAGCAATTAGCGAATGGGACGCCACGCGATAAGCTCAAGATTTTGGCAGGAGCATTCAGCCTGCTCTGCAGCACAGTTCCCAGAGTTCAGAGTCAGAGCGCCTCGCAAATCTCTAGGGAAGTTCCCTGACCTCACGAATTTCCGTTCCTCCCTCCGTCCTCACATTTCCCCCTCTCCACAATATCTGATTTTTATTTTCACAAGGTGGTCTAGGGGGAGCAGCATTCCCATGTCCTGTATTTCTTTGTTCTCTGCGGTATAGTAGCATTTCTGAGAAGCTGTTCTTCAGTTTGCTGGCTTGCTTTCCTTCGCCGCCGGTGCTGCATTAAGACTTAATTGGCGACGAACTGTATCTGCTGATTGAGAGATAAGAAAAATCTTTATCTCTATCGGTGCCGACCGTGAATCTGCTCAGCATGGCGTCATTAGCAAACGCTGCGAGCGTTTCTATCTCGTCACAACTTCGTTCGGTCGTTGCGAAACCGTCGCACGTCGCGCGCAACTACTCTCGCTCCACTTCCTTCGCTAACGGCTCCAAAACCAACCGTCACAACTCAAGACCCTTTTCCCTAAAAGCATCAGCACAGCCTCCCGCGTCGTCCGGTCAAAACGAGGATGCGGGCCCGTGGACCGTTTCAAACGACTATCCTGAAGATTACGTCCTTGTGTCGACGGATCCTGAAGATCTCGAGGCGACGCTGAGGCGAATCGCGGAGGAGAATGAGATTCTCAAGAAGAGGGTCGAGGAGGCGACGGCGGCGGCGACGGCGCAAGCGGTCCAAGTCGCGGGGGAGCGCAAGGCGGGAGTTGACGTCACTCGGCCGCGAGCGGGTGCTGTGGCTCCGTCTGCTCCGCCGCCAGACGTCGCAGCGGTAATCGCTGCGTCGTCTGCGTCGCCTGCGACGGCTGGTGCTCCCGCTGTGGCGCCTCCTCCCCCGTCTCCATCTCCTGCTGCTCCTGCTGAAGAGAAGACCACGCCAGTCGCCGCATCTGCCGGTAGGTGGCATGGCATCGCGCTTCAGTACGTCTTAAGACTGACGTCACGACGAGATGTTTTGTTCTTTCCGAAGGTTGGATGATAGTCAACTTTCAGGTTCTCTTCCAATGTAGGCTCCTCGCGTGTCGTCCTTGCAACACTTCTATTGATGTCCTTCCTCCATCGCGTTGCCGCCCTTCTTCCGTCTCATTACCGGCCTTTTTCCTTCCGTTGCGTTCCTTGCTCCCTCGTGTTGCCCTCCATTATTTCTCGCATGGCCGTCCTTTCTCCTTCTCCTTGCCGTCGCAGAGTCGCCGGGCGACGCAGCGACGGCGTCGCAGCGGAACGCGGAGCTGGAGAGGGACAGGGAGAGCGCCAAGCACACGGCGGAGGGGAGCGATGGGCCAATCAAGAAGACTGAGAACCCCATCAGGTGAGCGGAAAGGCTCATGGCGAAGTGCAGGAGGTTTACGTGTGCTTATAGTAGTGGAACTCGCGAAAGGGCTTCCCGTTCGTCAGCAACACGTACCTATTTATGCTTATTATGTCTGAATTCTGCATCAATGAATGCTTGGGTCGTTAAAGTTCTCGTTGCTTCGACAAGGGCTTCCCGTTCGTCTGCAACAAACGCAAAGTGGGCCATGTTGATGCGCTCGATTACGAAGTTATTGGGGTACGTGCGCATTAGGGTATTGTTGGTGCACGGGTCTGATTGTTTTTTTTTTTTGCGAAAGTACAAGATTGTTCAGAGCCCCATCTCCGTATTGTCATGTTCAGCTGCACTTCCCTTCCGCGCACCACCGCCCCACTTCCCCACCCCCAGCAAATCATTCTTCTTTCTTTCTCTCTCCCGGCCCCTCATCCTCCATTCCCTTACCACCCCCCCCTCCCCCCCCCCTCACGCCCCTTCTCCCACCTGCCCACCGCCTTTCGCATCCTCCCTCCTCTCTCCCCGTTCACCCAATCAGCATTGTCTTCGTGGCATCCGAAGTGGCGCCCTACTCCAAGACAGGAGGCCTTGCTGACGTCACGGGCTCGCTCCCATTGGCTCTGGCGGCACGTGGCCACCGTGTGATGGTGGTGGCGCCTCGTTACATGAATGGCGTCACGGACAAGCTCTACGCTGGCGCGTTCGATTGCCAGGTAACGTGGTAACCAGCTTCATGCACAGCGAACATTTGTATGACTGAACGAATGAATGAATTGAATGACTGGCGACAGCGTACATGATGGCGTCACGGACAAGACAAGTTCTATGCTGGCGCGTTCGATTGCCAGGTAACACCTTATTTGCCTGTATGCACAGCGAGTACTAGTTTAAAACGAATGAAGAATGGCGTCATGGTACTTTTACTGGCGTCACCAACAAGCTCTACGCTTTGCCCCTGACATCCCTCTCCACCCCTCTATACTCGTGCATATACCCGTGTGTGCCATCAGTGCCGTATTAAGTTTTTTTTTTTCCGAGGGAGAGCACAAGGTTCCATTCTTCACCCGACCCGTGTCCACCCGTCTCCACTCCACCCCTTTCCACCCCTCTCAACCCGTGTATTCTCCATCAGTGCCGCATCAAGTGCTTCCTCTTCGAGGGCGAGCACGAGGTGGCCTTCTTCCACGAGTTCCGTGATGGGGTTGACTTCGTGAGTGTCCAGACCGCTCTTGGGTGTGTGCTGTGAGGGTGTGCTTGGGTGTGTGCTGTGAGGGTGTGCATGTTCGGGTCCGAGTCCCTGAGAGGGGCACGAGGTCGCCTTCTTCCATGAGTTCCGCGATGGGGTTGACTTCGTGAGTTTCTAGACACGAGGTGTTATTTTTGGGTGGCCGTTTTAGTTTGGGGTTGGACGTTCTTGGGGTGGGCGTTCTTGGGCTGTTCTTCTGGGTGGGCGGTTCCTCTGTGGTGGTGCATTTTCCTGTTTTGCTACTTATGGAGTAGAGTATTTAAGTTTCCCCGAATAGCATAACAGAGGTCGCCTTGATAAGGCTCAAGTTATTGACGATACATTGTCCCTTTCTCCTCGAATCCCCTTGTGCCACGTGGCAACATGGCAGGTGTTTGTGGACCACCCGTCCTACCACCGCCCAGGCACGCCCTATGGCGACTCCAGAGGGGCGTTCGGCGACAATCAGGTGAGGGCGAGGTGTGGTGTGCGGTGGAAAGTGATGAGGTGGTTCAAGTGGTTTGGTGCAGTGAGGTGCGTTGGGATGGGATGGGAGTGCTTTGGGTGCGGTGAAATGGGATGGGAGGATCTTAGGGTAGGCGCATATGTTATCAAATTTTCCTCCTCTGAATTCCCTTCACCCTTCCCCAAACATCCTTTACCCTTTCTCATCTCCACCTCCAAACCTCCACACCTCACTCCGCACCTTAATCTCCCAATCACTTACCCCGTCAACGCCCATTCCTCTCTTCCCCCTGCCCCCTCACCTACAGTTCCGGTTCGCGCTGCTGTGCCATGCGGCATGTGAGGCGCCTCTGGTGCTGCCGTTTGGAGGGTTCACGTACGGGGAGAAGGTGGTGTTTGTCGCCAACGACTGGCATGCCGGGCTCGTGCCTGTGTGAGTGGCTGGCACTGGTGGGGGAGGGGAAGTGGTGAATGCTGGATGTATTGAGTGCCTGATCAGGAATTCACGTATGGGGAGAAGGTGGTGTTTGTGGCCAACGACTGGCATGCTGGACTCGTGCCTGTGTGAGTGACTGATGGTGGGGGGAATAAAGCATGTTAGGTGGCCTTATCGCATGCCAAGTGCCCGTAGCGCATCCGCGGGGTTACTTTTGAGAATTCTCAAAAGTCACTCCAATTTAGTATCTGCCTTTTTCCCTTCCTCTGCATCTCCCTCTCTCCCGTGGCTCCCCATACATAACCCCGCTGAATCCCCACAGCCTCGTGGCCTCTAAATACCGCCGCTACGGCGTGTACAAGGACGCGTGCACCATCATCGCCATCCACAACCTGGCCCACCAGGGTGTCGAGCCCGCATTGCCTCACCCGATGCCCCTTGCCCTCTACCCACTGTGTCCCATGCCCATTCCTGCCCATGCATACACACAGCCTTGTGGCATCCAAGTACCGCCGCTATGGAGTCTACAAGGACGCGCGCACCATCATTGCCATTCACAACCTGGCCCACCAGGGCGTGGAGCCCGCTTACACCTTTGGCAGCCTGGGCGTGCCAGGGGAGTGGTACGGGGCGTGCCCCGGGCCTGCTGCCCTCCCCGCCCCTGCCCCTTATTTTTGCCCCTCATTCCTCCCCGTCTCCCTTCCCTTTCTCCATCACCCCATCCCCTGCACCCCATGCATACACTCAGCCTTGTGGCATCTAGGCATCTAAGTACCGTCGTTATGGAGTCTACAAGGATGCGCGCACCATCATTGCCATTCACAACCTGGCCCACCAGGGCGTTGAGCCCGCATACACCTTCTGCAGCCTGGGCGTGCCTCCCGCTCTCGACCCAATTCTCCCGTCCTCTATCCCTCATTCCTCCCCTTCTCCTTCCCCTTTCTCCATCGCCCTGTTTCCTTTCAACCCTTTAATTCTCCAGCCTTGTGGCCTCTAAATACCGCCGCTACGGCGTGTACAAGGACGCGCGCACCATCATTGCCATTCACAACCTGGCCCACCAGGGCGTGGAGCCCGCATACACCTTTGGCAGCCTGGGCGTGCCCGGGGAGTGGTACGGGGCGCTGGAGTGGGTGTTCCCCGAGTGGGCGCGGAAGCACGCTCTGGACAAGGGCGAGGCAGTGAACATCCTCAAGGGGGCCATTGTGACTGCCGACCGCGTGCTCACTGTTAGCCAGGTGCGTGGATAGATGGATGGGAGGGTGGGTGCGTGGGTGGGTGGGTGCGTGGGTAGGTGGGTGTGTGGGTGGGAGGGTCCGTGGGTGGGTGGGTGCGTGGGTAGGTGGGTGTGTGGGTGGGTGGGTGTGTGGGTGGGTGGGTGCGTGGGTAGGTGGGTGCGTGGGTGGGTGGGTGCGTGGGTGATTGGTCGAGTGGGCAAGGAAGCACGCTCTGGACAAGGGCGAGGCAGTGAACATCCTCAAGCGGACCGCGTTCTCACTGCCGACCGCGTTCTCACCGTCAGCCAGGTGCGTGGGTGTTTGTGTGGGTGGGTGGGCTCCACTTTTCTATCCTCCCGTCCCTTACTCCCACCCCTTCCCCTCCCCTCCCTTTTTTCTCGTGGGTGAGCACCACTCTTCTCTCTCACACCCCCTACCTTCTTTCTCTCCTTCCCAGTTCCAGCCTCCACTATACCCCCATTTCCCCCTTTCTGCCACCCACTTGCCCCCCAATTCGGTAAAGAGTGCACATCTGGAAACCCTTGTTTTTGGCTCACACTTGGGTTCTCCTTTCCTTCCGTGCTGCAGGGTTATGCGTGGGAGATCACGACAGGGGAGGGCGGATGGGGCCTAGATGGACTGCTGCGTGGAAGAAGCATCGTGCTGAATGGTGGGTACATCTCCCTCCCTCACACTAATATCTCACACACACTCTCCGTCACACTGCTCCCTCACACTCTTCCTAACACTGCTCTTTGGCGCTGCTCCCTCACACTCTTCCTAGCACTGCTCTTTGGCGCTGCTCCCTCACACTCCCCATCACACTGCTAATCTTTCCTCAGCAGTCTTTGCATTCACGCTCCTGACACTCACCCCTGTCCCTGCCTCCTCTCAACCTCCTCCCTGTCTCCCTACGTGCTCCCCCCCACAGGAGTGATGAATTGCATATACTGGACCCCTTCCACGGACAAGCACATTCGTTCACAGTTCACAGCAGCCCCACCCCACCCCACCCCCCTTTTCCCCCCTCCTCTTGTTCTCTCCCGCAACAGGAGTGACCAACGGCATAGACACAGTGGATTGGAACCCAGCCACGGACAAGCACATCCCCTCGCAGTTCCCAGCAGAGGACCTCAAGTCACTCACCACACCGCCTTCCCCTTGCTTCTCCGCCCTTGCTCCCCTTGCAGGAGTGACGAATGGCATAGACACCGTTGACTGGAACCCAGCCACGGACAAGCACATTCCCTCACAGTTCACAGCAGAGGACTTAGAGGGCAAGGCGGAGTGCAAGGCAGCGCTGCAGAAGGAGCTGGGGCTGGCCGTGCGGCCTGAGGTGCCCCTGGTGAGTTGTGCTATTCAAACAACTCACTGTTTTGGAGAACTGAACCTCCTTCTAGGAAAGGCACTGTATGCACATGGCAGTGCTGCCATGTGCTGCCTCTCAAAACATCACTTTTACCACGCTAGTCAAACATTGCAGCGTCGTGAACCACTTCTTGCTTGCCCCTCTTCCCCGTTCTCCCCCTTGGATCTCTATTTCTCTCCATCAGATTGGGTTCATTGGGCGTCTGGACTGGCAGAAGGGGCCGGACGTGATTCAAGCAGCGCTGCCTGAGCTTATGACCGACAACGTGCAATTCGTGAGTGCATGGGCTGATGGGGCGTTGTGTGTGTGGGGATGGGAGTGGGGGTTGGGGGTTGCGCGGTTGTAATGACACGAAGAGGCCGAACGTGATTCAGGTGGCGCTGCCAGAGCTGATGACAGAGAACGTGCAATTCGTGAGTGCACATGCTGATGGGGCGTTGTGTGGTGATGGGAGTCGGTGCTGGGGGTTTATATTGACTCAAAGGGGCCGGACGTGATCCAAGCAGCGCTGCCTGAGCTGATGACAGACAACGTGCAATTTGTGAGTGCACATGCTGATGGGGCGTTGTGCGGGGATGGGAGTGGGGGTTTGCGGGGTCGTAATGGCATAATGGCACAAAGGTGGAAGTTTCGTGTGTGTGGATGAAGTGGGTCGAGGGTGCTTTGCTCGATAAGTTCCCAAGGGGGTTTGGGTTTCTCAATAAAGTCACGCACATTATTCTCCCACTCATCCTTTTTTCTTCCTCCATCCCTGCTCGCCCCTCCTCTCCCTGCTCGCCCCTCCTCTCCCTGCGTCCCCTTCCGCTCCCTGCGTCCCCTTCCTCTCCCAGGTGATGCTGGGCAGTGGAGAGCCGGACCTGGAGGCATGGATGAAGTGGGCGGAGAGTGCTTACCCCGACAAGTTGTGATGAGGGTGGAGTAACCATGAAATCTCGACTCACTTCTGATGCCCATCCATCCTTCCTTCCACCCTTCCGCTTCCAGGTGATGCTGGGCAGTGGAGAGCCGGACCTGGAGGCATGGATGAAGTGGGCGGAGAGCGCCTACCCCGACAAGTTCCGAGGCTGGGTGGGCTTCTCTGTGCCCATGGCGCACCGCATCACTGCTGGGTAAGGCTGGGATAGGTGCAGGGATGTTTGAAATGAACTTCTTACATCGCATCACCTCCCTTCACCTCCCTCTTGCTCCCTGACTTCTCTCTCTCTCCCCTTCCTCCCTTCTCCATTCTCCTCTCCCCCCCCCCCTCCTCTCCCCCCCACCCCTCTCCCTCCCCCCCCCGCATCTCCTTCGCCTGCCTGCCATGCCAGCTGTGACATCCTCCTCATGTCGTTGCGCTTTTTCCTAAGCTTTCCCTCTCCACGTTTCCCCCTTCCATCCCCCCTCCCCGCTCTGCGCCTTCCCCGTCTGCTCCCTCATTTCCTGCCTGCTTGCCATGCCAGCTGACATTCTCCTCGTGCTGTCGCGCATTGAGCCATGCGGGAACTTTTCCTCCCCCCCCCCTCTCCTCTCTTCCCCTTCCCTTCCCCCACCCCCCCTCTCCTCTTCCCCCACCCCCCCTCTCCTCTTCCCCCATCCCCCTACGCCCCGCTGCCATGCCAGTTGCGACATCCTTCTCATGCCGTCGCGCTTTGAGCCGTGCAGGAACTTACCCTCCCGACCCTCTCCTCTCTTCCCTGCTCCCCTCCTCCCCCCACCCTTCCCCCACCCCCCCACCCCTCTGCCATGCCAGTTGCGACATTTTCCTCATGCCGTCAGTCACGCTTTGAGCCGTGCAGGAACTTACCCTCCCGACCCTCTCCTCTCTTCCTCCCCCCAACCCCTCCCCTCTCCCCCCCTCTCTCCCCTCCCCCACCCCCCCACTGCCATGCTAGCTGCGACATCCTCCTCATGCCGTCGCGCTTCGAGCCGTGCGGGCTGAACCAGCTGTATGCAATGCGGTACGGAACGGTGCCAGTGGTGCACGCAACGGGCGGGCTGAGGGACACGGTGGAGGATTTCAACCCGTTTGCCAACGGGGGTGCAGGCGCCGGCACGGGGTGGTCCTTCTCACCTCTCACCCAGGAAGCCATGATGGGGGTACGTTTCAAAATTGTCCTGTTTTTGTGGTTGGCGTGGATGGTTGGGATGGATGGTTGCGATGGATGGTAGATGAACGGTTGAGATTGTTTAGCTTTGATTCGAAGCATGACGGGCGGGCTGAGGGACACGGTGGAGGATTTCAACCCGTTTGCCAACGGGGGTGCAGGCGCCGGCACAGGGTGGTCATTCTCACCTCTCACCCAGGAAGCCATGATGGGGGTACGTGCCTATAACATTTGTTTTGTGTGCTTGGAATGGACGGTTGGGATGGCAGTTGGAATGGATGGCTGGGATGGATGGTTGGGATGGGTGTCTGTGATCGATGGTTGGGATGGATGTCTGGGATGGACGGTTGGGATGACAGTTAGGGTGGACAACTGGGATGGGTGGTTGGAACGAACAGTTAGAAAAAGCTCTCCCTGCTGTTTTCCCCTCGTAAGGACTAGCCTTCCAGTTAATTCGGCCAACTCCCACTAATGTGACTTTTTCTGCTTCCTTGTCATGCACACAGGCACTGTGGATGGCCATTCAGACGTACCGTGAGCACAAAGACTCGTGGCAAGGCCTAATTCAGAGGGGCATGACTCAGGACATGTCGTGGAACAGGGCGGCGCAGCAATATGAGCAGATCTTTGAGTGGGCTGTGAAGGACAAGCCATATGCTTAGGTTTTGACATGTACCTTTAGCACTCCCATTTGTTTTGCAAATGTTCAGAAAATTGCTGCTTGGCCCACGAGGAGAGGTGTCACGTTGTTTTTAGTCTGTCATTGATAATTGCTGGTAGAAATAATTCTGTTATGCTTTGAATACAAAATGATTATGTAGAAAATCCATTTAGGCTTACACTGATGAAGTGAACTGAACAATTTGAAACGGTGACGTTTCTGCAAATAACGAGTGCATTTGTACGTTTCTTTCTAGAAAGTAGCACTCTTTCCTGCACTAATCACTCATTCACTACTAGTCATTCGTGCTCGACGGGAAATCCGCCTTGCGTCGCGGCTTGTCTTTCTCAATGGCGTTTTCTGCTTCCTTGTTGATCCCGTCCGCGTCAGCGAAATTCGTTGCCGTTTCACAGCAGTGTCCTCCTCCTACCGTATCTCTCCGTCGCGATGGCTTCGTGCGATTTACCAGCCACGGACCCTCTTCGTCGAGGCACGTCGTGGAGGCAACTCGTAACGCCTTACTGTGGGTCCTTTTCACCTTATGCAACGCATTTACAGTGACACTCAAGAGGTCTTTTAATTCTTACCATTGTTCTTACGTTCGTTCGTGCTACCTTGCGAGGCGTCCACTTGTGTCCTGCTCGTACGCGCAGATCACCTGTGACTATATCGAAGGCACACAAGCGAACTGCTCGGCGGAAAATCGCTGCAGCGGCGGCAGAAGCGGGAAATTCGGCGATCGACGTAGAGGCCGAGATTAAGAACGAGAAGGTGAGCGAATACGAGCATGAGTAAACGCGAATGTGAGAGATTCAGAAGGTGGGGGGATGAGAAGGAGCGGGAGCAAGACAGTTGAACGGTGAAATCCAGCCAATGCCGAGAGCGGCAGGGCGGGCAATGGCAAGGGCGGAAGTGTGGTCAATGCCAAGAGCGTTGGGGCGAGCAACACCTAAAATCCTTAGTCCGTTGATTGAATCCCAGTACCTGTGGATGTCTCGGCCTCAAACTCCTACGTTTCGGATTTCTCAGATGCTGGTGCTTAGTGGGAGTGGTTTTCATTGATCAACTTGAAACGTCTCACCTGCATCGAGTTTCCCCCTTGGAATCCCCCTGGGTGCTAGTGCTTGGTGATAGCGGTTCATGCTAACTCAACTTAAAATGTCCCACTCACCTCGACTCTCCCCACCTCCCCTCCGGATTCTCCCAGGTGCTGGTTCTTGGTGGGAGTGGATTTGTAGGCTCCGCTGTGGCAAAAGCAGCGGCTGACAGAGGCATTGACGTGGTCAGCCTGAGCAGGTGCGAATATCGTAATCTGAAAGCACTTGGATTTGAAGGTCTTCGGTAACAGCATCTGTGCCGTCAACAGCAAGCAAACAGCAGCTAACAGGGGAACTGACATGGTCAGCCCGAGCAGATGCATGTCTCTGGTGATGGAGTTCTTTGTTTGAATGTCAGCTGTTTCTGCCACCACGATCAGACATTCCCAGGATTCTCTTCCTGACAAGGTGACCACCCCTTCCCTCTGTCTCAACCCCCCTCATGCCCCATTTTGCCTCAACCATGTGTGACGTTCGAACCTCCTTCAGGTCCGGCCGACCCTCCGTCTCCAACGAGACGTGGGTTAACAGTGTCACATGGGAGACTGGCGACGTGTTCTCCGCCAACTGGCCTGTGCTTCTAACGGATGTGACTGTAGTGGTGTCCTGCATCGGGGGGTTCGGCACAGACGAGCAGATGGAGCGGATCAACGGAGATGCTACAGTGGTTGCGGTTGACGCAGCTAAAGACTGTGGCGTGCGCAAGTTTGTGTTTGTGTCGGTGCACGATTACAACCTGCCCGATTTTGCCAAGGAGAATGGATATTTTAATGGCAAGAAAAGAGCCGAGACGGCGGTTCTTGATGCGTTCCCCAACACAGGTGTGGTTCTTCTTGCTCTCTTCTCGCTTTCCTGTGCATATCTTCAAACCCAACCCCCTGTTTATGTGCGGGCTCACTCAACCTTGACAGGTTCCCTTTCCGTTCTCTTTCCTCCAGCTTGTAATCGTTATCCGTTGCTGTTACCCAAAGCCAATCATGTTATTGTCAAACCTTTCCCCTCACCCGACGCGCCAGGAGTTGTGCTGAGGCCGGGATTTATCTACGGAAAAAGGCGGGTAGCAGGGGGTGTGGAGGTTCCGCTCGATCTGATTGGCCAGCCGTTGGAGAAGCTGCTGTCAGCCACTAAGGATATCACAAAGCTACTTTCCCCTCTTCCAGCCTCCGACCTGCTTTTAGCGCCTCCTGTAGATGTTGCTGATCTTGCAGCTGTAGCGGTGCGAGCCGTCGTTGATGACTCGGTTGCAGGGGTATACAATATTGAGGACATCAAGAGGCTGGCAGGTGATTCCAAGTAAACTATAGAAGGCAGTATGCCTTGGTGTTGAGCTATGCAATGTGGTGGTGTTTTGTTCGGTATTATGGAAATGTATGTCTATATAATGAAAAGTGTTTTGCAATTAGTTGACTGCTGGGTGGTGGTGGGACCACTTGTGTGAGAGTGAGGGGCCAGCACCAACTGCGTGCTGCCACGGGACGACGTGACAGGTGATCGGGGCCCAAGTAACGTCAGCAACAACTCGAACTGCCCCACCTCACTCCCCCTCTACCTTTGCGCAGAGCCAGTTCCGCGGCGAATCCGCGCCTCTAGGCAGGAGGGAGTACAGTATGGGAGAATGCCAGAACTGCCTGCTATTTTTCGTGGGAATTCATTGAAAGCCAGTGGCAGTTCTTGAGAACTCCGTTCCACAATCTTTATGTCCGCCGCTGTCGCCCTCGGGAAACCCGCCAAATGTGACCGCATCTGCGGAGGCAGGAGTTAAGTTTCAGCGTTTTTTTCGCGGGTCTGTGTCGTGCTGAGCTCATGCGAAAATCCTCGATTCGCTTCGCAAAATTACCAAAGTGTCGTCGCCGGAACTCAAACTAGGAGGTCCCCTAGCAAACCTCGCACACTCTTGTTTTCGTTCGTTCCGAATCAGTGACACACCACACCGCATTACGTCAGATAAATACGTCCCCTCCCCCGAAGTTGGTTGAGTTTGAGACTTGTGAGAGGTGCGAGGAGGAGCTGGTTTCGGATTTCACTAGATTGAGATTCGAGCTCAGGCATCAGAAGCATTCAGCTCAGCTCTGCCTCATTTGCTTGGATCAGGAAGGAGTAGTAGACTGGTGCATCTGATTCGGTAGCTTGCTCTTCCCGACTCATCTGGATTTTTCACATCAGTGCTGGTGCTGCCTTGCTGTTCTATCATTAAGGTAGGAAATGGATGTTTTTACGTGTATTAGTGATTGCATCCGTCGAGCTGACTCCCCTGTTGAACTACGCCATTTGGGAAGTTGTAGTTGTCCTGTCCACGCTTTAGCCATTCCCATCCTTTGCTCATTTGTTTCGTCTCGCCTTTTATTATGCAGAATTAAATATGGCCCGGAAAAAGATCCGAGAGTACGACTCCAAACGCCTCCTGAAGGAGCACCTGAAGCGCCTCGCGGGAATCGATCTGACTATCAACTCTGTCCAGGTGGGAGAATTATTCTCCTCGCATCTGTGCGGACGTTCCGCGTGAACCGCAGTTGCCACCGAGACACATCTCTTCTTCTCGTTTCACTCCAAGCATTTTTTAAAGTGAACTTTCATCCAACTAAAACTGCTTCGCTTGGATTTTCTTTGCGATGTCCAACCTATTCGATGTCAATAGATCACATCGGAGACGGATTTCGCGAAGCTCGCGAACGAGCAGCCATGGATGAACAGCACCCGCATGGTGGTGAAGCCGGACATGCTGTTCGGCAAGCGAGGCAAGAGCGGCCTGGTGAGCCATGTTTGCTGGTAAGCCTTTTACTGTTGGGGAGTTTTGCCATTGTCTTCTAAACATTTTGAAGCGACTCAGAAGTCTTCACGCGAGGCTAGAACATCCCAGTGAACCATTCGCTGTCCCTTGATCTTGGCGACCAGCTCCCGTTTCCGTTTCCACCACCCCTCGTCCATATGCTTTTTTTTCTTTCTCGCACCCCCACTCTTGCAGGTGGCTCTTGACCTGGACTTCGCAGGAGTGGAGGCGTTCGTTAAGAGCAAGCTCGGCAAGGAGGTAAGAGCCTGTTCTCTGTGCGTTTGAGCGACATTGAGCTTGCTTCGCTCCTGCGATGTTTGTCGTTGCAACGAATGGGTATATAATTAGCATCACCTCTCTGTCACCTCCTCTCTCTGTGTCTCTCGCTGTGCCTCCAACAGGTGGAGATGGGGCAGTCCAAGGGCCCCATCACGACGTTCATAGTGGAGCCGTTCATCCCGCACAAGGAGGAGTACTACCTTTCCATTACCTCCAAGCGCCTGGGTTGCGACGTGTGCTTCTCCGAATGCGGCGGCGTCAATATCGAGGAGAACTGGGACAAGGTACGATGGGGGCGACCAGGGAAAAGGGGGTTGGATTGGGGATGAAGTGAGATGGGGGGGAGCCGTGAGGAAGGGAGTTGAAATAGAGGAGAACTGCGATGAGATGTGGAGCATGGGAAGGAAGGACGATGGGAGTAACTAGGATACGAATAAAGCACTGCTCAGGAGTTCGTTTTCCAGAGCATTAACACGTGTTGTACCTTTGTTATGTGTGCATATCTGACGTGTGATGTTATGGCGTGTGCCGTTTTGGGGTATGCTGTCATGGCATGTGCTGTCATGGCATGTGCCGTCATGGCATGTGCCGTCATGGCATGTGCCATCATGGGGCATGCTCTTGTGGCGGGTGCTATCACGGAGTGCACCGCCGCGTGTGTGTGCCATTATGCCACGTGGTGTGTGTCATGCCATGCGGTGTTTGTCCTGTGACTTTCTGTGTCGGGCTGGCAGGTGAAGACCATCTTTGTGCCCACAGAGTCAGAGCTCACATCAGAGCTCTGTGCGCCGCTCATTGCGACTCTGCCCCTCGAGGTGCGTGGAACCGCTCTCTCTCCTTCCGTTCCTGCCTATCCCTCTTCAGTTGCGCCCGCCTTTTCCTTTTAGTCCATTCCGTTCCATAGCTATTTCCCTTTGTCCGTTGTTCCCTTTCATGCCCGTCCGTTCTTCCCCTTCATGCCCACCTTCACTCCCTCCTTGCCCTTGACTCCATAGCAGGAGAAATTACTCCGCTTCTCAGCTCTCAATCTAATCCCTCATCCAATCCATGCGTCTGCTATGCGTCTCCTGGCCTCTCTGCAGGTCCGAGAAAGCATGGAGAAGTTCATCAAGGGTGTCTTTGCTGTCTTCAAAGGTGATACCGTCCTCTCATGCTCCACTCGTTTTTTATTCCTCACCCTGTCGATCTGCCCCATACTCTTGACTGGACGTGGATATCACCAGTTTTGCCGACAGGAAGCCATCAATGTAAAGCCAATCGTCCTGTGCACCTTCCCCCAACCCTCATTTCCATTTTCCCCCCCCCCCTCCCCCCCCTCTCCACCAGACTTGGACTTCACGCTGATTGAGATGAACCCGTTCATTGTCGTCAACGGGGAGCCCTTTCCTCTGGACATGCGTGGCGAGCTGGACGACACGGCACAGTTCAAGCACTTCCAGAAGTATGTACGAATGAGTGCCCTCTTTCATGAGTTCTGAGTTGACTTCAACGTGCCTTTTGAGTTAAAATGAATCATTTCTGTCTCCCCATTCCCTCTCCACTGCACCCGAACGCAGGTGGGGCGACGTGGAGTTCCCTCTCCCCTTTGGCCGCACCATGTCTCCTTCGGAGGAGAGGATTCACGAGATGGATGAGAAGGTGAGCGTGGGGAAATTCCCCGTGTACTGCTTGTGCTCCCATGGGGCCTGTTGGTGTTACTATTCAAGGGCCCGTCAGCGTGTCCGTCTATCGCATGGTGGGGAAGGAGGGGAGGAGGCGTCAGCGTGACTATGGAGGGGGCTGTCAGTGTGATTATGGGTGAGGGCTGTCAATGACGTATGGGGTCTGTCAATGTGCCATGCCATCTCAAGCCATCCCAGCCTTCCCGGCTCCGTTGTTTCTCCCTTCCCATCTTCGCTGTTCTTCTCCTTTCCTCCCCCATCTCCTCTGTTCCCCCCACTTCTCCCTTCCCTCGTCTTCTCTGTTCTCTCAACTCGGCCGTCTCCCCCCATCAGACGGGGGCCTCGCTCAAGCTCACCATTCTGAACCCCAAGGGCCGCATCTGGACCATGGTGGCAGGGGGAGGGGCTTCCGTCATCTATGCCGACACTGTACGCCACTCTCCCATTCTCATTTCTGTGTTTTGAGTTGAGTAAAAAATCATCAAGGGTTCATTTGGACCATGGTGGCAGGAGGAGGGGCTTCAGTCATCTACGCCGACACTGTACACACCCGCCCCCCTCTGTCAACTGTTTTGACGCGCCTATTAAATATGCTGATGCTATTTTCTTCTGCCGTTTCTTTCATCCACTCCTCCAAAGCTTGTCTTGTGCATATGTCTTTCCTTCCTTCTGTCCCCGAATTCATCCGGGCTGTTCCTCTCTTTGGTGTCCAGGTGGGGGACTTGGGCTACGCACAGGAGCTGGGCAACTATGCAGAGTACAGTGGAGCGCCAAACGAGGAGGAGACGCTGCAGTATGCTCGCATCTTGATTGACGTGGGTCCCTCACAGTTTCTGCAAACTTAATCAGCATGCCATCTTGGTTCATGTTTCTTGATATGCTGAAGCGATTTTCTTGCCACCTTACCGATGGCCATCCAAGCATGCTGCTCACTGGTAGAGGCACAACCGAATCCACACGTCCTCCCCCTTCCCTCCCTTCCCATCTTCAGTGCGCCACAGCCAATCCCGATGGCCGTCCACGTGCGCTGCTGATTGGTGGAGGCATCGCCAACTTCACAGACGTGGCCAAGACGTTTTCCGGCATCATTCGGGCGCTCCGAGAGAAGGTAAGCTGCCAGGCGTCATGGGTGGAACGATATGTTTTGAGTCTACTCAAAACACATAATACACGTACGCTCCGAGAGAAGGTAGGCTGCGTGGCCTCATGGATCACAGATGGAAAGTTGCGTTTTGCGTGGCTTTCAGAATTCTCACAGGTGAGTTAAAACGCACCATTCAGACCCATACCCTACACCCCGCTGTGCCTTGTCCCTACAGCCAGGAGCGGCAGATCAAGGACGCGCATATGCGTATCTTTGTGTGTGTCTCTCACTCAACATGGCCCTACCCATATCCCTCCCTTGTCTCTCCTCTCCACCAGGAGCGGCAGATCAAGGACGCCAAATTGTGCATCCTCATGTGTGTGTCTCTTCCTCGGTGTGCCCATTCCGTGTCTTGCTCTCACCACGCTTAGCCCTCCCTAGTCTCTCCTCTCCACCAGGAGCGGCAGATCAAGGACGCCGAGGTGCGCATCTTCATGTGTGCGTGTCCCTCACTCACTCACCATGCCCACGCCCCATATTCCCCCCATCCATCATCCCTCCACCAGGAGCGGCAGATCCAGGATGCCAAAGTGCACATCTTCATGTGTACATGTCCCTCACTCACCATGCCCACACCCCATATTCCCCCCATCCATCTTCTTTCACCAGGAGCGGCAGATCAAGGATGCCAAGGTGCGCATCTTTGTGCGGCGTGGAGGGCCCAACTACCTCAAGGGGCTTGAGAAGATGCGTGAACTCGGCACCGAGATTGGCATCCCCATTCAGGTGCGTGTGGAGCAAGGATTGAGTGATTTGAGATGTCGCTAAGAACAGGGTTCTACATCCGCAAGGGGCTTGAGAAGATGCGCGAGCTTGGCACCGAGATTGGCATTCCCATCCAGGTGCGTATCGAGCATGAATGCCTTTACGGTATGTCTCAGATGCAAGGGACCCAGCTTCCGGTAGGGTCTTGAAGATGTGACGGCTGGGCACGGATATTTGAGATCCGCATCCTGATGCGTGAAGCAAAAAGCAAGGGGAGAACTGAAGTGTTCCCACTTTTGCCGAGACTCATCTGCATGTGCTTGCAATCTGATCAGGCCCTTTTATGTGCAAGCAACCCTTCTCACCACATTTCCCCCATCGGCTGCCCTTGCTTCTCCTCCCATGTACTCCATGAGAGCATGTTTACAGGTGTATGGTCCTGAAGCCAGCATGACCTGCATCTGCAAGGAAGCGATTGATTACGTGGCCTCTGCTGCTGCCTGATTTTGAAGCTACTAAGGGCTGAATCATCTGTTCATATCGTGCATGCGTATAAATATCGGAGGAATATTTTTATGAAAGCTATGGAGATGCAGATGCCTGTGTGCAGAGCCATTACCGTAAGGAGAGAGTTTTGTGTGCATCATTTGAAGCTGAAACAAGATCTGTCCTGCTGTGGGAAATCGGTATGAAGAGTCGCTGTTGACCATTTCGCAAGGCAAAGGCAAAAATGCTGTCTGAACCCGGAATCGAACCGGAGACCTCCAGTGTGTGAGACTGGCGTGATAACCGACTACACCA